AGCCATAGTTAAGTACCACTACAAGCAAACCAAAAGTTGTCCAGATTAAACCACAAACTAACACCACCCCTGAGGTGAGAAGACACCACATGCTTGGTGATGTACATTACATGACCACTTAACTCTGGACAGTCCTACCTGGTTATAATGCAAGCGAAGTTAGAAGAGGATACCCTGGTGATGGTGTACAGTACACTCATCGGTTTACAGGGTTTGACAAGAACAAAATAAACACCCTTGAAATACGGTGCTACTGCAGGATATTGTGAGCATCATAGGTGGTCCGAAGAACAAACCAGTGGGTTTTGGACAAGATCAACACAGAATTGATGTTGTAGGTAACATGACGAGAAAGAACAGTACAGTATAGAGAATCATCGTGCAGGGAAAGGTGAAGGCCAAACAAATTAGAGGTTGTCCATCAAGATCTTGGACGGATGATAACAATAGGCAGGATGTGGATTAGTGAAGGCTACAAACTTGACTCCTAGCACAAACTCTTAAGATGCCAACTCAACACATACCAGTTTAACTAATAATAGGAGAACAAAAAGAAACATTTGCATATAACAAAGTCAGGACCATGTTTTACAATACTCAAACATTACTGTATCAATGGTTCATGACATCTAAATACTACAAATCTTATATACCCTCTCTTATGTTATCAAAAACCTTTTACATTCGCAAAAATACAATTAAATACTTATATACAGTACTCTTCCTGGACTTGAAAGAATACTGCATATAAATGTACACTACTCTCCATCATATCTGACACATTTATGCAATATATCAATTTGTAACCAACTAATAATTACAGATGCTTGCATGTGCCAAACCCATGCATGTGGAGAGCCTGCCACCAAAAAACATAGTGGCAATGCCAGAAAACTTAGTGTTAATACAAAGCAACAACACACCAAGTGAGAACTATAATACAATGCCAGCACAATTGCACAGCAGAGGACAGATCACACTGGCTACCATATTGTTGACATAGATAGAGTTCAATATTATATACTGTAAACAGACAAACATCGCAAATCTGGACATCGCTTAATTCGGATACTATTCAATCTGGACTGAACTCGTTTCTAGTACAGTCTAGTCCAGCAATACCCCATTTGGAGCTCCAGAGAGCTTCCTAGATAATAGATCTCTAACTGAATCAGCTTTAATTGGGGTCATTAAACTACAGTGTAATATGACATGTATTCCAAAACTTTATTTCCTACTTTAATTTAGGTGTTGGGAAACATTTTGTTTGTGCTTGTATTATTTATTCAATAATATATGCATGAACGATTGCTCTGTATCATAATTATTATTAATTAGTGGTATGAGCGATCATGGAAGTTATGAGAGAACAGTGATGGTGGTAAACAGTGTTGCCGGGAACTGGCTGTGATAATGCATAGCTCTGCTTTTGACGAGGGGAATCCATCTTTTCATCAGTGAAAGAATGAAAGAGGGTGATGATGGAGATGGTTGTTAAGTGTTTGGGGGATGGTGCATCTGTTTCTATGGTAACACTAGCTGCCTGCTGCCAGACACAAGTGAACAGCTGACGTCAAGTCTTCAGGCAAAAAGATTTGACACACACAGAATTAGAAAATTAAAAAGTATTAAGAATAAAATGAAATTTTAAATACTTGGAAATGAGAAGATTAGTAAGAAACATACCAGGTGCATAATCCATTCACATCATCTCAATGCTCTGTGCTAGTCCCTCCACGCACATATGCTAGCCAACCACAACCCTCCACCACACATTAAGTTTTTCAGCCACACAATATTTGGTAAAAAAAAAAAAAAAAAAGTAGAATCAAACCATGGAAACCAACAGACCATGGTGGTAGGCGTGAATCCTTGGCCAAGTTTATCCCAGTCCATAGGAAACCCTTGTTGAGCAGCACAAAGTGTGAAGTGTGCGGTGGTTTGTGTGTAATATGTACATGTATAAAATTGAGGCGAGACAGTCAAGACACACAGACAAAGCTCATTACTAAAGTTTCATGCCAGAGCAACCCAAGCTTTTTAAATGCTACACCACAAGATTACGTTCCTTACCAGAGGAGTCGGGCTCAGACGAGAATCTATCCCCAAAGCTAAATGAACTTCTTGTGGCTGTGGATGTTGAGGTTGCTCCCCCAAACACTATAACAAATAAAGTATAGCATGACTCCTCTGTGCATGTTTTCATTGTTGTTTCACAAAGATTTATGAAATGAACCAACTCTCCACTAATACAACAAGTCTCTACACATAAGAGCTATGTAATACTGTAACTACTTATGTGAGTATCTTACACCATATACAGCTGCTCCCCGACTTACGACAGGGTTAGGGACCGACATCCAGGTCATAAGTCGAAATGGTCGTAAGTCGGAAATACTTAAATAACACATAGAAATCGAAAATGGGTGTCTCTTTCTTCTCAGCACCACAAAACACTCACTTTTAAGCTTGCCAGCCATTTTAAAGTGAATTACAGATGAAAATTTTGTCTGTATACTGACTTTGGGACTCAAAAATACATAATTGGACCAAATTTTGGTACGACTGAGGCAGGTCGTAAGTGCGAGTGGACGTAAGTTGAGTTTCTTACGAGCCGACCTCCACATGTTTAAGCTTGCATTTGGCGGTCCACCAGCTGTAGTATTCGTCCGCCAATACAGTAATCGGTTCTAGGGCTTAAATTCCTTACCCTTTTAGTAAATATCAAGAAGTTTATACTATTCAATAATTTTAAAAGTTTAATATTAAATTTTTTAGTCATTTTAACAATTATTGAACATAATTGAAGGTAAGGTCACTATTTTGGCACGCCATCCAGCCTGCCAACACAGCATACAGGCGTCAGTCTTTGTGTCTTTTCAGTGGAGGTAACATCTTGCTTGAGACTCTCTTCAAGTAAATGCTTTTTTTCTGTGTTTGCAAGCAAATTATTGGTCATTTTGAAATTTATTTTATATATTGACAATATATAATGCAGTGCAGTGTTGACTTAAAGAAAATAATCTTGAATTACACCAAGAGAACTAAAATTTTATGGGTGAAATGGTGCCATGGGGCGACTTCTCTTCCACCCCAATGCCTTCTCTTCTTCCTTTTCCTCCACCCCCATTCTAATTCCCATCATCATCATCATCATCATCATCCAGGAGCCTTCTACATACACACCTCAAAGTAAGAGTACTTTTCTACCTTTTTTGTTGAATTTAGGCAACTTTCGGTGAGCTGGAACCAATTACCCAAAAACCCATTGAAACAATGGTTTCGGTTAACGAGCAACCTGCTGGAACGGATTGTGCTCGTTAACCGAGGGACCACTGTATACACACACACACACACACAGAAATACACCGGTTATCACAATGGATTTGTTTCTAAATGTCATTGCTAATAACAAAATTGCAAATATTGGGTCAATTTTCCCCATAAGAATTAATGTAAATGGGGGGGGGGATGTATTCTCAGATGGCAACTTTCACCATACTGTATGTTTTTCGATTTATACTTCTCATTATCTGAAGCTATTAGGGACCAGGCTCGCATGTATACTGCAGTACCAACACATGTGAGGAATAAATAAATAAAAATAAGAGATAAAATAAAAGAAAAAATACCGTTTTGCTATTTGGCAATCTTGTCAATTACACGACTCATGAGGGACATGCCACTCCCTCCCTCCTTCATTCTCACACATGAAATAAATATTTAATGCCTTTATGTTTTTGACCTTATGATGAATCCTTTTTTTTCACATTCTGTATGAAGATTGTGTGCTTGTACTTAAGTAAAATAAATAAATAAATTAAGTAATAAAAAAAAGTATATCTTCCCAAAATACGAGTTGAAAAATAACAATAAGGTAACACAACTTGACCCAGTAAGGGAGGATATCACCCACACCGCACATGGGTCACTTTTCACCACTACCACCAAACTCAACACTACCACCACCCTGACGCTGCACTTCCCTCTCACAATCGGACACTAACTACTGCAAAGTAAGAAATGTGTATTTTCTAAGTTTTTTACCCTTTTTTTTTTGCACATTCTGTATGAACAACTGTGTGTGCATGTAACAGAGTAAAAGAAAATTAATAAAAATACATACAGTATATACTAGAAATTACGGGTTGAAAATAAAACAACACAGCTTCACGTGCCAGGAGGAGAGGTAAGGTGATGTACCCATGGGGACATCTAACTTGGTGACCTGCCAAATCCACACACAAACGTTCATTAAGTCGGGAATAATTGGGCCTACTTCACGCAAGTGTTTTTGTCCCGTGTGCAAGAAGGCATGCGTTCACAGGGGCGTGTATTTTCACGCTTCAGTTTCCCTGTATCTGACAAATATAATCACAGGCACTTCCAGCCCCTACCACAGATGCGCCACAACTGATGCGCAAACAAATATGCTCGTTTTCGAAGTACTGTACAGGTACAGGCCTGGGGCGAGCGTCTCCTGCTCAGGAATTTTCCCATGCATTCTTCACCCTATTGAACTTCATTAATTCCTAAAAGGCACGGGTCCGTACACACGGGAGAGAGAGCCTTCTGTCCGAATATGAGAACTTCAGCTATATATATATATATAAACTTCTATTTTATATATACTATATATATATAAAATAGAAGTTTATTTTGAATGCGAGCTGAAATTTATGCACAAGGCAACATAATGACAAAGAAAGATAATTTTGATAGAGCCTCAAGCTACACCTCAATCACAATTATGAAAGCCAACTGAAGTATGCAAGAGCTTTAAAATTTCTTAAGAATATGATCAAACTTACATGAGGATCCCCCGGCTCCATGACTGACTGTGGATGCGCTGGGAGTACCCAGCTGTGTAGGTGTCTTCAATGTGAAGTTGGTCGACACATTGGCACTGAAAGTGGGAGCAGTGTTGCTGCTGCTCACACCAAATATTGGTGTTCCTCCAAATGTTGTAGGGGTGGGGGTTACTGCCCCCCCAAATATTGAGGGTGTGGGGGTTACTGTCCCCCCAAATATTGAGGGTGTGGGGGTCACTGTCCCCCCAAATATTGAGGGTGTGGAGGTTACTGTCCCCCAAATTATTGTGGGAGTAGACATTCCTCCAAATAAGTTGCCAGGAGATCCTGAAAAGGAATAAAATATTCTCAGTATATATATATATATATATATATATATATATATATATATATATATATATATATATATATATATATATATATATATATATATATATATATATGTTTCTTTATTGTATGTAGCACAATTTGAGTTGTAATTACTATCACCATTTTCCACACTTGTGTGTTATCTGTGATTGCATAATGGCAGCTCTCTGTGCTATATGGTTCCTTGCAGCCTGTTTCCAAGCAAAGTTTCCCCCCACTAACTAGATGGCAGCACAAGAGTATTGTCTACTACTGCCATCATGTCATCTGACTTGGAGCACTTGGTTAGACCTTAGGTGAGGTATAATTTCTTTTGAAATGATGGAATTAGTGTTGGTGATTAAAAGTGGTGTGGTATGCAGTGAGGGGAAAACTGTTGTAAGGTGTGGAAAGGATTGCTAGAGGAGAAAAAAAAAAAAAAAAAAATCCCAAGTGAAGTAATGAGTCAAATCCAAAAGAAATAAAATTGTAATTAGCGATGGAGCAAAAGAACTAAGATTAAATTATAATAAAAAACACTTATGGAGGGAGCTTGCTTTAACTGGTGTCTTATAATGCTCCCATACAGTTGATAAATGTAAGATCTTACCCCCTAAAGTAGATTTTCCAGGTGTTCCTTCAAAAAATACCCAGCTGGCTTTGTAGAGGCTGAAGTTATTGGAGTGGTAGAATCTGGTGGGGTAAACTGTGAGGGTGTGGGCATTGCCGGTGCTTTGGGAGATTTTTCTCTCGTGTTGTCCTCCAATTTCACTGGAGAGGATATGGTAGTTGCTGGGAGTTCCACAGGTGATCCTCCCAATTTTACCTAAAATATCAAAGGGCAATGAAGATATCACCTGACCTATCTTAATGTTACAGGTAACCTATTGAGTCATATTTCATAAGGCTGAGTAACAACCAGAACAGTACCCCCCCCCCCTATGCTGCAAACCCATGTTTAGTTTTACACTACTACATGGGTTAGCTGTGATGATATTCACAACATCTTACAGTACTGTACAGTCAATAATATTGGAAGATATATTTATTGTAGTACAGTTCCGTATATACTGGCAAGTACTGGCTCCAGAATGTCTATACCTGTGCCAGTGTTGACCAAGTCTGGTCATTAATGAGTTCACACTCAGTAGCATAACAACAAACTGGGCAGACTGAGGAAGCAGCTTTACTGTTTTTCTTTTATCTATGATAATTAAATATACCTCAACAATACCATGTTACAATCAATATATTTTAACAATAATAGGTGAGGGGTATGTGCATAATAAGAAGTCAACCTATAATGATGAAGGTGGTGGCTAGAATGAGATCAAGTGAAGGTTTCTTGTGGCCGTTGCACTGTCAGGTGCAGGTGATCAGCTGACGTCTACAGCCTTAGATTTGTCATTATCAAGTGTTTATTTGCTATAACCTAAGACAATTAAATGTTGCTCTACAACATTAGGATGATGATGCAAGACAGGAGTGTAAAATGAAATGAAAGTAGTAAAACCACTAATAGAAATATTCCACACAGGAACACAAAATGATCTAGCAAAGTTTGGCTCTGTTTTTACTGGGCTAAAATGTCTGTAATAATCAATCTATTCAACACATGAGGATAGAAAAGCTTACCTTGGCATCATTCACTGCTTTAATGAAATCTAGAGCAATTTCAGGAGTCTTGAACCGAACAGCAAATGTTTCATTCTGAGGAGTACTTTCAGTATAATCCACTGCAGCCCAGTAGTAGGTTTTGTCGTCTTTCTTGCGAAATTCAATGTCTATATTCAGTGTGTGGTTCAGACACAGTTTATGAACTTGTTCCCGTCGCATCAGCAGCCGTATTTTACCATTCTGGTTGATAAAAAATAAACAAATAAAATAACTAACTAACAATAGTACAGTACAGTACTCCAATTATGATTACTTTACAAAATACAAAAAATAAACAGGGACACATTGTACAATATAATAAAAATAACCAAATTCACCAATTAAACTAGAGTGAATGATTTTTTTTTTTTTTCTACAAACCTGTTTGTGGGAGAGGATTTTTATATCACCAAGTCCTCTCTCCTTCCATTCTCCTGCAACATGACGGAACAGCTTAGCACGGTGGACATATAGGACGTCTTCATCTTCCTCTCCGGTCACTACCTCCACTTTCTCCGGAAGGGGCACCACAGGCTGCCCAGGTGAGAAAGACATGGCACATACAGTACTGTATATCTTACAAACAGACAGTGCATACTGATATTGATATCCCAGGCATTTCCCGGTTATACTGCACTTGTGTAACCTGATAGTTGCAATGACATAACTTGCCACACTACTCAAGCCTCTGTTTCACGACGGCAAAATCCCTGCACCAGTAACACAGTTATAGCTATGGGAAAATAGGTCACTGTTTTTGGCTAATGAATTATTCACTAGCCACCCCCAGGAGCCCACCCAACCCACTGTATCAGGATGAATACTTTTGTGTGTGTGTGTGTGTGAGTGTGGGGGGGGGGGAGGGGGATGTTTCTATTGCTTTAGAACAGTTCAAATTTTTTATTAGTGCAATGAAAAATGTCTAGACATTGAAGTTTGTGTCAAGGACAAAAGTGAGGATTGATAAAAGAATACAGTACATGTATCCCTTGTTTAGCGTTAATTCACTAAACGATAATTCTACTTGGTGACTTTTTTTTTTTTTACATTAGGTCAAAATTTTGTTTAGCAATATCTAGACTCACTGGAAAGGGGGAAACCTCGGGATTCAGTGCTCCAATTGCAAAACTCTACTGTCACTTGTTTACACTACCTACCTACCCACCCACGCCGTGTACGAACTGTTCTCACAATAAGATGTTCCTACCACTTTCTGCATTTAGCTACTTGTCCTCAAGAATGTCACTGCATTCTCTGATGACTAACTAGAAGCAACAATTCTTTTATATACAGCTCCTCCCCGACTTACGACAGGGTTAGGGATCCAAATCCAGGTCGTAAGTCCAAATGGTTGTAAGTCGAAAATGCTTAAATAATACATAGAAATCTAAAGTGGGTGTCTCTTTTTCTTCTCAGCAACACAAAACTCTCACTTTTAAGCTTGCCAGCCATTTTAAAGTGAATTACAAACGAAAATTTTGTCTGTGTACTGACGTTGGGACTAAAAAAAAAAAAAAAAAAAAACGTAATTTGACAAAATTTTGGTACAACTGAGGCAGGTCGTAAGTGCAGGTGGTCGTAAGTCGGGGAGGAGCTGTACTCCGAATAAAAAAAATAAAAAAATGTTACTTACCTCAAAGTAAAGGTGATCTCCATCATCCTCCTCCACTACACCATCTTCAGATTCACAATAACTTGTGTTTCTTGACCTTGGAGATTTTGCTTTAATTCCAGTAAAAGAGAATTCATACTTCCCTGGGCTACCAAACACAAATCCCGACTTTTCATCTTTTGTTGGTGTAGTAGGATCTTCACGAGTACTTTTTGGGATTACTATTGGCCCAGTGGCAGAGAAAGATGATGATGAAAAAGTAGATGTAGTGCTGGAACTGGATGAATCTACACTCCCTGCTGAGGTTCCTTGTATTGGTTGCCAAGTAAAATTAAATGGTTTGTTAAACTGATCATAGGAACAACCAAAAGAAAATGCAGGCTTGTTCTCAGATGGAGCTGCACTGTCTTGTGTTGAATTGTTTGGGACTCCGAAAGATATTGTTGACAGAGAAGTTGTCTCAGTTGTTGCTTTGCTGGTTTGAGGAATACCAAAAGAGAAACTTTGTTTACTGTCACTGGTGCCAAACATGAACCCAGAGGAAGACTGTGACGGTGTTTTACTAATGCTAAAACTAAATGCTGGCTTACTCTCAATAGTAGCATCTGTTACATCTTCGTTAGAAGGTTCAGAACAAGGTTTTTTTGAAGAACATGAAACACATAACTTGCTCGCTGCTGTGTTACGCACTAAGCACACCCCACATTCCCAAGATCCGGCTGCTGGTCTGAACATATCTGCTAAGGATTTAGTTGTAGAGGTGACTGTATCCTGGGGTGGTGGTACTGGTGCTGTTGTCTCAGCTGTGGTTGATGTACTTAGGGAATGTTGAGCCTTTTCAAAGGCTTCCTTGAAAGCAAGTGCCTGAAGAAGAAAAAAAAAGAAGTGATATTTTAGTTAATATGTCAACAATTATTATTCCAGCTTCCAGTTAGTACATAACCTTCACTAAAGTTGTGGTAGCCAGGTAGTCTTTGATTGCCTCAATAAGTTTCAACCCTATCGTGACAGCTGTTCCCAGCTTGTGGGTTTGCGCCAGGAAAAGCAACCCGCTGCAAAAAATTTTCAGCATGCCTGATGGCAACCAAGTCACTAGAGCCGTGCCCATCCCTTGGTCTCTGCTGCATTTTGTAGCTGGCACCCTTTGGATTGCTATGGTGTTCTGGTTTTACCCAACAGCTACAATCAGGGAATTGTAGCGAGCCCATGCAAGTATGGAAATATTAATAAAACATTGATGATGATTGAAAAGTGTAGAGTACAATAAGCATTGTTATGGGTTAGTGACCTTGACTAAGCCAAGACTAATAGTTATTGCAACAATGACCTTCATATATCTAAAACAAAGCTCATTACAGTTCATTAACTCTAGCTAAACAACTTATTTACTCTCCCCCATCACATCAAAGTGTCTCACTTTAACCAACACTCTCACACCAAGTTATACAGTATTATAAACAGATTGACTCCGTAAACATTAATCAATATTAAGATGTCCAGGGACTCTTTTCACTCTTTCATACCATTTCCCACCCAAAATAATAAGGTTCAGAACTGTTATTTTAAATTTAAGTACCATGAGAGGATAGATGAGATGAGATTATGGAGATATTGAGCAGTAGAAAACTTGATGTCTGTTGTGTGCAAGTAACGAGGTGAAAAGGTGGTTCAGCAAGACTAATCCCTGGCAAGAATTATAGATACAAAATATACTGGAAGGGTGGTGAATCTGGAACAGGTGGTGTAGGGACCCTGATTGTCAGAGGAGGGTGGAGAAAGTGCTAAAAGTAAAAATGGTACAGTAAATGCAAGAATTATGGTTCTGACGATACAAGTTAGCAAAGATCTGATGACTGTCATATCGGCATATACCCCAGAAGTGGGGTTAAGAGAGGAAATAAAGGACAAGTTCTGGTATGAGTTGATGTGTGCAGTGTTGGAGTTGGGTGAGAGAAATTGAAGTACTGTACAGGTAAACCCTGATTTGCAAGAAGTTTTTCAGGAACATAACTGAAAAATCTTGTATTTGGTTTTCCTTTTGTTTAACATGTGTAAAACAATTGTATAAGGTAAAAATTAAAAAATAAAGTTTTTTTTTCCACATAGTAGAAGTAGTCACATTTGTAATACACAGTTTAAAGGTTAAATATGTGCTCACAAGTTAATTGTCTAAAACACTTAAGGTTACCTAAACAAGGTGGACCCTTAACTTTGACATTACAACCCCAAAGACATGAGGGCTCAATACATACATATACCAAGCTCTTTCAGCTCTCAATTTAAGCCACAGACACATAGTTAGATGTGGATGGTTAGTCAGTAATATACTGCAGATTCCTCACAATAAAGAGAAAATTATTTCCCATCTATACTCACCAATTCTTGTGTCTTGAACCTGGCTGCAAACTGTTCTTCCTTCATTTCTTGATCAGCATAGTCATGTGCAGCCCAGATCCATGCTTTGTCAGATACTTTCATGGGACTGAGCTTCATATCGGCAGTGAGGAAGTGATTGGCACACACCTTGTGGATCTGGTCACGACGCATCAACACACGTACCTGTCAAAATAAGAGTGTATTTCATTCAAGTTTAGAAATTGCATTTGTCATAAAATTTTCTACCCTCAAAATGTGGAAATTGTGCAACACTGCAGCTGGATCTAATGAAGCAATATCCACTAGAAAACCAGAGTCATATTAATTATACAGGTACGTATATATATTTTCAAGTGTACTTATCATTTATAACTAACCTTCCCAGAACTGTTATTTTTCAGCACTTTCAGTTCTCCAACACCTCTTTCCTTCCATTCCTTACTGTCTTTGTCATATCGGTACAGCTTTGCTCGTTCACAGAATAACTTCTCTTCTCCTTCCTCACCTATAATGGGGAAAGGGGAATCCATACACTCTGACACCTAAATCTCAACTTCCAGTGTAATGGCATTTATTCATTTGGTTTAGTGTCCATAACTGATAAGACTCCTTCCTTAGCCTGTATTGAATATATACACAAAGTTCTGCTTATTTTAGAATACAAAAATAAATTTACTGTATGTCCATATAAGAAGACTGTAAAAAAAATAAATAAAATAAAATAAAAATTAACTGATACTGTACTATCATAGTGTGCCAAAGTGTCTGTTGACAGCAGGGATGTGGGGTAACTCACAACACATCACCAACACTTACTTGTTCATTGGCCAAGTGACAAACAAAGAACCCCACTTAGTATCTCAAGAGTACATGCCATATGAGACTAACAGGTATGACTGACAGCCATGAATTTCATCAATCTCAGTCAGACTATAACAAGCTGGTGACTATTCAAACACTCCACCCTCTAACTAGCATAAAAGATGCAGACCCCAAAACAGAGCCATCTACCCAAGAACAATATTTCATGGTAAATCAATACTCGAGTTACCACGTTGAAACTATCTCGTCTACAACCAGATGGTTGGACTGGGAAACAGACCAAATCCAGTTTACCCTCTAAATGTGTACATCATTAACATTAATTGACTAACTGACCTGTTTTGACCTCAACCAGGTCTGGCATAGGGATCACAGGCTGGAAATCCACCTGAGGTTCATACTCTTCTACTTTGTCATCACTATCATCCTTGCTTGGTGACCCGGTAGATATTCCAAAAAGTGTCTTTGGTTCAAACTGCAATGAAACAACAATAAATAAAACACATTCATGGGAGAGAGAAAGAAAGAGGGGGTGTTTCATTAATATCTTAAATATTCCAGTAGGAGTTAAACCTGATTATAGCAAAATGGGATAGAGAGTAGTTCAGGGTTTCCACAATTGGTATGGAAATCAGCATAATAAACATTTCACAGGAAGTGAAACACAGATGAAAAAAAGTTACAAAGTCAGAGGTGGATGATGAGAAAGATATTTCAAGACAGCAGGGAAGGATGGGGGAAGGGATGCAGAAGGAAAGAAGGAGATGGTCTTCCAGGAAGCAGCAGTGCGTGCGTGTGTGTGTGTTGTGTGTGTGTAAGATTAAAGATCATGGCATCAAGTGACGAATGGAGAAGGACGTGCTGATGATAGGTAATGCCAACTTGTATGAACCAACAGGGTTAACCCAGATAGTTGTTTGGGGCCCTGTTATGAGAGGACAGTACCTTAGCAGAATATGTATCTTGCAGCAGGAAGAATGAATGAAAAAGTGAAAAAGTGAAAAAGTGCGTGTATATGCTCAAAATTCTGGTCATCCCCTGCTTGTGTGTGTGTGTGTGTGTGTGAGTAAGTGTGCAGGAGGAGCGGGAGCTTGTTCAATGGACAATACATAAGAATATCCTAAGTCTTCTTCATTAGTTAGTAAACAATAGAGTGAGGGTTTAGTGACGGTGGTAAGAAGTACTCCATAAATAAGAATCACCATCAGGTAAAACACATGATAAAAGCACTTACTGCCTGTGGTACCTTTGTGGTGAACAAACCAGCAGATGCACTAGTTGCAGCCACACTCCCAAAAGTTAACATGGATCCAGATGTATCCCCACCAATCGGGCCTCCAGTGCTAGCAGGTACACCTAAAATTAGTAAAAATAAATCATACATAAAAACTCACAATACAATATCTCATATACTTATTTTTTTTATCCTTTTTAATACACTGTTGCCACCAACAAGTTTGCTTAATCACTTATCACACACACACACACACACAAAAAGTAGTAGACAGCTACCAAACAGGGAGGTACTACCACCTGGGAAGATATTGGAAGCAAAATGTGTTGTCTAATGGTAGACCATATGGCACCACAAAAATTGTGACAAGTCCCAGGTCGCTGAGATGAGTTTCTGCCTCATTTACACACAATTGCAGGGTCTCATTTGTTTCTTTTACTGTTGACAACACAACATATAAAAACTATATCGTTTCTCACTCTTGATTTATTTTTTTATTATTTATAGTTTTTATTTTTATTATAATTACTATTATTTTATTTATTGTAATTGTTTTTAATTTTATTATTATTCTATTTTCGCCCCCTAGGCCCTGATGTGGGTCAGTGACCTGTGTCCGGGTGGGCTAATCCCCGAGAAAGAGAGAAAAATAAAATTAAAAAAATCCACACACACACCCACACAGTACAGTACTGTACCTGGGAGCTATCGTCCACCGTAAATGGCCCACGAAAATGCATGAATATTATTACATATCCAGAACTTATGATTACCTATTGTATACTGTATTTACCAGTAAATGCACAAAATATATATACAGTGACCCCTCGGTTAACGAACTCAATCCGTTCCAGAAGGTCGTTTGTTAGCCGAAAAGTTCGTTAACCGAAACCATTGTTTCAATGGGTTTTGGGTAATTGGTTCCAGCTCACCGAAAATTTCCTAAATTCAACAAAAATGGTAGAAAAATTCACTTACTTTGAGGTGTGTATGTAGAAGGCTCCTGGATGATGATGATAATGGGATTTAGAATGGGGGTGGAGGAGAAGGAAGAAGAGAAGGCATTGGGGTGGAAGAGAAGTCACCCCATATATATTGTCAATATGTAAAATATATTTCAAAATGACCAATAATTTGCTTGGAAACACAGAAAAAAAGCATTTAGTTGAAGAGAGTCTCAAGCAAGATGTTACCTCCAGTGAAAACAGAGAGACTAACGCTTATTTGCTGTGTTAAGAGGCTGGATGCCGCGCATTAAACTAGTCACTTTACCTTCAATTATGTTCAATAATTGTTAAAATGACTAAAAAATTGAATTTTAAACTTTTAAAATTATTGAATAGTATAAACTTCTTGATATTTACTAAAATAGTAAGGAATTTAAGCCCTAGAACCGATTAATGTATTGGCGGACTGATACTAAAGCTGGTTGCCCGGTCAGTGCAAGCGAAAACATGTTGAGGTCGGTTCGTAAGAAATTCGTTAACCGAATTGAAGATCCTTATGGAAGGCAGTTCGTTAACCGAATTGAAGATCCTTATGGAAGGCAGTTCGTTAACCGAAATTTCATTAACCGAGGGGTCACTGTATTTATAAAATCAAAATAACTTTCAACACATGTTTAATGAATTGCACCAATTCCCCCCCCCCCAAAAAAATTACACGCACGCACGCGCACACACACACACACACACATATATATATATATATATTTGTGTAACAGTACAGTAGAAGTAATAGTGTCTTCACACTCACCGGTGTTATCTTCCTCCTCCTTTATGTCAGTTGAGGGAGTGCTGAAGGCAAACCCTGTAGTGGGAGTGTTATTGGCATTTGTGCCAAAAGAAAATTCAGCAAAAATGGAGACTTTCTTCTTGTCCTCCTGAGGCTTCGGCTGTGACCCTTCCGTTGTCTCTGGCTTGAAGGACAGGGCGGTGGAGGATGAGGTGAAGGTAAAGCCGGGGAGACTCATCTTGCTACTGTCTTTGAGAGAATCAGTGGTGACGGTGGCAAGTGATGAGGTGGAGGCAACAGGGAAGCTGGCCGTGACAGGAACTATGCTCACAGAACTCACACCAAATTGAAATCCAACTGTGGCGAGAGAAAAAAAAAATAATAATTATTATTATTATTGAGGAAAACAAGCAAGATTTTTCCTATTACAGTCTGTACAGTAGTCCCTCACCAACTGGGGCAGTTAGGTTCCCAAAAAACCCTGTGGTTGGCATGACTAAAGGCTCAAGGGAAATAGGGCATTAGGTTCCATGGTTGCAGATAACACCCATCAATGTCTAACTAAGTTGCCGGTTCCTTCACTTAACAACACCTGTATTGTACATTTTGTAAAATTTATTAATATACATATAAAATAGCTTAATATAAATTTAATAGTAAAATAAATTTACCATACATCTCCCTGGAGATGAAATGTTGCTATAAAATAAGAAAAATTAAAAGCATGTGTATGTACAGTATGTGTTTGAAGTGATTGTATTTATGTTTGTGTGGAATTGGCGTGTCGCTAAGTTAAAGTGCCCCTGTAGCTACATTCCCCGAGCTCTACCCCTACCAGACCAAGCTGTGTTATTGATATTTTTCAACTCATATTTTGGGGAAGACATACATAATTTTTTTTATTTCTTTATTTTTTACTCTATCACATAGCACACAATCGTTCATACAGAATGTAAAAAATAAATAAATACATAAATAAATAAAATAATAATTATCATAAGATCAAAAACAAAGAGTTTAATTTTTTTTTACATCCATAGGAGTTACTATTCTTTTACTTGTAATTTTTGGTAGATATACAGTACATAATTTTATAATTATTATTATTTTTTTTACCGTTACATACACACAAAATCGTTCATACAGAAAGTGTCATCTCGTACCTATTAGCTCTCATTAGGCCTAAATCAAATCTGATTAGACCACTGCACAGCATCTCCATTAAAGACAATATATATCTTATATGATAAATAAGGTAATATTAAAAAAATTAATGATTTTCACCCAACATTCAGCCAGAAAAGGCTCAAGTGGAAGGATAACTTACTAGCTGTTGTTGTTGAGGTGGACACTGGGGTACTCTTAACCACTGAAGACAATGGTGTTGTACCACCAAACCTGAAGCCAACTGGATAAGCTGAGGCTCCTCCCTCAGTTTTACTTGAAGGTGTGAACTTGAAAGATGCTGAAAAGTATATAGTATATGAAGATAAAAAGAAACTTCCCTAGAATGACAGAGGGAGCAACATCACCCTAAAACATTAAAATGCATCACAAGATATCAAGACATGTGTTTCAAATTCATAGTGAAGATCGCCGCCCTCCCCAAGCAACTTCACCCCAAAACAATAGTTAAAGCACAGTAAATTATCCCAAAACTGATATATCTATCTTAAATACACCATTGGAGGGATTTTAGAGATATCGAACTGGCCAAACAGAAAGTGATAGTAGGCCAATCAGGGACAGCGAAGATAAAACACACTGAATACTAAGCCACTACACCCAAGTAAAAAACCCTTAAACTACACAAATTCCACTCAGAAAACTTTGTGGGGTATTCCCTTGACAAAATTATTATTATTATATAAGATGATACAGTATGTACATAATTATGATCAAATTGATATCTTACCAAAGGGTGTTAAAGTTTCTTCAACGGGTTCCTTTGCTTTAGGTGCATTGGGATTGAGCGTTTCACAAGCTGCACATTTTGTCTTCTCTTGTGTGTTTAATACTAAACAGGTGGAACAGCTCCAAGACCCTGCTGTAGGCTTGAACATCTCTGCTAATGATGTTGGTTTTGTTGCTGTTGTTAACGTCTGGTTACTTGATTCTTGGGGGGGCTTATTTACTTCCTTAAAAGTCAAAATATGATCCAAAATTACAGAATGATGTGATTCAACCTAACAATCTCTTTAACAAACGTAAAATTACAGCAGGAAAAATGACTATGATGATGAAATAAGTTTGTCAGTCACCAATAATACACTTGAGTATCAGGAATCCAAAGATCAATTTTCAGAAATAACCAATTACCTGAAAGGTTTTGAGATAAAAAAAATTACCTTGAAATATCATCACCTGACCTTGCCTATGTCAGTCAGCTGATGGTGTAATCATGTTGCCCTCATTACTCTTTCATCACTCAGAAAGCATTATGGACTCTTACTAGGTGTAATGTCATTAAAATGTCTCGAGTCAAAACAAATGAAAAAGTGATGGTACCAAGTGCTAGAGTACAAAAAAGAAAAATGCTCAATTGTGATTCAGATAAGGCCATATGCAAAAGTAATTACAGAATTGAAACCCAAGTAGTGTGGATAAAGTATTTGACGATTGTGGTTAATCAAACAGTGAGTGAATCATTATAGAGGAACCAATTTATAAATATTGTATAATAACATATGAAAACCAACCTGTTGTATCTTATCCATCTCTTCCTTATTCCTGGCAATTTCTTTGGCTTTCACAAAAGCATCTCTGAAACTGGTAGCAATTTCTACAGTCTTAAATCGGCAGCAGAACTTTTCCATGCGAAGTGACTCGTCCGCAAAATCCTGCCAATTGTAAAAAAATTAAATAAAAAATTATGTTCTAATAAAGTATGATGGAGAAATGTTTTTTAGCCCTTTATGATGCGCCCGATTTTCCTCTCTCAAACCCGGAAAAAAACTCCCCCATCCCCAGAATTTTCCGGGTATCGGGAAATTTTTCTCTGAATTTTCCGAGAAAATTTCAATTCCGGCTATCGGAGAGTTCCGGGTTTGAGGGATTTCGGCTAAGAGATATTACTGTACCTGAAATGCTGAAGGTTTAATAAGGGAATACAGTGTTGTGGAAATGAGAGAGATAGAGAAATTATTTACCAGAATAGCAACAAGTATAACAAGTTGAAATATTCTGGCCACATCAGCAACACATAATTTAAAGCAACAATCATAAGTCTGATAGTACTGTAATATGATGGTTGCCATGGAACTGGCTTTTACACAAGGTTCCAACATTATTCACCAAGTTCTGGAAACACATGAGTTGGACTCCTGTAGTATTGTTTAATAGATACAGTACTGTACTCCCATGTAATGCTAGGAGGCTAACACATACTGTTTGTGACATTCTCTCACTTTGTCATACATGATGATTGAATTAATATCTGGAGGTGGAAAATGAGGAAGTATACTTTTAAAATTCATTAAACAATGTCGGCAGCTCTTACTGTGTCCTGTTACTCCATGTACAACTCTCCTTGTTAGATGTTATACAGTATAGTGTGAGGCATGAGATGAAAACAAAATTGTAGTTGTGTTTGCTGTGTACACCCAGTAGTGAAAAAACAATAAAACAGCATGTTACTCAAACCTTGTAAACCAAAGGTACTTATAAAGAAGCCTACAAAAATCACATTAGTTAAAGGCTGAAACTCTTGGATGTTTCTGCTATAAGTCTTAGGGGGGAAGGATGTTCTTGCCACAGAACTTAGGTAAGGACGGAGGGATATTCCAACTCATGAACTTCGAGACATGAACAGACATCACTAACTAATTAAAGCATCTAAAAGAATATAGAATGAGGAGCTGGAAAACAGACAAGTAATTGATATGGTATACTGTGTCAAAACACCAGACAACATACACACCTGAGCAGCCCAGATCCAGACTTTATCATTTTTCTTCATAGGTTGTATGTCAATATTCTCTGTCACTAGGTGGTTAGCACAGATCTTGTGCGTCTGTAGAGAAAGAAGAAAAAAAAAAGTCTTTAGTAGTTTTGTATCCACTGGCCAGCCAAAAGTTGTTGGGGCTAAAAACATCTCCAAGGACCTGCCATGTATTATGAATCATTTTTACATCCAAACTGTAATCTTCAGCAAATACAAAATATGGGAAATTCATATTGAACCCACAAGAAATATATTGCAACAGCTGAGGGATATGTCCAAAACAGTGTCTGCCAGAGGTTGACAAAGTTCATTAGGACTAGGGAACATGAAGCGTTAATATCTAAACTCAACATCTGGAACAAGTGTCTATCAGGCTTCTTAAAACATTCCAAATTTAAAGTTTTCATATTTCCTAAGGTGCTACTCCATCTCAAACTAGACTTTACAGTACTTGTGCCAGGTTCAATAAACACTGCTTCCCAATACACAAAATGATTTAATTACAAAACAATTGAACTTCAAATTTTTCCTGACTTTAATTATATATTAGTCATTTGCTTTGTGTGAGATTAAATCTCAACAAAAGAGCCTTCTGACTATCAAATAACTACCTGGTCTCTCCTCATGAGCACTCTAGCAGATCCCTGAGATGGGTTGTGCAGCAGCTTCATTACGCCAGTGCCACGTTCCCGCCATTCTTTATCCACAAACCTGAAGAGTTTTGCTCGCTCTTCAAACAACACCTGTTAACATATAACAAATGCTTGGTTATAATAAATGGTTAAGACTAAATATAAGTCAATAAGTCAACATACCTTCCTAATATTTTATACTTCAAAATCAAACCATCGCCTCCATCCTCACAGCAAATGTGTTGTTGAATATACCCTGTGCAAACTTTAGGATAAAATCTCTTGTACACAAAGAGTTTGAGTTAAGTCTCCATATAACTTACTGCTTTGCAACATTCATTTATTACTTTATGCATGGAAACATAAACATGAAATATGGAAGTAAAAATTCTTGCTTGATGACTCCACTCAAGGACAAAGGTTCTATCCTAATGTCAATAGAGTTAGAAGGACAATGTGTGTTAGTATGTATTCAAGACTGACTACCGAGGCTTTTTCTTCCACATTTTTGCCGCCAACGTCTTTCTGTTCCTTCTCCAAACTGACGTCGGAAAACCATTGGACTTCCCAAGAATAAGCCAAAATTTAATTAACATCAAGTGAAATGGTTCGCAGGATCTCTCACTTGAGGGTTGAATTAAGTAGCTGACCCTAAAATGAAACCTTATGAAATACTGGTGCTAGTGTGATGTGTAAATTTTTTTTTTAGTTCCACTCAATATAGTAGATAGAAACTGAATTTGTAGTTTTCAAACCATACACTTTTCTGACCACATACATGTCACTGTATATACTGTAGTTATGAAACATACAGTAGCCCTTGCTTACCAACCTGCATCAAGTTTAAACAAAATCCATCAGCTGAGGTCTTAGCAAGCACACAAGGATTGAAAGTTGGAGACATGTATGTATCGTTAAATGGACAACCTACAAAAGTGAACTATGAAGACTAACCTCCTCATCCTCTTCTCCTGTACGAACTTCCACCTTCTCTGGCAGAGGTACAACTGGCTTGAAGTCTGGGCAAGGATCATGATCATCCTCTATGTAACGATCAGTATCCTCATCTGCTGCCTCCTTGTTCTTGATGGGTGAGATCTTTGGCTCACTGAGTCCTCCAGATGTGAAGGCTCCCGTATAAGCTGAAGAAATTTTATGTAAAATATTTTCTGAAAATAATCGCATTCATGTGCATGTATGGCAAAATCTTTCATTCTAGTTAGGATGGTTGTCTAAGAGCTTCACCTTTAAAGTCAATTGCTCTAAGTGATCATTATCTACCAAAATATCAGAGAGTATTCTACAAAAGCTGATCAATGAGTTCAAAAGTTTACATCAACTTAATTTGCTTTCCTCACTGACATCAGGCTAACAATGGTCTCTGACTCTACAAACAGGGTGGGTTTGTGTCACATGTTCACACAACTTGAGATTCAGACACAGCATCAACGCTCCCAAATGTACTGGAAAAGCCCTCCTTACAGTAACCACAACTAACACAACCTAAGGGTCTACATACACAACCACAACTACTAATAAACTTAAGGCTTTCAATTGTTGCAATACACTATCAGGTTACAACCGTCCATAGTATGTGACAAAATATATACAGTACTACTGCACACTACTAAAAAAGTATTTAATTTTTTTTTTACATATGATTTATGTGGCTTAAATATAACATTAACAGACTGCTGCTTTCTCATGAAACTTATCACCTGGTATATAAGAGTTCCCAGTCCCTCCTTTTCCCTAATCAAATTCTTTATCAAAGCTGTACCTTTCTATACTTTTACTCCCTGAAACATCAACTAATTTAAGTTCCTCACAATCCTCCTCATTATCCCTCAAACACCTGCCAATTCATTATACCTGGCCAGGCTACTCTCAGCTCTTATAAAATGTTCCATATTTGGGGATATTTATGGGGCCCTTATTCAATACACCACTATGGTTAATTATATAATGTACTGATATAGAAGTTTCATATCTGAGGACTGGTATAAGAAATAAAAACTATAATCACATATACTTAGGCATCACAAGATGGAAAATATGATTAGGGATACTTTGGAAAAGTGGTGAATTAGCCTAGAGGGTGACAAGAAGCAAAGAAAAATACATTGCAACAGAGTATCTAAATGATTACACAAGTGTGTAAAAATCGATGATAAAGATATGATTCCAAGTATAGTGATATGAAGCACAATGTATAAAAACATAACAGTATATTTGAAGATGCATGTACTGTACTATATGAATTATGCATAAAATCTAATGTTTAAATGCTCATACTAGGGTGTTGGATGAAACTGCCAAGTTATATTTACTGAGGAGAGCTTTTGAAGTCACAGATAAAGAAAATATTACAATCAGTGCCAGTGTAAAATAACATTCCTTTATAACTGAATAACACATGCTAACAAACATGCTTTGGATCACATATAAGCAAGCAAAGTAAGTTGCATGACAAATATACAGAAAAAAAGCCTAATGCAACACATAAGTGCAAGCCAAGCAACACAACTACCAAAAATCTAGTCTTCAGTTTCATAAAAATTTGAGTCATATATGGTTTTTTCTGGTATGTCTTGTAGACAGGCACGACAAGTGCCTGTTATGATGATTAATGACAGCCACAGGGAATGGGTTAACATCACTGTACTTTTTCTTATTCTGGATTCTCCAAATACACTTGTGATATCACTGTCCCCTTGTGAAAGGCATTGTTGACTTAAGCTTTGCCAATGTTTACTTTGCATGGCATGATATTTTCTATGTTGTGTGTATCCAAACGCTCCCCCCTCCCAATATCTGGGTCTTGGGTGGGTTATACACTTGGCATAACTTGATGCCTTCTTATCTTGAGAGGATCCATCTTTCAAATCTTTCTGAAAATTTTGCTTACCACTTTCAAAATGTATTTTCTACCAGTTTAAAAATAATGTAACAAAGGATTTACTCATCTTTAAATTACCAGTTATAAATATTAATATAGTCTATACTTCACTTTAACGACTAATTGGTTCCACAAAAACGGTTATTAAAGTGAAAATTGTTAATGTGGTGAGTACAGTTTACATGCTAAATGGGTCAACTGGTACCAGCCCTCAGACACCTTCACCCCCTATAAACCCCCACAAAAAATTACAACCACTTATTCACAAACATCAATACTGCTTGTAGAGTTAATAAATAACCTTTAGACACTCATTGAACGGCTTAATGAGATAAGTGAGTAGGTTACACCACACCACTTGTTTACACGCTCTGATCAAAACAAACCATCCCACTAGCCGACATCACCAAGATGGCCACCCAGAGTGACTATCAACTTGCGCTAATGATTCTTATTGTGTTGAATTGGATCGTTAATATGTTGGAGTCGCATTTCATTACTGTCGTAATTGCGATGAATCGTTAACATGAAACTCGTTAAAGTGACGTGAGTACTGTACAGTAATTACCATTAACCCCTTCATTATGGGAACACCATTTTTAATATTTTGTTGGTTAGCTCCAGACAATTTTATTCAGCCCAGAGGGTACCCTGTACACAAGAGACTAAGAACCAAAGCATCAACCTTCCATATAATACATGGGACAACAGACCTAATCTTATCTGTGTGGGTAGTGACACGAACGCTGATGCTTGCCTTTAATAGATAACTCAATATATTACTTTTTACAGTTACAGTATATTAAATTTACCCACAAATAACTGATATTAATGGGTAATATGATAATAGAGCCATAAAATTAAAGGGATAAACATTACTGACAATGACTGTACTTATTTCAACAATCTTATTTTGGTATAATGCTTTCTTGACCTTAATAAGGAAATTATGTTCATCATGTACAGTGACCCCTCGTTTAACGAACGCCCCAGTTAACGAATTTTCGGTTAACGAACTGCCTTCCATAAGGATCTTCAATTCGGTTAATGAACAAAAATTCGGTTAACGAATTTCTTACGAACCGACCTCAACATGTTTTCGCTTGCACTGACCGGGCAACCAGCTTTAGTATCAGTCCGCCAATACATTAATCGGTTCTAGGGCTTAAATTCCTTACTATTTTAGTAAATATCAAGAAGTTTATACTATTCAATAATTTTGAAGATTTAATATTCAATTTTTTAGTCATTTTAACAATTATTGAACATAATTGAAGGTAAAGTGACTAGTTTAATGCGCGGCATCCAGCCTCTTAACACATCAAACAGGCGTTAGTCTCTCTCTGTTTTCACTGGAGGTAACATCTTGCTTGAGACTCTCTTCAACTAAACGCTTTTCTTCTGTGTTTCCAAGCAAATTATTGGTCATTTTGAAATATATTTTACATATTGACAATATATAATGCAGTGCAGTGTTGATTTAAGGAAAATAATCTTGAAATACACCAAGAGAACTAAAATTTTATGGGTGAAATGGTGCCATGGGGTGACTTCTCTTCCACCCCAATGCCTTCTCTTCTTCCTTCTCCTCCACCCCCATTCTAATTCCCATCATCATCATCATCATCCAGGAGCCTTCTACATACACACCTCAAAGTAAGTGAACTTTTCTACCATTTTTGTTGAATTTAGGAAATTTTCGGTGAGCTGGAACCAATTACCCAAAAACCCATTGAAACAATGGTTTCGGTTAACGAACTTTTCGGTTAACGAACGACCTTCTGGAACGGATTGAGTTCGTTAACCGAGGGGTCACTGTACTGTACAGTCATGCACTTACCCTCCCAAATATATCATACCAATAATAAATTCTCTATATATTGAAAATGAAAATAACAATTACAGTGAAGTTAATACCAGCATAAATGATTCAATGTTTTACTATACTATACCATTAAAGATCTTGGATGCTGGATAGTTTATCGTCGGTCCCTAAAATTACTAACACAGACCAATCCTAACGTAATATTCAATTCTAAACTACACCCAATGGCAAAAAATTTGGAGTTTAAAATTGTGCAAATACTGTATACTGATGTAGTTGTGTAAGGCAAACAGCATGAAGAAAGTGTAACAAAAGTCAGTTATATACATCCTAGTACCTCTATCAAACCCTTTAAAAGATCAATAAATGTTTTGTATTTAGTTTACTACCTTCCATTGTTTACTTTTAATATTCTCTGGGTAAACATCTCCAAAAACACAGTACCCCCCTTTTCAATATTCTGTACAGAGGAACACAGAAGTTCACCGATCACTTTTGTTTTAACTTAACCTTACTAAACTTGTATACACTTCCATATCTAGTTGACTTACACACAGCACAGCAGACCAATACGACCATCTGGTGTCACATGCCGAGACCGTATCATGTCAAAACGTTCCGGGTGCATGCAGTTCAAAATCTAACTTAACCTTCTATTCCGTGGGACAATCTCGCTTCGATCGAACTTCACATGCCCAGAACATTTTCAGCAAGGTACAATTTCATCAAGCCGCACCAGGTGCATGCATGGCACCATAAATACTGTACTCACCACATCCAAGTTTTATTCTCACTCTTCACCATTTCACTTGCCACACCTGATTTCCATTATATATATATATATATATATATATATATATATATATATATATATATATATATATATATATATATATATATATATATATATATATATATATATATATATATATATATATATATATATATATACATAAAATTCTGCTCACCCCGACTCCCCCAATGTAAGGCTTTTTGATCTGGCAATTATAATTACACCAAAATGCTGGTTCCAGATTGATTTAAAAGTTAAATTACTTCATCTCCACAAAACTACCTTTTCTTCTTTTAATGAAGAAATAATCCTCATTTCTCCAAAACAAAGAGATATCAGACTCCTCCAGAATACATGAAACGTCACTGTCACAATACTCAACAATGCAACATTACTACATTATAATCTCTACCAACATAATGTACAGCACAAGAAAAACAATAAGTAATACAAGCATACAAAAGGGACGCAAGTCAATTCGCTCAAGACTTAAGGAATCAGCCATGCATAAGCAACCCTAAAAGCAAAAAAATAAATAAAAAATGCCGACACTCAAAACTGAAAATGACATACTAAGAGAGCTATCCCGTGACCCGGACGCAGCCGACGGAGCTACCAAATTGTCAGATGCAGTAGACAAGCCTTCTGTCGACATCACCGTCGATAGTGATTGGATGTGTGACTCGCCGCGCACTGGGGATGAGTCTGGAGTGACCGCCGAGTAGAGTGGGGGAGGCACATTGGCCAGGAGACCAGCAGTGGTAGAGCAGGGGAGGGTATGGGACAGCGACTCTCCTAGAGTTATCATGGTGCAACGTTGTCATGGATGATGCAAGTGACAAGAAAAAATTCCACACTTAGTTGGGAATACCTACAATTATTCTACATGTCTAAAAATTTTCTTTAACAATCTCATCTCAAGTAAAAACAAATTTAAGCACAAATCATTTCTCAAATTCAACAATGTTAGTAAAGTAATAATTTAATGAAACCAGTTAAGATTTATTTCATAATTATAAATAGAAAACATTAATTCAAGTTTAGTGCTGATGTTGGCTTAGATTGAGAGTAAACACAATATATTTTTGATGTTTGAAGTGTCAGTTTCATCTGTTGGCGATATAAAGAAGAATTAGGATCTACAGACACTTAATACCACCATATGGACTTAAACTCCAGGATATAAACTATCCTTCATTACTCACAGTTGCTCATTTGTTAATTAAAACATTTAACACTAACTGCTTATCTGTTAAATTCAGGCCAATTATTGTGTGCCAAATTTCTTACAATTAAATTGACTTACAGTATTGATCCTACTTAGGCACACAAGTTAAACATGAAAAATATATATTTCAGGTGGCATATAAACAAGTTTTGTTCTTTGTAATTGGTCACATAGTTTTGACAAGTTATCCAATCAGAGGAGTGCCATATTATTCAAGGCTAATTACTACTTCCTTATGAACTGTGGAGGTTGATTTATGTTGTGTGTTATTCTTGGACATTTGTTAACTGCAGTAAAAATGTTAAAAATGCCTCATTGTTTTATGGCAAATTAAGGCTTTAGAAGAAAAACTTCAGTGGTAAGCAGTGCTAATCCAGCCTCTATAATACCAATGGCAAATGGAAAGCAAACAAATAAAATATACTGATCAGAAAATCAACAAAGACAGTATCAAACCATTCCAATAATACAAGATACTAAATTAAATAATTAAGCCTCCATGAACTTCAAAGCAAAGTCTTTAAAATTAATTCATTAAAAGCAGTTTTGAGATACAGAAAACTTTTTCTCCCAAGCACAGTCGTCTTAGATCAGAGATGATGCCTGAAAGTGTGTCCCATATAAACCAAGTTTGCACTAATTATCTGACTGAATATGCCTAGAAGGTTAAAGAAAAAATAGTAATGAGAGGTCAATCAGATCTGAAAGAGGAACAGTTATGATACAACCTATATGGATCTGACAATATGATTACTTTACTACTGTACTATGTAAATGATGTCTGAAAATATCACTTTCCAGGAAGGAAGAAAGGAAGTTGAGGACTATAACAATACATGTACTCACTCAGACACCCAAAGAAGGAGCAAATGTTAGCATTCTAAGCCAGGGTTTCTAGTTGTACCGTAACATTGGGCTATAATGAATCATGAATTTCACTTACCCTTTTTATTTAATGACTACCTAAATCACTGCAATTATCCTTTGTATTGGGAGAAAATTTACACATGATATTATTTTTGAGCAACAACAACAAAAAAAATTACTGTAAAAAGATTGACAACAGCTAATCTACCATTTGCAATCCAACTCTCAGTAATTATATGGAAACTACAGATTTTTTCCACATCAGAATACCCTGTATTCCTTCAGTGAAAAATGTTCATGTGCTGACATGCAAACAACAAGTTCGAAGAGACTTACAGGAGATGGTCTAGGTTAAAGCTGTTAAATAAAGCCTAAGAGATTAATACCTTCCTCAATTCTATCATCTGACATGAGAAGCTCTGGAAAGCATCAATATCTAATAAACCTCAAGAATGGCCAGGGCAGAGAACAAAAGGAGTGAACATACAAGACGGGACTATCACAGCTCCTTTCCTTTAATACCCCGAGTATTAAAACAAAGAACAGTAACCCCTTCTCTACTGCATACTGAAACTGTACTAAATGAATATTATATCCAATACTGGTACTTTGTCATAAAAAATGTTTCAGTTTGTGGTATACCAAAGGTTCAAGCACTTCTCTTTCCAATACAGATAACTTGTTAATCTGGATCACGAGGTGAGCAATGTGTCGATTCATGGCCCCTCCATTTCTTTCTATTCCGGTTCAACTCTCAGCTCGGTGCTATTACTACACCTTCTCCTGAACCTTAACAGATTTAACAACCTAATGAAGAACTACTGTATAGTTGTTTAAGTGCAGATCTTTGAGATTGACTCAAAATTAATGTTTAAGTGATTTAGTAGTATGTACAGTACTGTAAAATACAGCACAGTACTGGAGTCTGATAGTGTTTAAAACAACTGCCCTTCACTACCCCCACACTATCTTCAGGAGCCAAGAGTTCTTTGGAATTAAAGGTAAGCACTTATTTGAAATAAATAATCACCTTTGTTTGTGTTTTCAGATTAGTGTTTTGTTTTTCATTGCATCTGAATTTGCCAATTATTTCTACATGGTAGGTCTTTGCACTTTAAAATTTACAATAACCTGGATCACCTTTCCCCCAAGCAATCCAGATTAATTACGTTTCACTGTGTCTCAAACTTCAAAACGTAATGAGGTCAAGATGGCTGCAGTGTAAGATTGCCTAATCTGCCTCCATATGCACAACTGGAATGCAGGGAACATAAAACATCCATCGATTTTGGCTGCCATGTGAAGGTTACAGAGTGACATCTTGGAATGTGAACAACAAACAAAGGATATCCTTGGTAACCTTCATGACTGACTACAACCCAAACAACTGCAAAAGATAAATGACACCGTGAGTCTTAATACAAGGGATGCCCCCATAGCCAAACTGTGTCCCTACAGTATATCAGTCAACTCATACCAACAGCCATGTAGGCCTGGTGTCAAGATAAAATAGGTATCTCTCATGTCCTGGTATTTATAAATCTACTAGAGCTTAAAACAATTTACTGTACCAAAACACTGTACAGTACTGGTATAATGAATATAACAGTGGACAAGTAATGTAAAGTTACAAATACCACTGAAAGAGTTCCTAAATATTGAGACATCACAGTATTCCAGCTCTTACTAACTGGCTTGTGTTTATATGTCAATGATAAAGCTCTGTCACCACGAACTGTAGGGGAACAAAAACAACGGCTTCGGTTCTTTCAAATGCAGAAGTATTACTATCCCATCTCAGTAAGTTTAATACAGACATTATCCGATTTACCAAAGGGTCTCGTTTCTGATAAAGCTTTCATAAATTTGATCACACTTTACATACAGTACAGTAATGCTGGTAATTCTATACCTGTAGCTACTTACAAGAAACTGGATTAAGATTTGAAGTAAAGGGAAAAGTATGAAACACTAAGCCAACATCTATAATAAACATAATACTGTACTGTATATTGATTTCCCTTATTTAATTAAAGATACAGTACCGTACATTCTCTACTGGGGGGACAATTATGACACCAACAACCCGATTCCTAATAAGTCACTGCATCACCATAAAACCTAAATTCCCGTTGCTTTGTTTATACTGTATGGCACGAATTCTGATACTGGCAATCTCCACACCTTCAAACTTTTCTTCACTCCCTAATTCCACACTTCCTCTTATAACTCCATACCTTCATCGAGCATAAACAGCTTTGAAATTTAAGAATAGGGAATAATTTTCTTATATTTAATTTTCCACATTATTACATGACAGTAAATTAGGAGATATTGGATAATCAGGCAACTGTCCGAGTCACTGTGCAGGTGGAGACTAAGTCTACTTGACCCTATCGACTTTGAGAAGTAAATTATTTGGTGACCATAGTGTGTTTTTTCCCAGCTGAGAAAGGATTCCCTGCCCCCTCCTCAAGAGTTACAGCTGATTGGCTGTTGCAAACCTGTCAGATTTTGTCCTGAGTAATGATGTATTTCTAAACGAATTTATTCATAAAGACCGTTTCTGACAAAAGATATTTAAATAAATTATATAAAGATACATACCTTCATTATTTCAAACAGGAGCACGTAGGAAGTTTTTCATTAGTATTATAAGTGAAGTAACTGATAAACTCGGGTAGCAAATTCACGCTTTCGGAGGATGCCTTTAATATATACTACTTATTTTTACCTACAATAAGACATACTAAGACAAATTACATATCAGTAATAGTACATTATGCAAAAACAACATTTTAAAGGATCAGAATCACATTGAAATATTACACGGCCATCAGCAATGGTGAGAAATATGACTGCGAACTACTTCATATTTTTCCAGCCTCTGCTGATGTGATAAATTTCCTAAGTGCTGAAATAATTTGCATCTTTATATAATTTAGTTAAATATTTTTCTCGTCAGAAACGGTCATCCCAACGATTATGAATAAAGTCATCTAGAAATACATCATTACTCAGGACAAAATCGTACAGGTTTGCAACAGCCAATCAGCTGTACTCCTGAGGAGGGGGCAGGGCATTTTTTCTCAGCTGAAAAAAAAATGGACTATAAGAGAATTACACAAGGAAAGCTTATTTGTTGTCTTAATAACATTATGAGTATTAGAGACCACTGTAATGAAGTTAGTGAAAAAAGCAAGCATATTGGTAGATGATGGAAAAAAAATTTATATACAGTATACTGTATATATAATCAATCGAATCATGGGACTGATTAATTTTTATAAATTCAGATTTGATTTTGTTAAAATGAACCTTCATAAATCGGGGACTGCCTGTACAGTACTTCTAATAAATAACTAGTCCAAACATGGCTGGAGACGAGTTAACCTGAAGCTGTGCTGTGGAGAAATATGATCTTCTCTAATGATGTCCATTATCATGGAATTTTCATCAGAAAAAAAAATTTCACAAATGATGATGAGCTATGGCAAGAGACAAGGAGAGATATTATGACATACCTGGCACAGATCTTGGCGGAGGCGTCAGAGCATTAGAGACGGGTGGCATGGCGATCTGGAAGGCATGCGCTGGAGGAGAAGCATCTGGGGGGAGCCGATTGTTGCTGGCGCCAGTAGTGGCCAAATTCCAGTTCTGTAAAACATACCATTAGTTGCGACAGGTGTTGAGCAACTATGAGTTTTGAAGCAGCAATATAAGACCTCCATGTAGAAGTGCAATTACATTTACTGCGGACATGCCACATACAAAACGGTCCACCTCTCACAGTTGACTGCGGATGTACCATTGTGCAAAGAGTGCCGCACTAAAGGTACTGTACACTTCAAATTCAGAACAGTTGCATTGAATGGGCCAATACAAGATTCTCCTTTGTAAATTTTAATCCTCGTTGTGCAAGTAGAGTACCACAGTAAACCATGTCTTTTACAACAGAAGAACAAATGAAGGGAAAATGAGTGAGTATATTTACCTGAGTTGAGAACATTCCAGATTGAGATGTTACAGGATCCTTCACTGTGATGCTGGCGGGGGAGGCCAGGGCAGGCGTCACCATGGATGTGTTGGTCTGTGCCAAGGTGGAGATTGTTGCACCTTCACTCATACTTGTTGACATACTGTCATAGTAATAAAAATAATTTGTCGGTTTAACAATTATCATAAATGACAGACAAGTAAAGGTAATACAGGAGTGTTCAAAGAGTAAGGTAGACCCCTGATTAACACAATGTCATTCAACATTTTCAATGCAACATTACACCTTAAATTACACCCAGAGGTGGGGGGGGGAATAAAACTAAATATGGCTGATGCATGTATAAAATTAATCCTATTTAGATGGAATTAACTAATGTTTGACAAAATCCAAAGAACAAAAAATCCTATTTACAAGGATTTAACTATAATACTGACAAAATTCAAATAAGAACAATGTTTAAACTATTGAAACCATAAATACAGTATTAAAGTGGTCACCTTCCAGGTGCATGAGGGAAAGACTCACCGCACAGATGGTTTGATATCTTAAAACGAGGTGACTTCCACCTGTACAGTATATATACAGTAATCCCTGCAATTTACTTTTTGTTTAATAATCCTAAAAACAACACTTCCTACAATATAAAATTTTGATACTCTACCTGAATGACTGCTCCGGCATTGTGGATGGTGGGAAGAATGGAGGGTTGCCAAAGAGCCCTGGGGTAGGCATCAGGGGACTGGGCACAGCTTGTTGATTGTAGTAATTTATATAACCACCGTAGAGACCTGTAGAAACAACAGCTGTTGAAAAAAATAATAAAAATATAAAATATATGATTTACAAAACAGCAACATTCCATTTTGTAATATTTTCTCCATTATTATTTCCAACTGTAATTCAACAATACCTACTGACTAAACTAGATAACATTTTGCTCATTGATGAGAATTATTGAGAATAGTTTAACTCCATTATGCAGCACAGTAAATCATTATAAATAAGAAATATATCTTCTTGTGTAACAACAAAAATATTAGTTGATACATACTAGCTGGCAAATCCACAGGCACTTGTTCATCACTAGCCTTCACTTCTGTTACTTCCGAGTGCTGCACCAAAGAAAAATTCATTCATAAGCACAGTAAATATATGTTATGTAGATGGTACATCCTAAACCTACTGCAGGCAACTATTACAACTGACAATATACAAAATAACAGACATGGCAAAACACATGTGCTATTTACTACACTCAGCTGCTATAAAACATTCTATATTCGAGAAACCAAAAACTTTCTGAACATATTTACCTTTACTGTAGATTTCATAGCTCGCACTTCTCCGAGGTCAACTGCCATTGCGTGTACTTGACCCTGTTAAGGATAAATACTTGGAGTTATAATGCTAGGTACCTTGCTGATGAAGAGGAGAGGCAAGTGTGCATAGTGAAACAAAGTGGCCACCTTATTGAACTATACATTGAAGGTGGTATGTGATGGCTGAAATTTGATTTTTAGGACTAATGACTATAACCTGTGGTCCTAAAATATAAACAGAATCCTTCCCCTGGCCTACAGGATGTTTCATGAAGACTGGGGCATCTTAAGCAGCACTCTTACCACACTCTCTAAAACACCTCTTAGTTCAGTAATCTTTGATTCTAAAATAATATCACCTGAAGATTAGCCTCAATCTATTTCACCTGAGGATTAATCACCCCAATACTACCTGGGTGGTTAGGTTAACATTTGGGAATAATTCAAAATTATACAGTACAATACTAAGAAATAAAATAAAAGAAAAAATACAGCAGTGTAAGCTGGCAATAGTTTCACTACATGGGACACAGGAGCAGCTGAGATCCCCAACACCTCTTCCTCCTACAATCCATGTGCATCTAAGAAATATTTATTCCCTTTATGTTTTTGACCTTAAGTTAATAATTTCTTCGATTTGTAATTTATTTTAGCCTGTAAGAGGATAAAAAAATTAATAAAAATTATGAGGCAAAAAAATAACAATAGCATAGCTTGACCTGGTAGGGGGAGAGGAAGGGGAATGTAGCTACAGGGACAGTCTAACTTGGTGACATGCCAAGTCCACTACACACACACATGCTCTTCATTTTCCTTATTTTATAGCAACTTGCCATCTCAATGGTTATTATTTTTCTAATTCACTTTGTGAATAAGTGGGGTATGCTTCAAGAATATTGAATATGGATGTTAAAATATAAATTGCAAAAAACAAGGCACTGTATTCCTGTACAGTACTGTTATATACTGTATGTGAGGTGTATATCTTTAATTATAATCCACTTTATCGTAAATATAACAAATAAGAAGCTTCAACATGTCCTGCCAAGTGCATCAAACTACTGTATACACAAATATGGATTTAAAAAAAAAAGCCAAGTGGATATTAGTAAATTTTGAGTTAAAGGAACAATTTTAAGACAATCAAAAGAAATGAAAATATAATTATTATTACAGTATTATTTTTTTACCTATAATGGTGCACTGACACTAACACTACCACAGTCTGACAGAAAATTGATGACATCAGTAACGTTAAGGCCTCAAAAAGAACCAAGTTTTAACATTACTCTTGGCAGCATTTTCCTGGTACAGTGAACACAATCATAGTTGCTACCGGCAATCAATAAAAGTGTACACAAGGATGACATGATGGGCTACACGATACAGTTGAAAACATAGTGATGTAGTACTCTTTGTGTATCTCCAGATATTACTTCCCTCAGTGAGGAAAGGGAAGGAGCATGATAAAATAAGTCCACAGTTGCACCCAGGTTCAATGATTATACCTGTAAATCCTTGACTGTAGATTGTAAATCCTTAGTTTCAACTAGTAGTGTGGAGTGTATCTGCTTCATTTCCTTAATAATTGAAGCATAAACCTCTTGAGACAGAGACTTGTTCTGGTCCAACATACTGCGATAAAGTGAAGCATTTTCCTTGAACTCATCAGCCATGGTGGTACAAAAGTTTCTGAGTGCCTCATTTTGTGCCTTCAGTGCAGCATTTTGTTCTTCCATATTTCTCAGTGTGTTTTCCTGTACCTCAGACAAGGCTCTCACTTGGGCATCTAAACGCTCTCGACTGGAACGTGCTTCCTGCAAATAAAAAAATTACTTTTGTACTAATTTCTTTTTATTTTTAAGCAAAATTTTTTTTTTATAGAGTGAAGGGTGTCTGGGAACAAAAATATTGTCAAGCAATCTCTATTCCTGTTGCAATTGAATAAAGTATAAAATACAGGTACATGATTTTTTTCTTTAATTTCCCTCAAGTGTTTTTATATACTGTGCACACCAATCTGGGTTTATCATGCTATGGCTAAAGTTTGAACAAGACAAATATGAAAATTTGATTCTTTTTTTAAACGAAAAACCATATTATTCATCTAAAATTTGCATGAAGATCTAGAGTTAAAGTCCAATGAGTAACAGTAACCCTTACCCAAGGTTTTGTCCCAAACTTTTCAGGTGGAAAATTAATCACTGGAATATAAAATGTTGTAACCACTGAGAAGTTACTGTTAATGCCTGTATGAACATTTAAAAAGAGATGATATTCCTCAACCCAATACACTTAAGCTGTAATGGTTTTGTGAGTTGTCTTTGTTGAAAATAACCTCTTGTCCAGTACATGACATTACTATCTTAGTTATCCATCCTAAACAATTACTTACAAGTACACAGTACAAACACTGACGGTCTCTTCTTAAAACTTGACCAAGCTTGTAACTGACCTGTCTGGTGATTCTGGCACTACTTTTCTTTTCTGTATATGGGGTGCTAAACAAGTGTGGTGTTTGAGGCAAGTTTGTGATGACATTTTCCAGGTCGGGGCTCGGTGACTGCGATGCATCGGAAATGGACTCTGTGTCATCCTCCTGTTGCCTGGACACAGACTTGTCAAGGGCCATGTGGGACAACCGTCTTTCCACATCTTGTAATTGTTGGTTAAGTTTTGTATGGAGTGGATGGCCACGGTCAACACCTGAGAGGAAAAACAAAGGAGCAATAGAACAAATCTTCGCTGTACATATTATAGTTAATTCTAAATGACATGCTTTAAATGTGTTCTTAATTTGTTACAAGACAAACCCTATATCACCTCCACCATACAGCATTAACTCCTTACATTTTAAGATTCCATCCTTCATTTTCAATTGTTCATAGTCAAGACACACTTGGGTGAAACCTCTGAGAGAGAACCATTTATAATCAAGCTTTTATTTCAATGGGTTGTGCTACTGACTCACATATTGTCTATAGACAATATTTTGTTGATTCATCTAATAATATGTGGTCAAGAGGTAGTGTGTCTTCCAGAGCAACAAAAGGTAAGTCCCAAGATCAGGTAACTTAATCCAGTTGTGTGAAGTTATCCAGCTGTGTGATCCTGATGCCCTACCCAAGACAGTGATTTTGAGTTGTAAGAATACAGTGATAAAAACAGTAAGTGCAATTGAATCACTTGATGCCTCTCAGTTTGTGAATGAGATCAATCAGACAATCAACAAGCTGAGTTAGATAAAGTCATCATTGTCAACAACATTTTACACACTTGTGGGTTAGCCACAATAACCTGATACATTAGAAGCTTTTCATGCTAAATGGTCTCTACTCTACCAACCATAAAGTAGTGTATCATCTTTGTCTTTAGTGTAAGAACTTTAAATATATCTTTAATGTTTCATTTCTTAAAGAAGCATTAAATACTGTTAATATGTATCTAAGTTTTATAAGAAAAGACAATCGATCAACTGGTGAGAGCCTACACTGGCCAACAGCATCTACATAGCAGATATTGTACGAATCATGGCACTCGGAGTTCTATTGCTCTATGAGATACCTTGAGTCTGAATAACTGCAGTCCCGGGAGCAGTTGTTCAGACTCAAGGGGTTGTAATATATTATTATTTTTAATAATGGAATTAGTGTTGAAGTGAGATAAAGTAGTGGCTTAGGATATTCTGTGGTTTGGATTTGGGGCTGCAGTCACATACCCTGCTCTTCTGCACTCTCTTTCCAATACACATCTCTCGTCATCTTGGTTTTCACTGGCATTTTCAATTCGTTTAGCACGAACTTGAACAACACGAGACTTTTTAGGAATTTATCTCAAATGTTAAGCAGGGATTAGCTGTACAGTATACTATATACAGTACAATGTGTACCAAACAAATTCAAGGTTTTTACCTGGCATGCGAAGTCTATCCAATGTGAGGTAAAATGTGTCGCGCGCCTGAGTGAGAAGCGTGGTATGCTGGGAGCGTTTTTCTGAAGTTACGGACTCCACATTACCCTCACCCAGCAGTGCTTGACCCTGTTCTTTATATAACTGGAAGTAAAAATATTTGTATTAAGTTCTAACACATGAATAAATAATCTAATTATCATCTCCAAATCTAAATTTTTTTTTGTCATGATAAAATCTATTTCACTGGTATAAAAACAAGAGAAATTTACTATTTACTGCAGTCTATGTATAATGACAACGATGAAACAGTTAAAGTTAATATAGTTAAGTATGACTGGACTGAGTAGTAAAGTATGCACACCAGCGCCCTCTGGAAAGAAGCCTCAGGGCTCTTCAACTCCCCAAGAGCTTGTATTGCCTCCTGTTGTTTCCCTGCATGAACAAGGCGCATTGCCAAGAAATATTTTCCCTCCATCTCTATCTTGGCCACCTCCTCTGATGTTAGGTTCACACTGAAAGAATGAGTCAGTTAAGAATTCAAAATTCATTTCTGATAGAATATTCTTGGGGAGCTTTGCACAAAATCTCTCACTTCTCCATCACAAAACCTAGACACACTACAAATTTAAACAACAAAATATATACAGAAGCCTTGGCTTATTAAAAAAATTTTTTTTTAGTAGTTCCCCTTAAGTTTTCTCTGGCTACTTACCTAAAAATCTTCAATACTTACTGGTTTACACAAGCAGATAAAAAGGCTTTATTGAACTTAGTGTTATTCATTAGAAATAAGATGTTTAAACTGGGTCTCAGCTAAGCACCCAAACATGGAACACTGACATGATGTTTTGTACAGTACAAGTATTGGTAATTGTGAATATCTATTAGTACAGTAATGTATATCCTGTACAATATTCTTTGTAAAATGAATACTATTTATATGTGAAAAAGTGTGATGAATAATGTCTCCTAAGTTTTGAAGCTTGATGATTTAATGTAGTCACAGCCATAACGAGTGCTTAAAGAGGTACAAATTTATAAGGAAATTCTTCTTAACAAAGAAGGTGGTTGATCTATGGAACTGTCTACCAGCTCAATCTGTAGAATCAAGAATACTACTGGGCTTCAAAATAGCCCTAGACATCTAACATGGTGGGAAATATGGAAACATAAGTCATCAATACACATTTGTTCATTTTGACAGATTAAACACTTGACTAGAGATTAAAAAAATATATAAATCTTACTACTGGACGACAAAGAGTGGATTTCTAGGCACTACGATGGGGAGGTTTCGTGAAGTCTTGTGACACAGTTGCAAAGCCTCTTGCCAGTAAAGCTCTGCTCGATCTTTCAATGCATCGATTTCATTGTTTGTACTTCCGTCCCCTTCGGCAGCAGTGGCCTGTAACAAACCAAACATCAAGTAAAACCCAAATATCCTAACCACTAAAAAAAAAAAAAAAAAAAAAGAAGAGGGGGGGGGGGTTATAACCTAAAACTTTGTTCTTTGACCCCAAATCAATACTTTAATCAGGTAAGAAACAATTGTGCTGTTTAATGGGGGGTTAAAATAAAAATTGAGAGGACACAAGAAATCATATCAAATCTGCCACAATGTGTCAGATGATAACCATTACACAATACTAACCCAGTTTGTGAAACACTGTGCTAGGTGTGCCAAAAGGGGCAGGGCAACTCCATGGTTACCCTGCACCCTAATAACTTCTAAGCCACGTTGTAAGGTTAGCCTCTGTTTCATATAACTCTGGTGTACACGGTTGGTGAACAGAGTGTAAGCGGCCGTCCACCAATCAGCTTGTTCTACAGTGTTGAGAGCAGATGCTATCACTGTAGGCAGAGAGGCTGGGGGAGGGCCTGGTAAGGAAACAAACATTAATACTAACATACAAAAGTTCTTGAGCTTTAGTGTTCCAACAGTGTACAGTAGTCTAATTTGTGTAAAAAAATTTATGAAAAATACTTGAAAATGTGATTTGAGCAACACCCAAAAACAAAACATGGATATTAAAACTTAAAAGTAGCTGTATTAATGATAGAAGCTGCACTGTCCCTTTTTGTGATCTTTTATTGCAGTACAGCATTTATTTTTATTCTCAAGTCATTGATTTTCCAGTGTTTTGAGCACTAGTGAATTCTTCAGAAAAAAATGGCAATTTTGAGAAACAAAAGACCAGCTATTATTATCATCATTGGTTGTGCAAGACAAATGGATGGACTAAACATTTCATTATATCCCTCAACTAAATTGAGCAGAGGATGATAATTACTCACCATGAGCCTCCTTTAAAGCAGCAATCTGACAATAGACTGTGGCAGCTAGGAAGGCCAAGAGATCAATGTGACACAATGTTTCTGCAGCCCCTGTGTTGATACGGGAGGAGTAGAACGGGAGACCCTCAAACAACGTGAACGAGTAATATGGCTGGGGATTTAGATTCATCGGTGTTTGTTGTAAGCACAGCCATACCAAGTCTCCGAGACTGGCACAATACATGCTTCCCACCACTGCAACAGCAACAATTATTTTTATACATGTGTAACTTGCACTACATTAGTCATTGTCTTCATTATCTGGCAATGAGAAGCACCACCTATACATCCTCACACTAATACCAATAAAATGTTACTACAGCAGATGTGATTTTCCTCAAATCCAGTTTTTACCTGAACATTTCCCCCCTTTATTGCAGGAAACACATAAAACACCAAGAAGAAAAAGTTGTTAGAGTGATAAAGCTGGGAGTCCAAATCAGATTTCCATCGTTCTTATTAATGTTGTTATTTATTGTCACATTCCACAAACGTTGGAAAATATTAAGACTTACTTTTGTACCACTGTACAAGAAATATATGAAATATAGACACTTGTAAATGTATTTAAGGTTATTAAGTAGAATTATACAACATACAAATTAAAAATCACCCATTTAGCAAAACAAGTGACTTCCACCTCTGCGAAATGTTCCATGAGGTACTGGTACTTAATTAATATATCACATTATTAAGTTTATGATGATCATTCATTTTGAACTGGACCATTACTTACATTCAACCACAAGACCTTACATCAGTCCTACGATTTATCCCCTTTTCAGTTAAAAATGCTGCAACAAGGTATAAAGCTATGTACCTCCAATGTAGACAATAAAATAGAATAATCACAATAAAGACCAAGAGTGTATATCATCTTGATTACTATGCCCACATAACCCATTAATTTAACTAACTGCTTATGTTAGATCAAGAAGTACAGTGAACTTACCATTATCCCACTCCTTCACTTGATCTGGCTCAGGGTATGATAGTGAAGCATCAATAAACCCTTGATCTTTTAAGAAGAAGCTCTGGTCCTTATTTTCCAAAGTGGACTGAAGCACACTCTTCTTATTATCCAAAGTGGCTCCAAACACAGTCTTGTAAATATTCCCCTGAACCTCTTTGTTACTGCACCTCACTTTCACTTTTTCCAAATATGTTTTCTTGTCAGTTTCTGTACTGGCCATGTGTTCCAGAACATGGGCAGCCTGGGAGAGTCTGTGGCAGGCTAATTTATACCAGAACTGATCACGAGACTTCCAGGATTTAGACTGACGGTCAATCTCTGTGGTCTGGAAACGACAGGCATGGAAGAGAAGGGCACCAGCAGTAATACTTGTGGGTGTTAAGCACTCCTGTAAAAAAAAATAAAAATATAATAAAAAATAAATTATAATTCCATACACACATTATCTTTACCTTAGTCTGGTGAATAGAATCTTTTCTCTTTTGGACATGGGATATAAATGAAAGAACAGCACAGTGTGTGTGCAGATGTTTACACAAGTTAAGATATTAACTCACCTTCTGGGCATTACTTAAGAGGAAGATAGCCATATTTAAGTACAGTTGGCCAGCCATCACTTGACCAAACTGAGTGCCTGGACCAATTACAGCAAGACCCGTAGTTAACTTTTGGTCAAATCTGCAGAAAATATTGCAAATATCATTAACATTTTATATAGCATGTGGAATACATAGAACTGTTACACACAGCACAGTTCACATCAGATAGTCACATTCTATGTTTGCAATAACACACACTCACACATTGTCTACAGACCACAATATATTTGTGTGGAATTCCAGAATGAGTTTTTCAGTGCTGGATATGATATACAGTAGTACCACTGTACATCCTCAATACTCTCATCATTATAATTTTTATGGCCATTTTCCATAGTTACATGCATGAACCACAATTACCCAATTGTCGTTCTTCATGCTGCACGGCCACCTTAGTCTCTCGTCAGGTTCTGACAATCTACATCCATGCTTCATTCTTGGCCTATCTCTAACTCCCCTTCCCAGCACACTTAAACCCAGGCATTTCTTGATCCAAATGGTTTCCCTCAATCTCTCTATCTCAGTCAATCTCTATACTGTACAAAATTCTTAATATTGTACTCTGATAAAAGCAATCATATATTAAACTCACAACGCTCTCGAAAGGACCATCGTCCCTACCACATATAAAGAAAATCCACCTACCCCTTTAGGTGTTACTGTGTTCACAGGCCATATATATGGAGAAGAACTATCTCATTTTAAAGAAAGATGTACGTACAATATAAAGCTCACCTTTTAAGGAATGTGGCTGCATCATTCAGTGTACATGGAGAAAGAAGTGCTGTGCCACTGCTGGATGCTAATGTGAGGTATACAAGGCGCTCCAAGGCAGCCAAGTAGTTCATTTGGAATTCCTTATCATGGCTGACATCCTCATAGTTTTGGTAATCCTGCCAAAAGAAATCAAGTTGACGAATTTTCACAAGTCACACTACATTTATAACATGATCATTTTTATAATCAAAGTACTGGGACTTGGTCTGTTGTCCCATGAAAGTTACTGAACTGAGTCTGTTGCTTTAAAGAGTAAAAATCTGCAACCCTGCCCCCTAAAAGGGTTAAAGATGTAGATTGGAAAACATACTGGGGAAGCCTGAGAGTTAGGTGAAAAACAGTAATGATGGACTGTATGTGTAAATCTAAATATAGAAAATGTATACTGTACTGTAATATGGAGACACCTTGCATTAACTAAACAGCAAGGCAAGACATAAGTGTTATCAGGTTGTTTTTAAAGCTGAAATAAAAAGACAAAAAATACACCTGGTTTTTCTTACCTCCATTGTGTCAATTAGGGCTTGATACCATTCCAGGGAATCAATAAAGGCTTTTCCTGCTTCAACTCTACAGGCATGCTGGTATCCTTCATTGATCTTTGATTTGTCATCTGCACCCCATCTCTTGTACAACAAAAGTAGGTTAATGTGGAGTGTGACGAGTAGTGGACGCGCATTAATCCCATCTGTAGATCAATAAACAATTTGAAGTTATCATAATGAAAAACTTATTGTCATGATTTTGCTGTTGATTTACTACTATACAGTAAAGCCTCTGATAACAACGGTTCGACCAACAACTTTTCATATTTAAGACCCTAGTTAATTTAGGACCCAATTCAATTTATGTTCATTTCATTAATATTTACGACCAAAATAAAATAAAATTACATTTTCATATACATACTGTAATAACTAAATCCTGAATATATATATATATATATATATATATATATATATATATATATATATATATATATATATATATATATATATATATATATATATATATATATATATATATATATATATATATATATATATATAAATAAAAACAAAACGCCTTGTGCAAAGAAGCTGCCTGGCTAATGAGTGGTAATGCGCATCGCCAGTAAACAACAGTCGGAGCTTGGCGGTCTTTGTTTTCACACATCTGAACAGGAACAGGAGAAAAACTTTCTCAGGCTTCTTACAGCATTTTTGCATCCCTATTCAACATGAGCAAGAGAGCAAGTGATGGTAGTGTTGTTTCAAAAGCAAATAGAAAGTGTATAAGCTTAGCCGAGAAACTAGATGTGTTAAAACGATATGAAAAGGATGAGTGGTCTGTGGATATCATATGGAGTAAGCAATGAACATATTTTCTGAAGTGGATCCATTAACAGAACAAAGCATTAAAATTTAAATACAAGTTAAATGCAAATGACCTCTACATAAAGATGTATAATGAGAAAAGAAAGCAGCTGTGCAAGGTTCTTTCGACAGCTTTATTATTCGAAGGCCTAAACCAACAACTTCAGGTTCAGTAACAGTTTCAGCAACAGCTTTATGGAAAGCTACAGCTTCAGCCAGAGTTGAACCTGATGACTTCGTCATCTGAGTAAAAACTCGCACAATATTCATTGGATGTCCTTATGTTTTAGACTTTACCACCAATGGTGAGTAGAATTTTTGTTTTACATTTGTAAATATTATTTAAAACATTTATGAACAGTAAATAAGTGTTGCTTTCATATTCATATGTAGAGAAATGATGATATGTTTTCACATGTACGCACTTACTGTTCATACGTTGGCGTTCCCAATCATCTCGCTTTATTTCTTTACCATTAGTGGTTAGCTACTTCAAGTGTTCCATTTATTAACATTAAATAACATTACTTAAAACATACATACAGGTATTCAATTTTTTTAAATTAAGTTCACTACAGCTACAACCAGGATCTCATTTTCTGCAGTTTCTTATATAGAACCAGTGTCACTAACAAAACAATGCCATCTTGTCTCCTCGTGTGTTTTAATATTCTATGTATTATTAATGAATTGTATTGTTCATTTCACATATATAAAGATTAATTCAATCAGATACATAATCAGTAATTAACAATAATGAATCTTTTGTACATATTCTTAAAAAAGATAAATGACGCGGTATCCTTAAATGCGCAAGTATATATTGGCGTTCCCAATCCATCTCACCTTTTTTTCTTTACCATTAGTGGTTAGCTACTTTTATTGTTCCATTTATTAACATTAAATAACATTACTTAAAATATATACTGTATATTCATTTTTTTGCATTAATTTTACTACAGTTACAACCAGGGTCTTATTTTCTTATGTTGAACCATCGTCTCGGACTCCCGGCTGTAAACACAAACGAAAACAATGGCGTCCCATCTCTTGTTTGACCATATTATTATTCATTTATATTGTATAAGGTGCATTCAAAAACATTATTTAAAGAATAGTTTGCAATTTTCATTAATGTGATTGTTTTGGGGAAAATGAGGGTAAAAAGCCACACAAAAGATATGAAAAGGTCACACTTGGAATGCATCTCATTATTATTGCTTTATTTTAATGGAAATTAATGATTCACCTTACACTGCAATATTGGAGGACACATTACCGTCGTTATTCGAGGCTTTACTGTACTACTTCAGTGTTCTTTTAAACTCATTACATTCAGAATGATGTTTCAAATATTCTGTAACATAGTTCACTATATCTGTACATATGGATATACAGTAATACATCAATATGCTAAGTCAGATCTCATAATAAATAAGGCATAATATGTAATCTAAAATTACTTATGACACTTAATGTATAAGTTTTACTGTATAGTATAACCTAATATATCATTCAAGATTTCAAAATATTAAAAAGTAGTGTACAAGGATGCCACAATTAATGTTAGCAACTAACCTAAATACAGGCTTTCTAAATCTTCCCGTGACTGTGCGTCCGATCCTGTAATGAGGGACTCTTGCAGCTTGATAACTGTTTCATGGTGGGGGTAGAGGCGATTGCCCTCTTCAGCCCAATACAGTTTAACTGATTTGTCGGCATCTATGTGAGTGTAGATGTCACAGACTGAAAATTAAAATTAAAGGGGTATATTAATAACACTGTGGATAATTCATACTGATTGACTAGTTCTCTACACTGTACAAATTACAACCACATATATTTGTTTTAAATCTTGAAGACATCTGTTTTAGCAACATCATGAGTATAAGTGCGGTTCTTTCTAGAAGGAAGCAGGACTGAATTTTACTTACTTTTTAAGACCAAATCCTTTTGGATTTGGCCTAAATGATAAGATGTTTTATATGCTTCAAGAGCCATTACTTTGTTGTCCTGTAGCTCTAAAATCTGACCCATTAGGCGGTGTGCATCAGAGGCCTTGGGTCTCACAGTTAAAAATTCCGAAAGATATCGACGAGCACTATCATATTCTTTGATGTCAAAGTACAGTCTGGCGAAGTTATACCCACGTAGGTGACGCTGAAATTGGAAAATATAATTAAAACCACAGTACAGTAGTCCATGGGTTCTCATTTCATTTGTGTAAACAAAAAGTAAAAAAAATAGGGGAGCAATACTGAGGGGACTTATACAAGATATAAATCAAATAACAAAAAGAACTAAAATACCAGCAACAATTACTATCAATGATCTAACAAACAGTTTCCAGTAGAATATTCAGTATGGTACTAAAAATTTAAGTTGTGTTAACAATTATGTGAATTTAATGTACAACACTACCTATAGGATTTCATGATACAACACCCGCAAACACACAAAATACCCAGAACTCACCATGTAAAGGTGGTTGCTCCACCAACCTCACTTTATCATGCTAAGAAAATATTAAATTCCTCGATTTCACATCCATGTGTACCATTTAGAAATAGTTCTGTAATTCAGCAACAGAATTCTTTTTTTGTATTACATACCTATCACATTATTTTTTGTATTTAATTCATTTAGCTCTATCTAAAGAACAGTACAGTAAAAAATTTTTTTTACTGTAAGGTGTAATTTGTTTTAGTTTGAGAATGCACCATCACCCTTTTTTTACTAATACGTACCTAGATTCCAACCCATTTTTCTCTTCTTATACCAGTGATCAACCAATTTGAGTTCTTTAATTTTTTGAGTAACTGCACCCAACATAGCAGGCACATGAGCTAATGTTGTCTACAACAAATCAAAGAATTAACCAATTACAGTACACTGCATGTTCTCATGAAATGAAACAACACAAACCATATTCATTTTAGCAAACCCGCACGACCTATTGTTAACTCGCTCAACTAACGAAGTGGCCATATACAGTACAGGACCATCCAGCACCCAACTCAAAAAGGCTATACAGTGTACAGGGCCATCCTGACATGTCCTGATATGAATTTTTTTGTGGAGCTTGAATCATTCTTTGATAAACTGCACATGTGCAATAATCCCTGTCTACAGACCTAGCAGTTAATGAGCCACTCAATGGCAGAGTATAAAGTAAAGAGAGATGGAATTAACATATGAAGGCAAAATCTGATTCAGTTTTGTTTTGGGTAATACTGTACTTGATGAGTGACCCAGCCTTAGCAGCAACTCCATGAAATCTCTCCATAGAAGAGAAAAGCTTTCTTAACTTAAGAAACATAAAAATGTAGAAGGAATGGACTTTGCACCAAATTTTCAGATGTTGTTTGGATGATACTTTATATGAAAATCAAAACGACAATGCACAGAACCTATTAAAACCTTACCCAACTTCCTAACCTGTGCATTGCCATTTCGATTTTCTTACTTTCATCCAAAAAACATTGCTAGAAAAAAAGAACGAATTCAATCCAATATAAATCATAATAAACATGCCCGATGAGATCATCGTTTGTTTCTTGACGTACGTAAACAATGACCGCGGATGGTCCTGTACAGTGTTTGGGTGCCGTGTGCTCCACCTTTACCAAAAAGAACCATTCCTAGTTTAATCATGGCACTCATGGCAAGGTTGACTTCGGCCATCTTCCTCTGCCCATTTCACATATCAAAAATTATATACTGTATTGCATAACACATTCCTCTAATATTTTTTGTATACTATATTGATAATGAAACAGTTTATTTCGCTAGAAAAATACAGAAACAGAGTGGACAATAATAACAATACTGACACGACAGAAACAATTGATGGCCTGAGCTCTCTTAGTGGCACCTGATATATACTGTACATTTATCTCAGGGAATTTTTATGTAACATTTAGTATCATCTGGATTAGTACACTTAACATGGAGAAACTTCATCAAGTTGCTGCTAAGTCCTGACCACTCTCTCCACTTAATACCTCATTCTGTTAGGTTAGTTCCCACTTTAAACAAGTTCAAATAAAAAAGTTACATTTAAAGTTTTTTTTTTTAAGAATTTGCACAAGATATAAAGATCAGAAATGATAAAAATGCAAATTTAATTAAAAAAATAATAATAATATAATTAACAGAAAGGACCAAAGTCGACTTAGCTACAACATATATTTACCAAAAGGTATTTCAACAACCACCACAACAATGACGTCACTCAGGTAATTCACCGAAATCAACAAAACAATAATACAAAATTAGACATAAGAATGTAACGATAAGAGGTATGATGAGGATAAACAGCTGAGAATTTCACTTCAGTTACAAAGCATTATTGAGCACCTCTATGACAGTTATTTAACCCACTCCTCTTCTACCATTTCTGACTACACTTTTATTCAAGTCATATTTAACTAAAACACAAAAATACACCAGAAAAAAATCTCATATCAAGAGGGGGAATGTTGGTAAAATGAAAAATTACTCTCATGGCTGCTAAACAAAAGTGGGAAGTTATTAAATTTGGTAAAATTTCACTTGTTGCCAACCAAAGAATTTTAAGAATTTTATGGTTGCAATCAATAGTGTAGACAATTCTAAGACACTTTTCTTCTATGATATTTATCTCGCAAGCGACCTATCCTAACCTGACCTAACCAACCAGGACCCCCCAAGCATATACAAGTCATTTGCGATGGAAACGTCAGAGAAGAAATGTGTTTTAAAATTCTGAACTATTGCGGTAATTATTTACAACTTCACAGCCACTGATTTTCATGGAAAACGAATTTAAAAACAGCAATTGCACTGTGTTTTATATTGGACACTCATAGTTATGACAAATGTGTTAAGAAGTGTTATTTTAAAAGTTCAAGTTAACCTAACCTAACCTCACATAACTTAACACCTGCTGTGGGTGAACTTACTGTTACTGAGACAGGGGTTGCTGTAAGTTGTGAAGTCCTCCATATTAACCACTATTGATTGCAGCAATAAAATTCTTTGGGTGGCAACAGGTGAAATAATACCTTAAGTTTTGTGGGTTAGTAAAGTTATATTAAGTTAGATGGATGTTATAATCTTATACATTAGTCATTTACCTTACTAACACCTTGAACCTAATTATATACATATCGTAATAATTCAAACAGCAGAAAACACACACACAAATATTTAGAGGATAACATAAATTAATGGTACTATATATATATATACGAAATAATGGTCCTTTACAGCTAATTTACCGTCACAACGACCTACTACCCTTAGCTACTGGTAACAACACTGTGATGTATTGTGCTAGTGTCAAAAACGAGTGATAAATAAGATATAAGGTTTCCCTCCAGTATCAGGTAGAAATCAATAGTCAACTAGTTATGTACAGGTAATAATGGCGCCAGTTAGAGGTGTGAGAGTAGTTTGGGTGATATATAACAAGCATGTTTTCCCTCCATCATCGAACGGGAGTCAACGTGCCACCCGGTATTATTATTCTCTTACCTCATCAGACGTCCTCAACTTACTGAGAACGTCTTTAATGTGTTTATCCACGTCCCTCTTTGACCGCAACATTGTCACGGTCCTAAGAGAGACGTAATCGAAATATATGAAAGATTAGACTCAAAATACGACGCCGAAAGGCAAGACGACACAACGGACTGTACTTGAAACCTTCTAGGCCCGGACGGGGTTAAAGCTTATTTCTTAACAGATTCTAAATAACATTTCTCATAATAACACACATTTTTAATAATATAAATATTTTAAATAATACAATTAATTTTTTTATGCTGTTTTTAATGTTCTAAATTCATTAAATATTTGTAATGGTAGATATCGCAAATGTTTTATTAAGAAATTTGTGTTGCGGGTGATTTTAAAAATAATTTTGTGCCACACAGGACGGCGCCTCACACCTCTACTTGTTTCTCCCCTAACACCTTCTTTTAAACTTTAATACCTTAAAATAAATATGAAATTAGTATATACATAAATATAAATTTTTAAAGACTTGATCAGATAGTTTGTGTTCATAAAAGTTTGTTGATATCTACTGTTAAGAGAAAAATATTTAAAATCATTGTAACACTGAATTGGAACTTAATTCTAACATCAAAATATTCAATTTAATGAGTCAAATCTTCTTGACTTCCTTGAATGTGCTGGCAGTCTCGGCAACAGTGCGTAACGAGCAGATCAGTGGTGAAGAGGATAAAGTAAAGTAAAAGTGACCGATCGCCCAAGCGGCTTACGAGCCGATCAGTGGTAAAGTGGATAAAAGTAAATAATGAGCTGACTGTAGCAGGTTTGGATTAATTACACTATTTACAGTAAGGTCAATTACAATTTCTCAACTAAAGTTTAAACTAAATACAATTACTTGGTTCACAATACTCTCAAATTACAATTACAATAATATAAAATGTTGAAATTAATTACATATAAAAATTACAATTACAAGTTTTTTTACCCATACTTTTACTTTTATCCTCTTCACCAAAAGATCGGCTCGCTAGCCGCCCGGGCGATCGGTCACGTCTGTCACGCACTGTTGGCAAATACTGGGCATGCACCGGCTCCTGAACCCGCTCGTGTTGGTCAAGTCTTGTCTTGAAAGAGCTCACACTCGGTGCCGTCACAACACTCTCTGGTAGATTGTAACAAGAGTTTACAACCCTCACTCCGAAAAAGTTTGCCCTCACAGTTTTCTGGACTTGCGGCTTCTTCAATCTTGAGCTGTGATCCCTTGTGGGGCGAGCGTCCGTTCAGACTACATAGTTAAGTTTCAAAGTACCAAGCAAGCACACTCCGCAAGGTGGATAGCCCACCTGCTGTCAACCTCCTATATTTCCCACTTCTGAACTTTACCTTGTACTGTACCCTGAGGGGACACACAGCCCTCCCCTATATACTCCATCAACAATTTTTCAAACTTATCTGTGTGTAACTTCTGCTCACCTTTAGTTTCAGGAGGCAAGAAGGAAAAAAGGCGAGGCATCTCTTGTAAACTTCTGAATGGGTTACACAAAGGCAAATAATAAAAACAAGTAAGATGCAGGCCCATACTTCTGTTTCAATAAGCTCAAACTTTGCCAGTAGTCCCAGGACACCAGCCATCCTCAATGTGGCACCGTCGAATCGATACTGTATTCTGTAGCCGAGCCGCTGAGCGTCGTTATCTGTCATAGTGACGATAGTGGGACCCTCGCTGGACCACCTGGCGTTGCACTGCGCACATCATTCTGGCAGTACAGCGTACGAGTATTGGACGTGACCAAGGTTACTGTGACAGTTCCAATTCCCGAACGTGTGTATTGTCAGGTGTATACGGGCGGTATATTGGTACCTATTATACTTTTATCAATACTTAAGTAATCCTTCATATTTCATAATGTTGCAAATCTGTAATTAAAAACTATGTTCGATTTCGTCCTGGAGTAATGATGTATTTCTAAATGAGTTTAATCATAATCATTGGGATGACCGTTTCTGACGATAAATATATTTAGCTAAATTGTATAAAGATACGTACATTCATTATTTCAAACAGGAGCACGTAAGAAGTTTATCAGAAATATCAGACAAGAGTTAACTGTTCAACTCAGGGAACAATTTCACGCGTTTGGAGGATGCCTTTAATATATACTTATTTTTACCTGCAATAACTTATACTAAGACAAATTACGCATCAGTAAAACTACATTATGCAAAAACTAACATTTTAGAAGATCAGAATCACACGAAAATATTACATGGCCCCTGAAAATTGATGGACGAGTGTGACAGACTTGGCTGTTCACGGATTTTTTTTTTTTTTCACGGGGACTAGCCCACCCGGACACAGGTCACTGACCCACATCGGGGCCTGGGGGGCGAAAATATAATAATAATAATAATAATAATAATAATAATAATAATAATAATAATAATAATAATAATAATAAAAATAATAATAATAATAAAAATAATAATAATAATAATAATAATAATAATAATTAATAATAATAATAATAATAATAATAATAACAATAATAATAATAATAAATAATAGTCATAATAATTCATAATAAATAAAATTTATGATAAAACAAACAAAAATAAAATAATAAAATAATTATGACAATAATACAGTAACTGTAATAATAATAATTTTAATAATAAAGAACTATAAATACAAAAATGAAAAAAAGATCAAAAGTGAGAAACGATATATGTATGTTGTGTTGTCAATGATAAGAGAAACAATTGAGACCCTGCAATTGTGTGTAAATGAAGCAGAAAGTCAGATCAGCAACCTGGGATTTGGTCACAAATTTTGTGATGCCATAGGGCAGCAGGGTCTACCATTAGACAACACATTATGATTCCAATATCTTCCCAGGCGGTAGTACCTCCCTGTTTGATAGCTGCCTACGACTTACTACCTGCCTATGACCTACTAGTAAGCTTTGAAGCCCCATCCTCCTATTTAAAATACATTGAAAGTTTAAAATAAAGACAGTTGAGAGTGAAAGTATATACTGTACGTACTATACAAGCAAGAGCTAACATAACCCAAGCATAAGGTGAAAAAGTGGCCAAATAACCACAAATCGCTGGATCCATGAGCGATTGCGTTTCGTGCAGCCAGACGACACCGCCAACAGGCTACAGTCTCTCCTCGACTTACGACGGGGTTCTGTCCCGTCGACCAGGTCGTAAGTTGAAAAGGCGAAAATAATACATAGAAATTTTAAAATGGGTGTTTCTTTTTCTTCTCAGTACCAGGAGAACTCTCACTTTTACGCTTGCCAGCCATTTTAAAGGGAATTACAAACGAAAATTTTGTCAGTACACAGCGCCATCACTAACGTCGGGACTCAAAAATACATAAAGTGAAAAATAATTTATACGACCATGGCCGTTGTATGTCCGGGTTGTCGTAAGTCAAGGAAAAACTGTACATGTAAACCAAGGAATATCTAATAAGGAAGCTCAACTGACACACATTCCCATTATTTTTAGAAAGGTCCCCAAATTTTACTACAGCTTTACCTGTGAGTGTACTACTCAGAGACCGCATAGAGAACGGATTGGCCTTCACCAAGACTCCTACTATGCCTCCTCATGGCAACGTACGGAAACTGTATATCTTGCAAATTCAGGCTAAATAACAGAGGATCTTGGAGCAGCAATGGGCCCTAGAAGTATGGCATGCAGGCCCACCAGTGTGTGGACATGCCCTGATGCATACTAACCATTGCCCTACTACCTTGTGGGTTAGTGTGGTAAGATGAAAGGCTTGGGGAGCAGACCCTGAGAGAAAAGAAAGTGGTGTATGTTAAGGATGGTGGGACAGTAATACCTGTAGTTCCATGTCAAAAACTCTCAGGTTTAAAACTGTGTTGCTCCAGTTAAGTGATCTCTGGCTTATGCGAGTCTCTTTTTCAACAAAGAAGACTTACATACAGTATCACTTGTATTCTTGCATGACACTGAATATCCTAGATGAGTGAGTGTTTGGGGGTCAAGTGGTGGGGTTTGGTGAAGTCCAAAACTTTACAAAACTCATGTGAACCTTCAGGTGTGCAGTCATTGTGAACTCTCAACTGTGCAGGTGTCGTTCAAGTTTCATATTTCCTAAGATTATACTTGAATTTCTCACTGTATTTATTTTATCATTTCACCACTAATCAGCTTACTAGTTATTTAGCAGGTTGGTTTGTTCTTTGTTATGGGCTTTACTGATAAACTTTATTGTCCAGTGTTAGTACAGGAGGAAACTGGAGTACCCAGAGGAAACCTGTAATGTTTGGTGGTGTCATACTGGACGACCCCTTTCTCACATTTGACCTAGGTCTGGGACTGAACCCAGGACACAAGGCGACCAAAATTCCCCAAATGGCTGGTTCAACTCTGTGTAGGATAAACTCAATAACTTTGCAAAATCAGAATTGTTATTATTTAAAAGAAGGTTTGGTCAGCTACAGCCTGACACAATTTTCTTAGAATCCAAATGAAACAGAGGTAAAAACTCAGTTGTGGTCGAGGACACACCAACTAACTACAGTACTGTACTACTACCATCATAAAAGTTTGTGTTAAGAGAAGGGAAGGTTGACCTCACCTCTATTACAATATAAAGGATAAATAAAGGTAAAAAACTGTGACAAGTAATTGTCATAACTTATTGTTAGGTTTAACAGCAACAAGAACGTGGTTTCTCGGTGATTTCTGAGGGTCAAATGTTGGCACCAGGATGCTCTCCACACCTGAAAATAAAAATAATTTTGTATTCAGTCATTTCATTGACACATCCACAATCATACAATTCACAAGATTTTACTCAACCCTTACCGGTAAGTGGATTCCTTACTCTGCTCCATTGTGCATAGATGGAACACAACAGATACGAAATGTCCACTGATGATGGTTACCATCCCTACAGGTAACTTCCCCTGATGATGGTTACCATCCCTACAGGTAACTTCCCCTGATGATGGTTACCATCCCTACAGCTAACTTCCACTGATGATGACCACTGTCCCTACAGCTAACTTCCACTGATGATGACCACTGTACCTACAGCTAACTTCCACTGATGATGACCACTGTCCCTACAGCTAACTTCCACTGATGATGACCACTGTCCCTACAGCTAACTTCCACTGATGATGACCACTGTCCCTACAGCTAACTTCCACTGATGATGACCACTGTCCCTACAGCTAACTTCCACTTATTAAGGTTTAGTAAAAATTAAGCTTTTCTTAATTGTGGATTCAATCACAAAATTTAATCATGTATTATATATGGTGTGGTAAAGGGTTCACTGAGCATAACTTTTACAGAAAGTCCATGTTTCAGGAAGTGTTACGTTTGCCAGAACTTAAAACATTTGTCAGTTTCTGGTTTTAAATGAAATTTGGGTTTTCTCGGTTGATTAGTTAAATTTGGCAGAGGATGGTTTGAAGGTGGAAGGAACTATTATTTGTACAGTACATAAAATATGTGCTACTGAATTTAATGATGTGCTATGTGTCATTTTTATTGTTTACTATAAGTTTTTGTTCATTTCTGATGTATGCAAAATGAAATTTCTATGAATTAGGCGAAGTTTGTAATAGCAGATGATATACGTTTAAGGGTTAGTTTCACACACATACAAAACCAGCAAGAACTATATCAACTTGGTCAGCACAGCTCTTAGTGCAACTACAGCTTATACGAGACTCAGGCTGAGGGAGACAGTGCTGATGTGAGAAGAAGTAACAGAAAGGCTCTGGAGAGAGACAGTTCTTCTAGAAAGTACAAGAGCACATACACTGTAACATGTATTCTCGAATTTTCCACATTTGGCAATCAATTGGTCAAATATATTTTTATGCCTACAGTACTGCATAAGCTGGAGGGCTTACCAAGATGTGCACAAACTGTAACATATAGTCACAACTTTGGAACAAATTACAACATAAACATAAAGACCATGAGAGAAGCAACGGATATTAGTTCATGTGGGTTGTCATTGCCACCCCTTCTATAAGTGAGGCTTCAATAGTACAGTATCAGGTAAATGTTCTGATCAGGGTGGAAAGTGCACTTATTTTGTTTCAGTGGGCATGAATGTAAACAATGCAGAGAGGAGTGCCTGGTATGTGCTGTGGATGTTCCTGGAGTATATGGATAAGACATGATAAAGATACTACAGGATACCTATACAAACAGATTTATATCAGTCTTAACACACCACACTGAATATATATTCAAGAGTTCAATTTATTAATAATCAGACAATTAATATATTTTATCATTTCACTACTTATCAGCTTACTGACCATTTAAGCAGTTGTCTGTTCTTAATTACTTTGTTCAGACCTTCTTTATCCAGTATTTGTACAGGAGGAAACTGGAGTTCCCAGAGAAAACCTGCCATGTTTGGTGGTGTCACACTTGATAACTCCTTTCTCACATTTGTCCCAGGACAGGGACTGAACCCAGGACACAGCCTCTACCACTGTACCACCAACACTCCATGAAGTATACAGTATAGTGAATAAGTACATAAGGTGAATGTTGTTAAAAAGTAGCTTTAAATATTTTTTCTTTTTGATATGAGAAATTGGATATTGATTTTTTAAAACCTCCAGAAGTTTGGTTGATGTACTGTATGTTAATTTTCTGGCAAGACAGAGAGAGACATTAAAGTCAATAATGTTACAACACCTTCCTAGTAAAAGATAAGTACCAGTAACTTTATCTTCCTAGTGAGAGATAAGAAGTAACTTTATCTTCATAGCAAAGACATAAAGATGATGTATAGTACTAATAACTCACCCTGCTCATACAGAAACAGTAATCGGTCGAGGAGCACCAAAGATTCCACCACTGGCGCCAACAACAACCTCAGTGAGTAGTAAACCACCACCTGTAGGTCATAAGATCATGTAGAATAGTAGAAAACATCAGATCACTGGAAGAGTAGCCCCTCCAGCTTATGTCACCTGATGATTAGCCACCCCAGCTTATTTCACCTGATGATTAGTTACCCCAGCTTATTTCACCTGATGATTAGCCACCCCAGCTTATTTCACCTGATGATTAGCCACCCCAGCTTATTTCACCTGATGATTAGTCACCCCAGCTTATTTAACCAGATGATTAGCCACCCTAGCTTATTTCACCTGATGATTAGCCACCCCAGCTTATTTCACCAGAAGCTTAACCTCCCTAGCTTATTTCACATTACGTTTTAGCACTCTAATGCTACCTGGGGGAATTTGTTTAGGTTGGACTGGGTTAACTAAGACTAGGTTAGCTTAAGTTAGGTTTGATTAGGTTAAGTTAAGTAAGGTTAAGTTAGCATCAGGTGAAATAAGCTAGTGGTGCTAACATAAGAACATAAGGAGTCTGCAATAGGCCGGTTTGCCTGTGCATGGCAGCTCCTGTCGAGAGTTACTACCACTCTCTATCATCCATGAACCTATCTAGCCTCCTTTTAAAACTTTCCAGCATTCCAGCACTTACTACAAAGTTGCTAAGCTTGTTCCACTCGTCCACCACCCTATTTGTGAACCAGTTCCTTCCTATCTCCCTCCTAAACCTGAACTTATCCAATTTAAATCCGTTGCTACGAGTCCTATCCTGCTCGGATATTATAATGTTCATATGACCTAAAATATCCTAAGTGAACTGTGGAATCTTGCCAAACAATATATAGTAAAGAGAGGCAACAACAGGACACACCTCAGACTTAAGAATGAAACTTATGGCCTAACTTTCTTTAAGCTGTAAAATTATCTAAAAACTAGATGTGACAAGTGAAAGGTTTGTCAAGCAGTCAGGAGGTTTAAGGAGTGACTGTGGCTTTTACTTGGGAATCATTAAGTTACTGGCAACAAGGGAACTCTACTCAGCTAACAAGAGAGACAACATCAACAAAGATATACACTAACAAGACTGTAGTTGTGGTCTCCAAGTACTAATTGAAGCCTAATGGTGTCTATGTGAAAAGAGTGATTTTCATCTTTGACAGTTTAACCTTAAGAACTTAGCAGCTTCAATGATGAATATGATTACAATTATGTCAAGTAAGAATACTGTAAGTCTTTCTTTTGGAGTTTACTGTGGACAAACTTACATAGAGTCAGACAACACTGGCCACTACTCATGCAATTTTGGGGTCCTTCAAATTATAGTGTCTCAGAAAAAATTATGAACACTGCCTTACAGATTTTCATGGAGACTGTGAATGCTTGTACAGTATTACAAGAACACCATTGTCTTCACTTATGGTAGACCTCATACATCAACATACAGGACAATGTTGCTGTCGTGATACAAGCATTCATGCGATCTCCAAAAAATCTGTAAGGCAGTGTGTATACATTTTTCTGACACTCTGCAGTTTACTGAAAGTTATGTAAATCCAATAGGTTTCTGACCTGCATCCAGCGGCTGAGGTTATGTTTAGTTTGGTTACTACAAAGGTCCTCTTGTGGTAGTTTGAAATCTGGTAGTCGAGACACAGCTTCTACAGCATACCTGATAAGAAAATAGGTAGTTATATTTCTAAACAAGATCTGAAACATCAACGTTAAAATCTCTGGAGTACAGTACACCCACAGTCCTACTAAGCATTTAGTATTTTGGTAATGACTTTAAACAGGGATATAAACCATGATAAAAGATTTAGATAACAGATAGAAATCGCCAACACTTGCATAGTATGTACAGTACAGTAGTTGCTCTTACCATCAACTTACACACTTGGTACACAAAGTGGATCTTGAGCATTCCCATTGCTTCATGTTTCAAATTAATTTAGAGCATACAAAGTTTAATCCCCAGCTTTGTTCTTATAAACAATGTAATATTTTATATGACTTTGCTGTACTGTACATGAATCACAATCACTCTTGAAGCATTAACTAAAATTTACATTAATCTAATCCTCAATATAAAACAATTATAATCTCTGATGTAAATATGATCCTATACATCAGCTCAAACTTACTGAGAAAACTCCATTTTGTGGGCGTGATTGACAGAGCGGAGGCCAGCATGATGATGACTTGGCCAGTGCCTGATGATTATTTCCTCCAGGGATGCTCGGTAACAGTGAACCTGAGCCAAAAATCTTCATCATCATCAACATCATTACCAATCATCATAAATTATCATCATCATCAGCATCATCATTATCAATCATCATCAATTATCACCAACTATCATCATCAAAATATATACAAGTTAATACAAGTCCAGTACTGTAGCTACCATGTTTACAGTTGAAGTATAAGTACAGCTACTCCTCGACTTACGACCGCCCCAGTCGTACCAAATTTTTTTTAAATTATGTATTTTCGAGTCCAGACGTTAGTGATTGCGCTGTGTACTGACAAAATTTTCGTTTGTAATTCCCTTTAAAATGGCTGGCATGCTTAAAAGTGAGAGTTTTGTGGTGCTGAGAAGAAAAAGAGACACCCATTTTAGATTTTCTATGTATTATCTTCGCATTTTCGACTTACGACCAATTCGACTTACGACCTGGATTTGGGTCCCCAACCCCATTGTAAGTCGAGGAGTGGCTGTAGTTTGCAGTATAACTCTGAATATATTAAGTGGCAAAAGGATGAAGAGTAAACAAAATAAAAGATAACTCAAAAGGAAAAGTACAGGGTGTCCACAAAAGTACTGTCCACATTTTAAAAACAATTAGCATTACTACCGGTACTTAGTCCGTAATATATGAACCTTGACCGAATGGGTCAGATTGTCTGTTCAAGCTGAGGTCCACTATAGACAGAGTCCGTTATATTGGGGGATTACAGTAAATGAAATACATGCAGTGGACCATAAGGAAGCTACAGTATTGAGAAACTGCGCCACTAGTTGTGATGCAGTGCGAGACAACGAGCCCCAGCCAAGACATATGGTTTTAAATTTTTACAATGATGTACCAACAGTAAGTCTACTGCTCTGTACATATATACTGTTTCAGATGTTTTGCTTGCACTGGATGTGATTTTTTGATGAGGTTTTACTGAAAAAGAAATGCTAAACTTATCCATTTAACATTTTATTCTTTCCAGTGACATCTACCAGTAACCAAACTCTGGGACACTCAACACGTCAATGCTCCTCTGAACCATGAAGACTAAAACATACAGTCTAGCTTTTGGATTTTTAGTACTGTACTGTAAACTGAAACATGGGACATAAAATATATCTTTTGTAACTTTGGATTCTCAAAAACCGGATCTTCATAAATCGGGGACTACCTCTCTTACAAATGTTCATCCCCAGAAAATTAATTTTATGTACAGTATTATTAATACAGTATATGGGTTCATAAAAAAATCCAACACTACTTGAGTTCTAAGATATGGTTAAATTAGGTTAGATTAGATGAGGAGAGGTTAAGTTAGGAGAGGTTGGATTAGGTTAGATGAGGTGAGGTTACATTAGGAGAGGTTAGGTTAGGTGAGGTTAGCTTAGGTGAGGTTAGCTAAGGTGAGGTTAGGTAAGATGAAGTGAGAAGAGGTGAGGTGAGGTAAGGTTAGGTTCCATCAGATGAGATGAAGTTAGGATAGGTTAGGTTAAGTACCATGTTTATGATCAATTACCTTAAGGTTGTCTACTCCCAGTCGGAGTCGATTAACATACATTTCTATAGCATGACAAGCAACTTCCCGTGCCTCGTAAGTCAACACAAACCCAGGCAGGGAGTAGACAAAGTCACTCATGGGGTAACCCGGATATTCTCTCTCGTCTCTAGAAAACAAAAAGATTACAGTAACATGAATTTCGAATTAAACTTCCTATTCCCCTTGAAATTTTAACTTGTTTTATTTCATTTATCACAATGCTCAGATTTTTTTTCCAACAGAACCTCAAAGATTTACGAGTAGCATACATACAGTAACTTTGTTTAATTCTTTTTAACCCTTGTGAGTATAATTCCTAAAAGTGTCCAGTATAGATAGCAAGTGTTAAGTGTTGGTGAAGAGCTTTGAAGCAATAAATTTAGTCACCAGTGAGACAGATGGTGCCTCTTACCTCCTAAACTTGTATACTGTACTGTACACTGTAGAACATACACAGCAAACCTTAACTTCCACACTGATTCACAACACTTCATGTGGTATTTATTTTACATACATACTAAGTTGAGTCATCAGGTTCATTTATGCTCATACTATCATACATGTAATGAATGTAGTGGACACGATTGACAATCATTCTTTAATGTATCATATAATGTGACATCTCTATAGATCCTGTACTGACACTGGACACTGAGGTTCACAATAAAGTAACCAAGAAAAGACCAACCCCCTGAATGACTAGTGAGCTAATAAGTGGTTTTCCTTAACAATCTGCAGTATCTCCTGGATGCTAGAGATGTAAGCATTCAGCAACAATACATTAGAGTCATAAACCTGGCAGTATTCAGCTTCATGTAACAACAAGCAACAGACACAACTGCCTGACAAGTTGACATGTTGGTGAAGATTCTCAGCAGGGTTGGCGCCAGGTTCCCACAGGTGTGTAGGCCCAACAGTCCACACACGGCTCCTCTTGACTCTAACTCTGGCCAGGCTCCCGTCACCACCTGTACCATGACACTCTCAATACAAAGTTCAAATTAGAACTTTGAATTAACTTATAAATACAATGTTACATAAAAAAAAGCTCAGTCAATTTAGAACCTTCTCTCCATGTTATTGCTCACACTACATACACACATCTATTCATGCGCTAAATGCACCTCACCTTAAGCTTCTCTTCATACCTACACACTTTCATCCCTTTTAAATAAACTCCTTCAACCCATCCTTCAGCACAGATAGTCATATTATTGCATATTTTGTATCGCTTGTCATACTTGTGCCACTGTTTTGGTTCTGGTGAAGAAGCTAATAACTATACAACTGGATATTGGTTTACTCCTGCGGCAGGAGTAAACCAATTCAGTTATGGAAGGCTCCCATAACTGAATTAAAATATTTTTAATCCATCTTGTTGTATCTCTAACACTTAGAAGAGTCCAACACCCAAAATATGTGATGACCTGCTAAATGATCTACAATGTTTTGAATATTGTAAGAGTTGAGAGGTAAGATAAGTGGGTGACTAATCCTGATGAAATCTGAATACAGACAGACAGATATACTAATGTCCAGTTTCTCTGTGTATCAACATGGTTACCTTTGTCATCAATTAGCAGATATTAGTATATCCTTATTTTCCCTTGGTATCTGTTTATCAAGCTAATTATCACAATTTGTTTGCTCGAACATACAGTTTTTGTTATTTTAATTTTACCAATACCTCAATAAATTTTAAAGATTAAATTTTTTAAGCCTAATCATATGTATGCTTATAACCAGATGACAATATAAAGGTGGGCCACAAGTTCTTCAGATTAGCTGAAGTGGGTCAATGCCTCAAGATGGTTGGGAATCAATGCTCTAAGACTATTGAAAGTACAGTACATGTGTACTCTTATCCCTAGTCGAAGAAAGATGAGGGTAGGAGGGCCAGGGAAAGGCAGAGACTCGGATGGATACCTGCATATGAAATTATAAGTTGGGTCCTCAGCGATGCAAAATCTGGGAGAATTTATAAAAACATCCTGAAAATATTTAAAGTAGAGGATTGCGGTTGCCAACCCTCAGATATGAGGATGGAGATTTCACCGATTGACTGTGTTATAATACATATCTTTAAGAATCTCCCAGTAGATACTGTATAAAATGTGAACCTGTTTAAATGTGTGAGGGTTGATGTGAGGGTGTAGCAGGCAGGCAGTGTGGCGAGGAGCTGGTGGTAGTGGAGGCAGTGATGTCTCTCTCCGTTTCATTTTCTCCACAGCCATTTCCAGCTGATTATCAAACTTCCTGAAAGTAGAAAAAACAGAAAATAATAATCTGAATACTGTACAGTATAACAAAATAAATATTATCACAAGAAATCATCCTACGCTTGGCTGTACAGTACGTTTACTGTTAAGTTACATAATTAATTCTGCTCATCACCTGCAGAGGTATCACTCGTTTAACATTAATTCACTTAATATTATATCGGTTTAGCGATAAAAGAATTTTGACACCCTTTCTCATTAAACGTTCGGTAAAAATTTGGTTTAGTGATACCTTGACTTGCTGGAAAAGGGAAAAAATGGGGATGAGGTGAGATGGCATGTTGCCATTATTACATGTAATGAAACTAACAAAAATACAGTAGTGGAAAAATCATTACAATACTCTATTGTAGCTTAGAAATAAAGAAAACACTGTATAATATAAAATTTTATCATAAGAAAAGTGAAGAGCACAGGTGTGTACGGTGTGTGTGGAATGAATGTACGTGTGGGCTGTAACTGCATCGCCGACTTGCCACTCAGCCGCACTCCCTCCCCCAATGTGGCATCACAGCATACACACGTCTCTGGAGTCAGCTGGGTGACTATGAGGCTGAACTGTGTTACATTGCTCAGAGGATGGCTTAAGTGAGGAAGGAGCTATTTTTTATACATCAAATATGTGCTATTGTGTTTTGAGATATACAGTACATAATTTTATTGTTTATCACAGCAATTTTTATTAATTTCTGGCATATGCAATTTGAAATTTGTTCGAATTAGGCTCATCTTTTGTTCGCTAAATTGCTTAACTCTGAACCACAGCGTCTATACAGAAGTTTGGTGTTATTAAATCAATTGTTTAACTTCGAAACCGTTCATAACAAACTCGTTTATTATTATTATTAGGGAGTACAGCACTGCACCCGGTGTTTACTGCCCTGCTGTTTGAACCTTTGCTGTTATCCCTCGCTTTGTGATAATTCACTTAATGTTAGGTTTTTCAGGAACACAACCCCATCAATAAACGAGGGATACCTGTATAAGGCAGGAGTCTCACAGGTTAATAAAATATCAATTGTGGTTTTATTATAATCACTCACTTTGCACCATTGACAAATTCATCCTGCGCCTCCAAGCAAACGACTCTTACGTCATGTCCATAAGCAAGAAGTCTGGAGAGATGGCCTTGACCAGAGCCCACATCTATCATGACACCATCACAAGCAGCCTGGGCCACCTGCCCAGCTATCAGTGCCAGGCGGGCAACCTCATGTTGTTTTTTAGGCTTCAAATGACGACGAAAGACGTGTTGAAGCAACTTGTGTTGTCCCGCCGCTGAGGGAACACGTGGGATTATTTACTACAGTACTGTATGTACCAATTAACAATTCTGTCTAAAACATTTCCATGCAATTTTACACTTGGTTCTAAAGAAATAAAACTTAATGGTGTGCTAATTTTTAACCCTGACATAACACTTATACAGTACAGTACTGTAATGTGGTGCACCCATTGTTCTCCCTTTAGCAGACCTTTCTTACTGTGGCCGAGGGTGGTCAGTAACCCACACACTGTGACCAAGGGTACCTGACTACTAAACATTGTTTATACAGGCAAGTGTTATCAAGCATTAAGAATTAATGTGGATATTCATGATTCACTTTATACTGTGTACAGGTACTGTACTGTATGAATGTTGAGGATATAAGCAAATATTACAGGTGGCAGTGTTGTTCTAGAACCTAAACTTATACTGCCACTTTCTACAACTGTCCTGTGTCATTCTTGCTATTATTTCCCGCTCGTTTGTGGTGTTTGTCTGTACCCTTGATGTTCTCGACACATCAGTGAGACAGAAGATAATTAACATAAAAAAAATGACATGAATATTAGGCACCTCAGTTCAATTCACCTCATGATTAAACACCCTAATGCTACCTGGGGATTAGGTTAGGTGTGTATTAGGGTGCTTAATCATCAGGTGAAATAGCTGGGGTGCCTAATGTTCATGTTATCAAGATTTAAGTACAACCACTTTACAATTTCTCACCTGCACTTAACTCAGATGCTGCATCGCCCCAACTTACAGACATTTGTTGGATAGGATGGATTAACTTTCTTGAATCTGTTGTGCTTTGATCACTCCTACAGGCCTTATGTGGCTGACAGACAGACAAGGGAGAACTAACTCTCTCGTCTTCACCTTCATTTATATTTTTATTCTTCTCCGTTTTTTGTATTTCAGGTGATTCTTTATAAACAATGCAATGTTGAGAGCCACATGAATCACTACACTCTTCCTTCATCACTGCCACACTGTCATTGTTTATACTCTGTCTCGTGGATAATGTCTTGGTGTATTTAACTGCTGCGTTTAAGTCAACATCTGTATGGACAATGCTGGGCAGATCCATTTCAACTGGAGGTGACTTCATCCTCACATCAATTTTCCAATTAACATTCTCATTCAAAGTACTCTTCACATCACATTTCATTTCATTATTATCTGAACTGCCTGATAATCTTTCTGTTTTCTGAAGCTGTTGATTGAGGTAATCTGTGAACGGGTCTGTCGACGAAACAGATCGTCTTGGTAAAGTATAAGTAAAGGCAGTTGCCCGAAGAGCCACCAGTGAGAGAGGCCACACAGTTTTTTGTCTGTAACAAAAAGAAAAGTCAGCTAAGATTGGTATCCTGCCAGCTGTGGCTCACTAGACAACAAAGATCCATAACTAAATTAAAAATCATTGGAGCAAATCTAATTGACATAAGCACATCAATCATACAGTAGACTGTACTTGTACTGCACACAATTTACAACATGTTTCATGAAATTCCATGAAATTTTTTAGGTCAAATTGATTTTAAAAACTTTAGATTACAGCCACACAACTTTTGATTAGAGACAACTTATAATTGAAAACTTGAACTGCTATACTGTATCCCTGTCCAGGCTGACTGTGGCCAAGCAGGCAGACTCCAGGTGTAGGAGAGGTAATGATCATAACTAACAGGACTTCTGCAATAATTTCCAAGTAGTGGATCGAAGAAAAGTCATAAGGACATTAAGAACAACTACGTTAGGGATATTACTTGAACTTGAAAGTTGTAATATACATGTACAGTACATATATGATATTAATCTTTTAGCTGTAACTTGGTGTAAAAGGCATAAAGAAAACTTGAAAAAAAGGAAAAATTACACTTTCCTGTCGCAACTCCCAAGGGTAACTGAAAAACAAAAACAAAATGAATGTTAGAGTCTTTACCACGTACTTCAAGGCTCCATCGCGAGAGAGGAAGTCTGCCAGCTCACATGGAGTCAATGTGTCCAAGACAGTTGCCCATTCAGGATTTAATCGGGACCATAAGTCTTCCGTGAAGAAATCCTATGAAGATGAATTTAGTACAAAAGAAAACCCAATAAATCAATACCCGAACTGTTATCAAGGCAGGTAACAGTTACAGCTACAATATGCTTTCAAAGTTTCTCTTGGAAGTGTTGGTGTTACAGCAGTCATGTGCATATGTCTCATACTGTGTCCTGGGTTCAATCCCCAACACAAGACATGTGTAAGATGTGTGTTTTCTCCGAGTACTCCAGTTTCTTCTTGTACAGTTCTGTATACTAACATTGGACAATAAAGGTCATAATAAATTAACAAATAACTACCCAACCACCTGAACAGATAGTAAGCTGATAATCATTTAACCCTTAGGCCCTGGGTGACATTCCAGAATGTCCGACCAGAGCAGCCCAGGTGACGTTCCAGAACGTCCGCCTATTTTCCCGCCATTTTTTATTTTGTTTATTTTTGGAAAAGTTGATTTTTTTCTTGATTTATTCCCAGTCTTTGTGAATAAGTATTTGATAAAGACAGTAAACAATAAATTACAGGTGGTCCTGATTCATGAAAGGATTCTTCCTGAAAAATCTTCGGAAATTGATTTTTTTTGTTAATAAGATCCCATTTTCCCAAAAATCTACCAATATAAAAGCTGAGATACTGTATGGTCAAATGAAAAATATTTATAAATGCTATAAAATAAGATTTTAATGACAAGTTTGGTATACATAATGGTTATAAGGCAATAATAAAGGTAATATTGTTTGTGAAATGCATGCAGCAGCAGTACATTAATAAATTCATACTTACAAGAAATTGTAGTTCTTTAAATTTACTGAGATACTGTCATTAGTTGTGATGCAGTGGAAGACTACAAAGCCCAACCAAGACATGGTTTTAATTTCATAAAGTGATGCACCAACAGTAAGTCTTCTGTACAGTACACTACATGTTTTGCTTTCATTGGATTTGATTTTTGATGAGGTTTTATCCGATGAAGAAATGCTAAAGTTGGCCATTTAACATATTATTCTTTCTTTACATCGACATCAAATAAAAAATGGATTTAAAAAAGTACAGTTTGAAGAAAGTTACATATGTATCTACCTTAAATTAAGAGTTGAAAAATAACCATAGCATAGCACACAGTGAGCGAGAACACGTCTAGGTGCATTTCTTCCAGATGGCCACCCTAGATACCTCCTGGGGGCATGTGAGTGAATTTTTGTTTGGACCGAAATTCATATAAGCGAGAGTAGCATTCGTTAAATACGAAAGAAGTGTTAAATTAGAAAATTTATATGCTTGTAAGCGAATTCTCATATCTCAAACATTCATATAGCAAGGGATACCTGTAATTAAAAGTTGTAAAATGAAAATAACAATCATTTGCCACTTCTCAAGAGGAGGAGTAGGGTAACATAATCTTGTCCAGAGTATGATAACAAAACTTGCCAGGATACAAATGCTGGTAAAGGTGTGGGCATCACTGTTTGTCTGTTAATGTGTCGTTCAGAGAGTATAGGGTTAAATAATTTCTGGTGGCAGATAACCTGAACAAGTAAAACTAACCTCACAATCACAGGTTAGGATCTTAGGCCAATTGATTGGTTGGTTGGTTATGTTCTATGCTGTTCTATATAAATTATTTAGAGATGTACAGTAACAGTCTCCCTGGACTAACTTTTGTTGACAATACTTCAGTACAGTACTTTGTAGGCTTACTGAGATTTTAAATATTACTGGATACAATTTTTCATTAGTTTACACTTGTATTTGCTCTTGCTCCTGCACCAGACTTGCATTTTATGGACTAATATACAGTAAACAAATATGAGAAGATCCTGTCAGAAACTAACCAGAAATAAAGAAGTTGCTAACTCTTTCCTCAGCCTGTATCTTATGAGGGCTAAAGGAGAGAAAATATTATCAGTATTCTCACACCCTTTGTGATGGCTAAAATACAATCCAGCAAAACACTGCCTCTACATTTCAGGAGAAGATTGCCACTTTTTTCTTTGTTAATATTCCGTAGTGATCATTCAAGGAACTTTATATTGATTCTTATACAGGGCTGTATAGGGAGATTGAGTAAAAAAAAATAGTCTATAGCATTTCCATTAGATATTTATAGTTTTTGCATTATTTTCACTTAAGAAAGTACAAGTTCGTAGGTATATTTTTTTTGTTTACTGTACTTCTAACTAGGCCAATCAACGGAAGTATTGATGTCACATGATGGTCATGCACATAATTCTTACTCGGGCAATCACTGCAAGTCTAAATGTCACGTAAACTTGAATTACCTTGTAGTGGCAAGATGCCTTCTGTCTGTGCAGGCTGCTCGTTGGAAGACTGGCATATAATTCAACGAGATACAGTATTGAGAAAGAAGCCGCAGCTGTTAAGAGCTTTAGGTCTCATGGTGTTTTTCTTGGTTCAGTAAAGTGTCCAAGGTGTAATTCAGACTGTGTGTACCGTCAAGATCGTTACACTTAGTATTGCAGTAAATTAAGGTAAGGTTTGGTTTGGCTAGATTAAGTAAAATTTACACACCAAAGACTTCCTTGGAAAGGTTAGGTCAGATCCTTCTGGTTTCTTTGGTTAGGTTAAGTTGTATACTGTACTAATATTCGAGGGTCGTTTTAGAGCGTCTTTACCCCACAATGTTGGTAATGGTGAGGAGTCACATTCGTGTGAAACAGAACATATATTTTTAAGTAATTTCCGTGAATGGTCACTACAGAATATGGTTAATATTTACCAAGATCTCAGCAAAAAAAGGTATAGAATACAGGTGCCACGTTATTACTAGAAACTTAAGAGCAGGATGTTGGTTTCAATATACTGTAGAGAACACAGAATCCACTTACGAAGCAATTAAACAATTTATAGTGTTAGCCACCAAACATTATGACCTCTGGTCAGGATACCACAATGAACAACAATCTTACCAGAACGTATGTATCCAGCAGATTTCGATATAAATCTAAAAACATGACGGCAGACTTCGTGAAGTCCTTCCAGGCACCAACATTCTTCTGGTTCAAGTGAACGTAGTTATCCATTGTGTATCTTATATGTGATGAAGTTTACTTGACTATACATTCAGGCTTTAGTTTTCTCTCTTCCATACTGTCACTTATGAAAAGTGTTTTTATTTAACTTTAAGTGTAGTTAATATTATACTTTCTCCTTCATAGTACAGTACTGGTTGTCTGTCAACCTCCTTGAATAATATTATGGTTGACTCAAACGGTCGCTTTATCTACAGTATCAACATTTACGTTTTCATTGGTACACAATTTATTATATATTCCAGTCTAATATACAGAGATTTGTACAATAATAATTACTCTTGTATAATATTCAATGAAATTTAAAATACTTAATTGACTTATTACCTACAATATGTCTTATGAATATTTGTAAATTAATTTACTGAATTCAGGCTAAAAAAATATAAGGTTCCCAGGATAATCCATTGCATAGAATATAACTAAGTACTGATAAATATTGAAAGAATATGAGGAAAGATAAGAAACAGTAATGACATTGAAACTAATAATTAAGATATAGAAAAGAAAGATAAAGAATATTTAAATTATAAATAAATAAATGACATTGAAAGAAATAAACACCAAGTAAGAAAAGTAAAATATAGAAATTAAGTAATAAGGATAGAGAAATAGACTTACAAAACACAAAGAAAGAAATTAAAGAAATAGAAAAAACTAACAAAAACTTAACCTTTTTGCACTCCGTGGATTTCAATATTATCTGGAATGATAACTTTCTTTCTGTAGTGGAATTTAAAAGCTTGTGGTCTTACACTGTAATTGTTTGAGGCTATCGGCAGTTTTTCAACTAAAGATGAGGTAGCTGTTGCATAAAAGGAATTCAAGTGGTCTGAGTTTACTTAAAGGATAGCGTCTCTGGATTTAATATAATTGTTATTATTATTAATATCTTTACGAAATAATAAATAATAAAACTCGTGAAACTGTTAAAAACACTTCGAAATTTGTATTTACAATGTGCGTATAACTGTACTGTACATAAATTTCGGCGAAAACGTCTTTAGGTTTACGAAATACTGTACAGTATTATATATCACGACAATAGTGTTAGAACTGGAAGTTCCCATTTGTTACCATTCTACCATCATGTCCATGACATTACAACAGACATCTCTCCATTATTTATCATGAACTTAGAGCTATAAATATTGGCTGGGTAACTAAGAGCTTCCGATGGTAATATTTTTGCCCAAATTACAGGGCACGGCAGCCTCAGAGCCGACCAGGAACCACCACCAGTACACCACGTTGAAGAAGAGGAAGCAGGAGGGGATAACAGCGAGGGACACTTTTTCTACCATCATGGCCGACAGTCTTCTCGCTCTTGGTGCTGTCTGCAACACGGAGGTTGCCGGCCCCTGCAGCTGCTGGGCTGTGGTGTTCTTATCTCCTGCCGGCATCTGTGGGGTAAAGGGCGGGTGTGAAGCGCCATTTACCTGCCTCATCTCACCAAAAAAAAGTTATTATACCACTGGAATAGCATAAAGTTTAAACCCTGAATAGCAAATAGCTAACCAACAGATGTTATGAAGGAAGTCACATGTATAGTATAGGTCAGGTTAGGTTGGGTTGGGACACATTAGGTCAACAAATTGTTCTCTGCCTCACCTCAGCAATAGAGATCTTCGTCACCCTCGGTATCTGGAGGCCTTGCTTCTCCCTCTTCTCCGTCTCCATCATCCTGTAAAGACAAGGGGCATCAGTCAGTACACTATCTAGAATTTTTCGTGGAGGTCGATTAATAAACTATTGTACTTATTGAGGAAATATGCTCAACGTAACCAAAATATGATTTACCAGATGACTAAAAGTTGACAGTTATTTATTTGATAATTTGTGTTATCAAGAAGTGAAGAGAGAGAGAGAAAGAGAGAATACTGGTACCCACTGGTAGTTACCCAGGAAAACGGTGTCTCCCAGTTAACCGATATCTTTCTGGTCAACCAGTCTAAACTTGAACAAAAGTATACTGTCTCCCAGCTGGGGCGCTGCTACAGTAATTACTACAAGGAATCAGGGGTGCTTGAGGACATTCTTGATGTTTATAAAAAATTTGCTAGCCTACACTGATTAGTCCTCAACTAGAATATGACGTCCAATGTATATGAACCACTGTCCTGCATGGCAGTGAACAGTGACATCACCCACATGACTCTGACCTATATATACTGCTGATGAATATAATGTATTTCTTTGTGTATGAACCTCTGTTCTGCGTGGCAGTGAGAAGTGATACCACCCTCAGTGTCAAGACCTGACTGAATTAATCATAATAGGCAAACTGTACTCCAAGCTTTGTCAATAAATTTGTTAAACTAAACTAACTACAGGTGTTGCGTATTTACTCAATGAAATGTCTATTTATTTACAATTACAGTTAACACTGTAACAGCGTAGGGAGACGGACGCCACTTACTTGATAACAATACCAAACTCGAGGAGGACGATGCTGACAAAGGTGAGACAGGATAGCAGCCACACGTCGATGGCTCTGACGTAGCTCACCTGAGGCGTAGACTGCCTGTTGGAATTGGAACATGCACATACACAGTTATGAGGTGAAGAAGAAAAGGAAGGAATGAAATACACGTAGAAATAACTGAAGAAAAGAAGATAATTATGGTTGGTAACAGAGGACACCCTCAGAGGGAGCCATACATTATGAAATAGTAAGGATGGTGATGATGCTGAGAGGAGGGGGAGGAGGAAGCATTGTCCCCACATTTTCGGGGCTTCTTTAGGTCTGTTTTTATAACGTCACTGGATAGTTAGTTTTTCCGTTTGATATATATATATATATATATATATATATATATATATATATATATATATATATATATATATATATATATATATATATATATAGCACGTAGTTGACAACCTAGGCTAGGCTATGCCGTTGATTACTCAGACGTTTGAGGTAAAAATAAATTACTCATATTTTAGGCCTAGGGTAATTAGCTATTGTTTTTTTTTATGATTATATCACAACGACTTGTAAGTGTTACTAAAATTACGTAGTGTGGGACTCTGGGTCTCTACACGTCTGAACTGCACAGGGTGCCCACAGGCCTATAAATCCGGCGCTGGGAGGAGAAGAGGAAGAAGAGCAGCAGAGGGGATATACAGTCTTACATGGCGACACCCAGCAGAGCAGACATAGTGAGGATGGTGGTGATGCACAGAGTCATACGCCCGGGTATGGCCTCAGCGGGGACGAGCAGAGACACGAACGACACCACCACGAAGAGCCCTGATGGTAGGTACACCTGCAGCAGCACATAAGACAGCCGCCGGGTCAGGTGTACACGGAACGCTAGAGCTGGGTAGGTTCCTGAAGATGGTGAAGGAGGAAGAAGAGGAGTGTTAGCTTAATAATAATGATAGTAATTAACAGTTTACTGAAATAGATACATACATCAGCCCCAAACTTGAAAATATACAGTGAACAGAAATTACATAATGCATACAAGTGACACGGGAGGGGGTCGTGTGTGTGTGTCCAGAACAGGATACATTTATGGCACATCACTCACCGTACACATCCTGGACGCGGGTGTAGGGGTCAACCATCTCGAACCTCACCAGGAACTGCTCGTTGGAGATGTGGTCAGATATCTCCAGGCCGGGAGGCATCCAGGTGTACACGTTGTGCTTCAGGGAGTAAGCGTCTGTGGGGAAGAGACTAAATTTATTGCCGGGTCAGCCATACCAGCACACAACCTGCCATGTTTATTGTTAGTACAGTAAAGTACAATCCTGGTTCACTCCCAACCATCAGCCAATAAGGTACAACACTGGTTCACTCACAACTCTCCATCCTGAAGTTACAGATCTGATGGTCTCTCGGGAACCAGGCGTAGCCCATCTTGCATGACACCTCCACGAACATGCTGAAACACAACACAGCGAAGGAGTTAGTTTACGAGACGGCCAGGTTCAACACACTACCGAACCCGTGAACCCCACAGTGGATGTAACTGAGGTAAATGTCGAAGTGAACCTGGGGAGGGGGCGGAGTTGGAGGAGGAGGAAGATGAAGAAGGAGGAAGAAGACAGAGAAAGAGTTAGAGGAAGAAGAGGAGGAAGAAGCGGAGAGTGGTACTGTGTGGTCCCATCCCTTCCTACCCCACCCACACCACACCCAAACCCACCCCACACCTTTAATGAGAATCAAAGTATATAATATAAACTAACATATTAATCACCCAATCTCCAGGAAGGTAAATACATAGAGCATCACCATTCTCAGTATTTACCTTTGAGTCACTGTTGATTTGAGGAGCCGTAGTAACAAAGGTTATGAAACCGAATATTCCGAGGAGTACCGAGTTATTATTTATCGTTTGGTACTGAGAATGAATTTTTTTCCCGTTTTTTATATACACACACACACACACACACACATGCACATATATTTACGTTCACACACACACACACACACACACACAGGGGAACTCACTTGCCAGAGTAGTCAACGGTGGCGTCAGCGTAGATCCATACTGAAGCGATCGAGGTGAGGACTGAGGGCGTGGTGGCCTGGGAACTGTGCTCTGCCGTCATGGGAAAAAAAGTTACAGGTATTAATAAGAACAAGTGTAGGATTCCCACTATTTTGGGTTAGGTTAGCGTTAGGGTGGTTAATCATCAGGCGAAATTAGCTGCAGGGGTATTCAGGTGATCCAACTACTGTAATTGACAATATCTATTTACTAAAAGACTTAACATAACTTTTAATTAATTTCAAATATTTGTATAAAGTGAAAAATCTTCTTGGTAAATTTGGGGACAACAATAAACTTAAAATGTTCTTCAATACAGGGTGTCTAAAAATGTACACACACACACACACACATTTTTTTCGTGGCGATCGCGTGCCTGTTTGCATTTCACTAGCAACATCGTCCTCCTCACTTGTTGACGTGTGAAGTTTCCCAGAACGTTGCCCACACATCAACACGTGAGGATAATACTGCTCCTGTGATGCCAACATTCACGCAGTCGTCACAATAACCAATACGGCAGTGTGTATATAATGTTTTATTAAGAGATGCGCAAGTTACCTTATTCTAACTTAATTATATACTCACTTATGTAGAGGCAGTACTCAATTATGTAGAGGCAGTACTCACCTATGTAGAGGCAGTACTCACCTATGTAGAGGCTGTATGTACTCACCTGTGTAGAGGCAATACTCACTTATGTACAGTAGAGACAGTACTTACCAATGTAGAAGCTGTATGTACTCACCTGTGTAGAGGCAGTACTCACCTATGTAGATGTCAGGTACCCAGATACTGTTGAGGATGGCAGGGTCGAGGGGAACGTACTCTCCCGGACTCAGCCTCGATGGTATACTCAGCCTCGAGTCCTGCCACTTCACCCTCAAGTTAACCTCCATCACCATCATCTATCAGGGACAGGAAGGGAACAGTAAGGGCTGCTGCGTTATGAAGTAAGGGCTGCTGCGTCATGAAGTAAGGGCTGGTGCGTTATAAAGTAAGGGCTGGTGCCAAGGCCGAATTAAAAAGTATCACAACACAACACAAAGCAACACGACACAACACAACACAGAGCAACACAACACAGAGCAATACAACACAGAGCAACACAACACAGAGCAATACAACACAGAGCGACACAACACAACACCCAAACTCATGTATTACAGTAAGATATTAACACTCACGCCTTCCACTTCTTTGATCAATAAATCCCTGACCATCACTGAGATGCCCACCTGTAGTGCCTCACCTGTAAGAGAACCACGCCATATACCTGACACTACCACACCTTATACCCGACACTACCACACCTTATACCAGACACTACCACACCATATTTATACCTAACAAAACATAGTACCTGATGGGACGGGCGGAAAGATCTCCTTGCGATAGTCACGATCAGTGTAGCCAGACCAAAGTTCCTCACTCTCGTTCATATTGGTGCCCTGCTCACTGTTGCCAGAACCCAACCTGCAAGAAAATTATTTTTGGTGATTGATTGATGGAAAATTTCACATTGATTCATAATGTTCATAGACAATGTAGATATATAATGTGCATATAGAGTGCAGGTATACAATGCATATGGATAATGCATAGGTAATACAGGTACACAAATGATGGTAACACTCAGTTCGGTCGACCAAGGATAACCTAACAAGGCTATTTAAAGTTCAGTAAAATGTTGATAGCATTTGTACATGTTATTTTAGTTGCTAACGTTGAATAAGAACAGTTAGTTACATTATTATACAGTTTTATTTATACTTATCTTCACTTATCAGGAACATTCATCTCATTAGCCTCTATGAAACCTGGTCTAGGTTTGTATTAGGAGGCTTCCAAACACACATTATACTGTACAGTATATAATTCAGAGAGACAGTTTTCCAGTGTCAACATCATCACTGTTTTATGACCATTGTTCCCACTTGTGTAGATTATATCCAGTTAGAGCTTCGATTATTAATTTGAAGAGTAACACAGTAAATATTAATGTGTGTGTGTGTGTATAGCGAGGAAGGAGCGAGGTGGCAGCATGAGCCTTGTAGAGTGATCAGCAGTGTATGTGACCGGTACACGCTGGTCAACAAGAGAACATTACTGGTGTGTGAGAGGTATTTGCTTCACTTAAGGTTCACATTGTAAAATCACTTTGTTCTTGTTTTAGAACGTCATGTTGTACGTATGGCAGTGAGGCGTGGCCGCTTTACTTATATTGTAGAGTGTTACAGTAATGACACTATAGTACGACAATAACATTAGAATTCGACAATAACAGAAAAGTAGGATATTTCACGACAAAAGTAATAGCAGAACACAGTACTGTACATGATGAATTACATTGGTTGTTATTCACACATTTGATACTAAAATACTATATACGATATACATTTAAGAATGGAAAGAAAACATCCCGTAATGCATTAAATTTGTTCATACAGGATCAATAACAATGTCTTAAAGTTACTATGTGCCGCTGTGGTGAACATTAAAATAACTTTAACGTCTGGAACTGTCACGGTGGTGAGATTAAGTACCTCAGTAACTGTAATATATCAGACTCAGTGACGCCATGCTTGTGTTTATCGGTTATACTCTTAAACTTGAAAGACCAGAGTAGGTAAAGACGTGTTTATTATTAATCTGAATCACACAAAAGCATGCAATACTGTATACGGTTTAGTGAGTTTTGGTGGTTCTCTGCGGTGTTCACACACACACGACTAATAGAGGGAGAGTTATCAGTCTCCAGTGTGCTTCATGTTAGGTCACCTTATAACTGTCATCTACAAGTGTTCAACAAGTTCAATAAACTTAGAGAAGACAATAGCAGATGAACGAGTGCACATTATTTAAACGCATATGCTAAAAAGGATTAAATTACATTTAAAAAGTTCATAAATGTATTCAGGTAAATAGTTATCACTTCGAATATTTACTTAGGTAAATATATAACTACAGTATGTATATAGTACACAAAGAAATCAATACATACATATACATTATATACTAATGCTTATAGGTAATGGGATATAATATATACCCTGCCGGCTGCCACATTAATTACCTAAGAAAAATTTAAGTGCAATAACTGTAATAGTTTTGGGTGATTATGATGAATGTAGTAATGATAATATACAGCAACAGGAAAAACACAGGTATTACTGTAATAATAACAATAATACTCACTTCAGTAGACACACACAGCACACCAGCAGCCAGCGGGGAAGGATCATGGTAGAGGTTCTCCGTAACACTGAAGAAACACAAGAACATTGTTGTATGTCACATAGCACTGTCCTAACATGCTCAACCCTAACCTAACCTACTCTTAACTGAACTTACTCTAACAGTTTAACTGAACCTAACCTACTGTATACCTATACCTAACTCAGTGGTTCCCAACCATTTTAGTACCATGCCCCACTTTTTTATCACAAATTTCTTCATGTCCCCCACCCGTTCATTGTTTAGTATGATATAACAATATCAGTTTTGAAGAAGTATAACATAAAAAATTGTATCTTTCAAATAAAACTAAAGGGTTTAACTTCAAATTTAATCAAATAAAATCCATTTTATAATGTGTATAACATATCTACCATCAGATTAAATAAATTCAATTACAATCAATTAATGAGACCCTTGAGCCTGATGTCTACTGCAAAGAGATTTTATCCGAGGCAGAAATTTTGTTAATTTCAATCTCAAGTCGCCTCGTTTAGTGATATCCAATCGGTTTCTTTTCTTCAGTAATAAGTCATTCACAGCACTAAATCCACATTCCACTAAGTATGACGATGGGAATGGTAACAGTAGTTTTCTTGCCAAACTACTTGTATTTGGATATTTAGCTTGTGTTTCTTCACAGAGCCACATCATTGTTCCTTTTATTTTGAACAGGGCTTTAATCGAGTCATCATTTTGTAATTCTGAAAGTTCTCCTTGATACTCCATGGTTACATCTGACAGATCCACTAGCAATGGCTGAGTCATCCAAGATGGATAATTAATTTCTTTCAAATCAGAAAATCTGAAGTTGAAATCGCTTACCATTATTTTTAAGTGCTCCACAATAACAAGACAAGTAGCATCTGTTACCTCACATTTATTCAGCCAATAAAATTGTTCAAATTTTTTGACAGAAATATTTTCTTGGGATAATTCCAGAAATGATATAAAGCCAAATATCTTGGCCTTTGAATTAACAAGAGTCATATTTGTTCCTTGGAGCTCCTTATTTAAGACATTGAGTTTTTCAAATATATCTGCTAAATAACTGACAAGTGCTTTACCATCAACTGTCAGTAACAGAGTCATATAAGGTTTGTCATCCAAGAACTCACTAAGAATATCAAATAATTCCATGATCTTTTCAGGCAATTCCCATTTGATAACCACCTTACATCAGTATGAAGTAATAATCTTACATAGTCTGCATTTTGATCCTTGCAAAATTGTTTGAAAAGACGCTCACATTTGGCATTAGCTTTTATAGTGTTGATGCATTTTATAACTGCATTCAATGTCTCGTTTAGAACAGGGGAAACTTTTTTGGAAACTAAATTCTGTCTATGAATAACACAATGCACTAACAACATTTGGGGATTGTCGTCTTTCAATAATTTTAAAACTCCATTTTTCTTGCCCATCATCACTGGAGCACCGTCTGCAGCACAAGATATAATGTTCTCCATTGGTATCTGCTTATCATCTAAATATGTTTTTAATTTCTTATATATATCAATTGCAATAGTGGTGGTTTCTAATGCTTCGCAAAATAGCATATCCTCAATAAATTCTCCATTATCAACATATCTTACATAGGCCATTAACAGAGCTTCACTATCTCTTACAGTTGATTCGTCCAACTGTATTGAAAAATTTGTATATTTCAATTTTTCAACAAGTTGTACTTCTACATCACAACTCATTTCATCAATCCTGCTACTAACAGTATTATTACTGAGCGGCATGCTTTTGAGATCTTGGTCATCTTTTTCAAGAACTACTTTCAGAAAAGTTGATATTGCGGGCTTAATTAAATTCTCCCCTATTGTATGATTTTTGCCACATTTTGCTATGAGAAGAGAAATTTCATAACTAGCCTCAAGACCACGATCCTTGCTTGCACTTCTTGCAGAGAACAATGAATTTATTGTTGATCTTTTTTCAAACTTCTCCTTTAGGGATTTAAAATACCCCAGTTTTGAATTAACATGAATACTGTGTTTTGCCTTCAAATGATTTTCGAGACGACCTCTCTTCATGGATTCATTAGTCAAACATTGGTGGCACAACAGACAAAAAGGCAACCTTTCATCATGAGTCGCTGGTATGAACCCAAACAGCAAGTACTCATCTGAATACTGGCGAACTTTTTTTTTGGCGTGCACACTGTTCATTTTATGCATCATGGGGGTAACTGAAAAGTGAAAATATAATATTTATATACTTAGGAAAATAAATTTAATATCTAACTTCTGTAACATACAAGGCACAATGTCAATATGCAGTTGCCATTTCAAGTAAATATTGAGCTTTATATTCACAGTTTTAAATTAATGTTACTGTGACAAGATCAATGAATGATTATTTTTATACATTATTTTCAGAGAATAACAAGATCAATAATCATAATGAAAAGCACTTTAACCAGCCCTCTCAGTGAAGCTAAAAAACAGAGACAGATAACTATATCAACATGAAACTTGCATTTGTGTTTAATTCAATACTGCTTCCATGCTTTATTGTGCACATTTAATTTGGTTGTAGTTAGTTTCCTCTGTTTTTTTAGCTTCAGTGGGAGCGTTGAGCAGCTGACTAAAACTCACCTTCTTCCTCGACAGCAGATGAAGAACTGCAAGGTTAAACAAGTCAGAAGCCACGCATATAGCTGGTGCCAGATGCACGATAACATTAGTGGGTGAACACTTGACTAGATTGCACAAGCTGTTGTGCTCAGGTAGGTTGTAATTACAATTTTACCCTATAAATCTATAATTTTTACCCATATAGGGTAAAATAAAAAAAAATGTTGATATTACTATATTTTTCATATTGCCCCCCTATTATTATTGAATTGCCCCCCAGTGGGGCGTAGGCCCCACGTTGGGAATCACTGACCTAACTGAATTTAACCTACCCTAACCTAACTAACTTAACCACACTTACCCAACTTAACTGAACATAATAATACCCTAACTTAACTGAGCTTATAATGTTTGTGTGTAAGTCGATTCGCCCATAATGTATGTATGTAAGTCGCAGGTTTAGTGTTCTTACTGTTGAATGTTTGTCGCATTTGTGTTTAAACTTGTGGTCTATTGATTCTGATAGACTGATCGTGCGGCAGGGTTGTTTAATGTGAACATTGACTACTTTTTGTAGGTATTCTCTGGGTGTGTAAGTGTGTAAGTGTGTGTGTGTGTGTGTTTGTGTAGATAATTATGTGTACGAGTGTATGAATTTTGTGTACAGTATGTGTATCCGTTTCATTGTGCGTTTGTGTATGAGCATGTATATAATTGTGTTCATACGTGTATATGTGTTTACATTCGCGTATTACTGCATATTTGTCAAACAAATAAAACTTCCAGCGTATGCCAGTATATTGCGACACACTGAACTATTAATCCCCGAACTCCTGCCCTTCCACCCCCCACAACATACCTATCAACCCCACCACAGGTAAAAGACCACACATGCCTGACCAAATCAAGTCACTGCATAGTTATTGGAGGAAAAAGAGGGCATTGTTGCCTAACTCTTTGGTCCTTCTAGTAGATTTTAATGGCTTTCTTGGTCTGTTCATGTTCACAGAAACTTACTGTTTAACCATTGTTTGTATACCTGTATTGTCTATGTATAATGTTTTTATACCTGCATTACCTATGTACAGTGCAATTTTTGTATAGCTGTACTGCTTATATGAATTGTATACCTCCACTATGTATATAAAATACCAATATTAGTACACATGGCGATTTAATTAATAAATGTCTGTCTCTCTAGGCACACGCGATATGAAATAATGACAAGTTAAGAGACACGAAATTATCTCTGCAGCTATATTGGTGGAATACGTCGCGAATACTAGTGCGGCGAGGGTGGAATCTGGTGGTACAGTAACACGTACCCAATGTTTTGTTATTCATGGCTTTTGTTGTGATTACGGGCTTGTGTCTGTCCGTCTGTCTGGGGTGTTGTTTATACATGGTAACGAGGTGTATTACTGAGTACTGGAGGTGTATTAGTGGGTGTATGGTGGTGGAGTGTCTCAAGAGTATTCATGGGTTTGTATAGTGCAGATGCAAAGAGAAAGTAGCAAATTCATAGATGATAGAATAAGCTATACGCAATTTAGGGTGTGTCAATTTTGTCAACATGTTAAAAATCAAATTTGGTAGTCAAAATATTGTGCCTCTTTATGTCTAAACTTGAGATTAGCAAACAAAAATGAATTGAAATAACCCTCACCTACATCAATTATACCTTAAAGTTTCAAATATCAGTATTTCAACAAATTAATGAGACTTGATTAGAATTATTCACTTGATATTAACTAATCTCATGTAAGCATATGGAATATGGAGTATTTTATGGTTCTATAGCTTGTGTACAATATGCATGTCAGAACATGAACATGAACAGGCTCTCCGTGTGGGACAGTTTAATTCTTGTTTTGACTTGTACCAAGCGTGAGGATAAGGCGCCCGGCTCACTCTCCTTCTAGATATCATAGACGGTGGTTTGCTCTCATTGCACTTGCACCTACTCTACCAGACGAATTCTACATTTTAATTATTGTAAGTAGGGCATATTGATTGTCGCAGTTACTTATATCATTGTATAAAACATTATGTTCTAAGAAATTATTATGTTATTTCTGTTACAGCATTTTTGATAAACAATTTGATATTTTTTGAAACAACAATTGAATTATGAAACATTGAAATATTTTTCTATTTGTCAGATAGTGTGAAGATGTCAAAATTGAAGACAAGAAGTCAGTTGTCAACCCACTTGAGCCTGCTAGTTGGTAAAGGGAAGGAGCTTCCTGTATCAGAACTTCCAACAGTGAGAGACATGCTAAGATTAGGGTTACTCCTTCGAGAAAAAAATGCAAAGGACAGAAGGAACTATACAGATAAGAACTCATAAATGACATGATAGTCCCTCTTCTGCATCAATGGACAAAAGCTAATGCACTATTCAAACCACCTGTGATTAATCAGTGTCGAACTATTGAGCTAAAACTAACGAAATTACTTTTACTTTTATCCTCTTCGCCACTGATCGGCTTGTTAGCCGCTTGGGCGATCGGTCACGACTCTTTTCCTTTATATTCTTCACCAAAAGGTCGGCTCGCTAGCCGCCCGGGCGATCGGTCACGTCTCTGTCACGCACTGTTGGCAAATACTGGGCATGCACCGGCTCCTGAATGTACCTGAACCCGCTGCAGTGTTGGTCAAGTCTTCTCTTGAAAGAGCTCACACTCGGTGCCGTCACAACACTTTCTGGTAGATTGTTCCAAGAGTTTACAACCCTCACTCCGAAAAAGTTTGCCCTCACGGTTTTCCGGACTTGCGGCTTCTTCAATCTTGAGCTGTGACCCCTTGTGGGGCGAGCGTCCGCCAGCTCCAAGTAAGGACACTCAACTGAGTAGTGCCCCCTGAGATGCTTATAAACCTCAACTAGGTCCCCCCTTGCCCGTCTGTAGTATAAGCTAGGCAAGTTCAGGCGCTCCAATCTCGCAGGGTAGCTGAGATGCCGAAGTGCAGGCACCAGCTTGGTGGCCCTCCTTTGAACATTTTCAACCAACTGACAGTCCCTAGCATATCTCGGGGACCAGATGGGGTGACAGTACTCCAGATGGGGAAGCACTTCACTCCTGAAGATCGTCACGAGGGACGGACCGTCTAGATATCTGAACGACCTTCTTATAAGACCCAATAATTTATTTGCCTGATTTACCTTCTTCTCACAATGGCCCGAGAACTTCAGCTCATTGTCAACATACACACCTAGGTCCTTCTCACACACAGTCTCAACTAGTACATTTTCTTCATCCCGTTGGGACATATGGTACGCCTCCTTACCGTTGGTACGCCCCAGGTGCATCCTCTTACACTTCGTGACATTGAATCTCAGCAGCCATTCCTTCGACCATTCCTGGAGCCCACAGAGGTCCTTCTGCAGCTCTTCACAGTCCGCTTGGTTCTTAATTTCCCGAAATAACTTGGCGTCATCGGCAAACATTTGTATGGAGGAGTGTACAACGTCAGGCATATCATTTATGAAACAAACAAACAACAGCGGGCCCAATACACTACCCTGCGGTACCCCACTTGTTACAGGTACAGATGACGATTTCGTGCCATTAATCACCACACATTGCTTGCGGTCATGTAGAAAGTCTTCTATCCACGCTAGGACATTTCCCCGAATTCCGTACCCTTCCAGTTTGATTTTCAGCCTTTCGTGGGGTACACTGTCGAAAGCCTTGGCAAAATCTAGGTAAATATTGTCGATATTACCACCCCGTTCTAGAATATGGGTCCAAATATCCAATACCTTGAGCAATTGTGTCAAGCAAGAGCGCCCCGGCATAAAACCGTGTTGGCAATCTTTTACAAGGTTGTTTCGTAGTAGATGTTCCATCGCTGCATCTCTGATAATACTCTCAAGTACTTTACATATTATGCTGGTCAGGCTCACCGGTCTATAGTTGTTCGTGGAGTGCCTATCGCCCTTCTTGAAGATAGGACTCACATAAGCCACTTTCCATTCACTGGGGACCATTTGTTCATCCAGGCATTTACAAAACAGAATCTTCAGGGGCTCTGCAAGCTCGTTGCACAGCTCCCTTAGCACTCTAGGATGCACCATGTCAGGTCCAGGACTCTTATGGACCTTTAGCCTGGACAGTTTATTTCTAATACCCTCTTCTGTGAACACAATGTGGGTCAGTGCTGTGTCGAACCGTCTGTCCTCAAACGCAGGAAGGTTAGTTGCATCCTCTCTTGTGAACACTGAGGAAAAGAAGCTGTTCAATGCCTCAGCTTTATCCTGGTCAGAATCTGCGTAACTACCATCTTCAAGCCTCAGGTCTGATACTCCTACTCGCGTTTTCAATTTCGACTTTGCATAGCGGTAAAACGCCTTTGGGTTTGACTTGACCTCGCGTGCAACCAGCCTTTGGAACTCCTTTTCAGCCCTCCTACACTCTATCTTTGCTTGGTTTCTGGCTCTTGCATACATCCTCCTGTCTTGCTCATCGTTTGACCCAACCCACGTCTTGAATTTCTGGGTTTTCTTCTTAATTTTGTCGACCGCCGCATGGTTCATGTGTAGGGATCCCCTCGTATTCCTAGAAGCACTGGGTTTGGTCTTGGGTATATATTTATCGATCAAATGGGTCATTTTACTAGTTATGATATTCAGCGTAGTGTCTGCGTTCTTGTACCTTAATAAGTCAGGCCAGTTGATACCCCTCATCTCTTCCCTCATCCCATTGTAATTTCCCTTGTAATATTTGCACCTTGGCCTGGCCTTATCTTGAACTAGGTAACAGTTAAATCTGAATGACAACACTGTATGGTGACTGGTGCCAACTGGGGCAAGGTGTTCCAGTTTGGCCACCATACCCTCCTCGTTTGTTATGATGAGGTCAAGTGGCTTGGGTGTTTGCTCCCCTCTGTAATGTGTCGGGTCTCTCACATGTTGGAACAGAAAATTATCTCTCAGAGTTTCTACAAAAAGAGTAGCAGGATTATTCAAGTCATTCGGGGTTGACTCGTTTCTCCAGTCGATGTCGCCATAGTTAAAGTCCCCCATGATAAGGAGGTGGCTGGGGTTGAGCATCGCCGCATTGTTTATTAAGGTTCTTAAGTTCCTTTGATTTAGTGGGCCACAGTTCGGGGATCTGTAGATACACCCGACGATAAGTAAGTCCCCTCCCTTTAATTTAATTTTACACCACTTGGACTCTTCAAAGACATCCTCTCCCTGTACCCTCGCCTGGCTGGCTCTAAGGTCTTGCCTAGCGTAGATAACCACACCCCTCCTGCAGGAGTCTTGAGTTAGGTTCGTAAATGAGTCATATCCAGCAATACTGAACTCACATTCCTCTGGGTCGATTCTCCTGTTCTTGTACAACAGTTCTACAACTCCTACAATATCTGGTTGGTGTACTCTTAGTAGTGTTTCAAACTCCTCCCTCTTATCAAGGAACGTGTCGGTATTAGTGTACATGACATTCAAGCCAGAATTTGTTCTCGGTAACGTCTCTGCTCTTAGTAATAAACCCGCTCCACCCACATTCTCAGAAGCTGCAGCATTTGCTAAGTACACTGTATTTTGCAGGGTGTGGTTAAAAATTTCATTGTTTACACGGCGCTCGTTCCCTCCTGTCCGGTAGGCTGAGCCGGTGCCGCCTCCCGGGTGGGGGGTTGAGTGGGTGGAGGGTGCACTGCTGCCCCCTGGCCCTGTGTCGGCACACTTGTTTCCACTACCCTCCCCCTGAGTATAACCCATGTGCACCTGTCCCCGTTCCTTCTCGACTCCTCCCTCTTCTGCTTCAAGTCCAGCAGGAGCTTCTTGTGCTGTTCCCTCTGCATTACCTCTCTACGTCTTTATCACCTACTGTACATACAGTAATTTCTTTCTAACACACACACATAGTCATCCTGCCTCACTGGCTAATAAAATGGTTAAATTAAATATCATTTGGGTCAAGGTAGATACTCATTTTACTAAATTACAGATTATGAAAGGTTAAATTTCAAATAGTTAAAAGCTATGTTCAAATAACAAAATATGTGTGACAAGTACAGCATAGTATTGTCTGAAAATATGACTAGATTTATGAAGTCTTCTCCCCTATAATCATGGTGTATTCTTTTCCCAAATTCCAGAAATATATAAGTTATCTGTATTATACTTAGGAGTTCTTATAAGAGAAGTCTGTTTTTTATATTTGGGAGTTCTTATAAGAGGGGTCTGTTCTGTACAGGTATTTGGGGGTTCTCATGAGAATATTTCTTGGATGTAACTAACCTGCATATTTTAATACAGGTGGACAATAATACTTGTTTACTGCTGCTACCATCTATAACATGCAACAGCTAACAACAAGGTGACTTGATATACTTCACACCCTAGTAAGTGGGTTGAAACTGGACCACAAATTTGTTTAACAAATGCAAGTACTGTAGTCTCCACTCTATCTTACAGGAATAGATACACTCTTATATTATAGGGGGTGCCATGAAGTAAAGGACACCACTCTAGCTGTAACAGTTAAGGTGGGTTAACAGTACAGTAGTGGATTAGGTTTTGTTGAATTAAGGTCTCTTAGACAGATAGCTTATTGTCATGAATCATTACTCTCATCAAGTGGTGCAAGAATACCACATGAAAAATGCTACAACCTTACTAAGAAAATTTAAGTCAAGATGTACTGTACAGTATATGTTTCCTATACTGTACTGTGCTACAACGTGAATCCAGATAACAAGGTCTTACCATAAACCCAACAGTGCAAGGTTATGTACAAAGAACACTCCCGTGGCCTCATTTTGAGAGACTGAAGTCAGGATACACACATCTTTCTTATGAAGAGCACCATAAACCCAAAAGACGCCTCCAAAGAAAGAGCATTCAAGCTTTTTCTATTTTGTAAAAGGTTCCCATTGAAGTCAAGGTGAGAATACACATCTACTCATGAAAGATGCCTTGAAATCTGAGGACAACATCTTAGGAGACCAGACTTCAAAATTTTTGTGATATAAGGTGATGGTGATATAACACTGATAAATCATGGTGTAGCCAAAGTCATGAGGCACATCTACCCCTTGGCAGTAGTGTGATAGCAATACCTGTACCGCCTATAAAGTCTGTGAAAGTGAAGTCACCATAAGTTATTTTTATGAGCAAGGAGGGTAGAAACCTTCATGACACTGGACATCAACCTAGCCCACATGCACTGGTGGAGTATCACAAACATGACTGGATAGTAATGATATTATAAAAGAAGATGTAGGACACAAATGTTGAATTTCTCAAGCATACGACAGTTGCACTCCAAAAAAGTTTGCATAAACAACAAGCTACCATTTGGTAACCACACCCAGTGGCCACACCATCATGGTCACAGAAGGGATTGGAGGAGGAGCTACCATTTGGTCAACACACCCACTAGCCACACCATTGTGGTCACATGACAAATTCCTTTTTTTAATATCTTCACTACTGGATGCCATTTTTTCAGCTTGTTTGAGGGGAAACTCTTTGAAGTCATGCACCACACAGAAGGCCCAAGTGCGACACACGGGGACTCAAAGATGATTTCGGTGAACTCTTACAAGAAGACAGCAGACAAGCTCAATAACCAGTTTTTTGAGGCAACGCTCCAGTAAAACGAGAAGGGAATGGGCGACACACTGTATAAACTAAGCAAAATGGACATAGGTCAACTGTTACAATGGTTAAGTGGCTATCTCACCAACAGAAGGGTTCCTGGACTGTTTCAGGATTACAAAAGAGAAGTCAAAGATATGCAACCTGGCACACTCCTCCAAGGTGGAATATTTAATACCACTATTCAATGTACTCATAAACGCATAGTTAAAAGTTTATCCAACAGAGACCCACCACTATCACTATTAGCTATGCAGATGACATTCTTGTAATCTAAGAAACAAGTATCTTCCCAAGTTTGGGCACATACATTGTGGAAAAGTTGAGCCATCCGACGTACGCACCTGTGTACCCCACAAACAGTCGGCAGGCTTGTGGAACCTTGGAAAGGGGTAGCCAGTTACACCACTGATTCAAAGTTACCTACCTTCTCTGATAATAATCCATATTCCACAACTAAAAAAAGAGCAAGTCCATTATTTTGAACCATCATTCGTTAAACAACTTGAAGTGTGTATATAATCAAGTGTACTAACTGACCAGATGTAGTCACAATTTAACTCAATATAATCTGCCAGGTTTCAATATTCATCGGCCAAAGCAGGGAAGATACTTCTTTCTTAAGACTGCATATACTGTACTACTAAAACTCACCATGAAGTACAAACCACCCTGAATCATGTGCACACAGCCTGTGAGAACCTTGGTCTTATGATATCGAATGAGGTTGCTGAGGTGTTCAGCAAACAAGCTGGTAACCGCAAATGTGGCTCCTCAAAGCTAAGATAGATAACAACACTGACTGTCTCCTCATTTAAATATCTCAGGGTCTCTATCCTTTGTACCTCACCTGCCTTATAACAGCTAACTATCACATGTACAGTGTACAGTACTTGTATTTCACTTGCTATACAACAGCCAACTGTCCCCTATACTTCACCTGCCATACAACAGCTAACTGTCTCCTGTACCTTACCTGCCATACAAAAGCTAACCTGGGGTACAACCCACACTATGGCGCCAATATCAAAATTGCTATAACAATATACTGTACTACATCCTCCATTGGGTTAACCAAGGAGAGGAAAAACGTGTCTTGCATAGCTTGTGGGAAAATATGGTAATTTTACTACAGTATAATTCCAAGCTCAAGGGGAAGTTTGTGATAAAAGTAAATATATGAACCTTATTAGCTGCCTTGATGTTAAGGTAACTAATATGGAAGGAAAAATGTTAGAAACAAGTGATCAAAGAACAAATAAAAACATACCGTACAGTATTTGACATTTTGCATTATGGTCTAAACTTAAATTTGATATACTGTACCGGTATTATGATAGATCAAGACTTCCTGCTGATGACGAACATGTGATAACATTGTTACAGTTATCATATCTTGATCATAAATACACACAAGACATTTTTTTCATATCAAGTGGATCATGTGAATAAATACCCAGACAATATAAGCCATATGTAACAAAAACTACATAACAATATGTACTTAACTTGTAAGAAATATGAAATTCATGAAATCATTTTATACCTCACATTATAATGAAGTTCAATAACCACATGAAACACTAAATAACTTACTGGTCACCACAAGTTGTATAATGTCAAGCAAATTATGATTAAAAAATATCTTGTATATACAATAAATAAAAGATACAGTGACCCCTCCGTTAACGAACTCAATCCGTTCCAGAAGGTCGTTCGTTAACCGAAAAGTTCGTTAACCGAAACCATTGTTTCAATGGGTTTTTGGGTAATTGGTTCCAGCTCACCGAAAATTTCCTAAATTCAACAAAAATGGTAGAAAAGTTCACTTACTTTGAGGTGTGTATGTAGAAGGCTCCTGGATGATGATGATGGGATTTAGAATGGGGGTGGAGGAGAAGGAAGAAGAGAAGGCATTGGGGTGGAAGAGAAGTCACCCCATGGTGCCATTTCACCCATAAAATTTTAGCTCTTGGTGTAATTCAAGATTATTTTCTTTAAATCAACACTGCACTGCATTATATATTGTCAATATGTAAAATATATTTCAAAATGACCAATAATTTGCTTGGAAACACAGAAAAAAAGCGTTTAGTTGAAGAGAGTCTCAAGCAAGATGTTACCTCCAGTGAAAACAGAGAAGACTAACTCCTGTTTGCTGTGTTAAGAGGCTGGATGCCGCGCATTAAACTAGTCACTTTACCTTCAATTATGTTCAATAATTGTTAAAATGACTAAAAAATTGAATATTAAACTTTTAAAATTATTGAATAGTATAAACTTCTTGATATTTACTAAAATAGTAAGGAATTTAAGCCCTAGAACCGATTAATGTATTGGCGGACTGATACTAAAGCTGGTTGCCCGGTCAGTGCAAGCGAAAACATGTTGAGGTCGGTTCGTAAGAACTTCGTTAACGGAATTTTTTTTCGTTAACCGAATTGAAGATCCTTATGGAAGGCAGTTCGTTAATCGAAATTACGTTAACCGAGGTGTTCGTTAAACGAGGGGTCACTGTATATAAATAGGTTCTTGAAGATTAAAAGGTGACTATTATCCCATAAAGAAGGTACCGGGTACAGTATCTAGAAAACATGGAGCACCCCGCAAAACTTACCTAATACCCACCACTGCACTGAACACTCAGCATAAAAACATTCACAATAAAATGGGACTTTTCTAAATAATGTGCCTAATCATACACACAATATAATATCATGAAAAATTATTAACTTTACCATTACTGTACTGTATATATATTATTAAAAAGAGAGGGAGGTTAACACTGCTCCAATTCATTTATTAGTGCAATATACAGTACAGTATATATAAATGTAATAATATTTCCCCCAAATAAATGAAATATCAGTCTTTTTCTTACACACAAATGTTTAAAACACAACTGTGGGTCACTCTTAACCCTTACCCAGTGGCTAAGGATTCCCTACTCCACCTCCATAAGCACGAAAATGGAATGCAAGGAAGGAACATGAAACATCTACAGATGATGGCTGTCATCCCTACAGCTAACTTCTTATGATGATGGCTACCATCCCAATAACTATTTTCTATATTTGATGCCAGCCATTTAAGGGTCGCTTAATGTATGTGTAGTGATTGTGAGTGTTTGAAAATGTTTTGCACTTGCTATCAATATGCTAAAGGCAAGAGAAAATTTATCTGAGAGTAATGTTGCAAAAAAAAAGAAAAAAGACAAAAAAAGACAAAGTGATAAAAAATTAAGTGACAATTTGTTTACAAAGACAGTATTATCCTGTTAAATATTTTAAATCAATAACACAATGGAAATAGTAACTTGGAGACACAAGAAATAAAGTACATGTAGTGGGTAATCTTCAACTACCTCATTTTTTGAGACACCCTATGTAACATAAATTAGCAAACTGAGTCAGAGAGAGTAGAATGGTGATGGACACACAGCGGCTATTTGTCTTCACAGTAGTTCTTCTTGGCTTCTGGTAGGTTACATAAAAAGACATGCCTTATGCCTAAAGACAAACACATCCAGCATCTCACACATACAAGATGGAGACACTCACTCAAACAAGTCCAAGCCAAACATTTACCATGGTCTTCAGCAGTTGACCTACGGCCCTGTCCTAAGTCTAAATAAAAGACAACTCATCCCAAATCCTTTAAATATTTCAGACTGCAAACACCTCCAAATATGACAACAATGGTTGTCAAGTCCAAGGAGTGAACAAGTTGTGGCACTTGCTTTGTTTGTGCAGTGAAGTCATGTCATACACAAATTGAACATGGAAAATAGTTCTAATGAGTAAGAAACTGAAAATTTTGCACAGTAGTCTCATAATTACTCAAAGTGAAAGCTAATAATTTCTCTTATTAATAGAAGCATTAGAAACAAACAATGCACCTTCACTTACAACATTATCATGCTTATATCTAAGCATGTGTTTGTGAAAATACTTACCATACATACCATAATACAGGTAACTGCTCATACATACTTTTTTTTTACAAATTTTGTAGTTCGAAATAACCAAACCCAGAACTCAACTATTCATAAGCAAAATGCATCAAATGAGTAAACAATATTAACAACTTCCAGAAGTGAATACTGGAATGTGTCCACACACCTTATGTGTTCACCTCTCAACACCCACAAACACTCACAGATTCTTTATGGTTTACACATTATTTTTCCTCAACATAATAAAATTTGTTAAATGCATTAAATATGGGTTATCAGTGTAGTTGTTAAAAGTAAGGTATCAGTGTAGTTGTTAAACGTAACATATTAGTGTAGTTGTTAAAGGTAGGTTACTTTATCAAAGCAGTTTCACTGCAATTTGGACTATAATTTCAATGCTGTTGCTTAACTAACACAGTCATGTACAACCAACCAAAGATGCGTCGACCCCACCCTGGCTCTCATACTTGCAATTTTACCTGGCAATACTTGGTGATCCATGTGGCACTGGTGTAGGGATACTGCATGCTATTATTGTGTCAGTTGAGTCTATTACACTGTGTCTGCCCTCTAACTTAGGTCAAATTATATTATATAATGCTCACATTGTAAAGACAATTAATTCCTTCATGAAAAACATGTGGAACATGTGTTCTTGAAATTTGATGTGGGAATATTGTGACAGCCCAGATTATAGTTGCACTGCCAATTCATTAATATTTTCTTCATTACTTACCAGTAAATATACAAACATTTGGAAACTTCTCATGATCTTAAATAATGAATGTTTATTATTATAAAAATTCTACCTTTGGATTGTTTAATATTTATCCTGACAGTGATACAGCCAAAAATAGATCCACCAATCACAATCCCCATTACGTACAGCCTTACTTCACCAAGTATTGCCAGGTAAAATTGTAATTACGAGAGCCAAGGTGGGGTCGATGCATCTTTGGTTGACTGTACATTCTCGCATTTTCAGTTACTAGGAAACTAACATATTATCCTTAAGGAATCTGGTTACACAGGAATACTGTAAACATAATAAGAGAACATAAGCATCCCTTAGACTTCACTTTTAGTGTAGCAGCACAGTGCAGTACTCCCCCCTTGTTGCTAAATACTTCTGAAGAAATCTTAAAAACAACAGTTAGGGGAAAAGGTGAACTTCATGTATGAATGTGATACATTATATACAGCATAGTGGTGGAAATATATACTATAGAACAATGAGAGTATCAGTGTATGGCAACAACCACAGATGTAGAGATGCATTTCATCCACATCAGAGAAGAACATCATCGAGTTCCTCTGATGTATCCCCTTCCAAGAGAAATATTCTCCTCATCACTAGCCCAATAAAGAGGAATATGGCCGATGTTAATATCATATTATATAGATATCCTTGACTTGAAACAGCAACAGAAGAAACAGGATTTCTCCTGCCATTATGTGCAGCAATACCTTCCATTAGTATCTCAGGGGCTGGATCAACTGCCGGGGCTGACAGAGAACCAGCGGAGGCACTGTTGCCAGGGAGTGTTATCTGACTGGTGGCTTGTGGCATATTTGACTCTGTCTTTGTATTAGCTGGAGGCTCGGGTGGAGAGTCAAAAAGAGCATCTGCAGTAGGTTGGTTACAGGATGCTGTGAGGTCAGTGCTACTGTTATTAATGCTACTGTCTTCACTAACTGGTGTTGTTGGCTCCTCACTTCCTTCCTTATTTTCTACCTAAAACAATAACAAGACATTAGTACAGTATTTTATACCCTCACACACTATGTATCAAAAATTATATCACTATGACACAAGATGCCCTACACTGTACATTAACAGCAAAGGTTATTCACCTACAATTAACTATATACAAATGTAAACCAAATTTTTAACTAATAATACCATAGACAGGCATGGGGTGACTAATAGACGTTTATAAGCATCAGTTTGTCAAGTTACGGGGTATGTACAGCCACTGGTGTACCAGACATCAGCTCATTTGTACAAACAGTTGTATAGACAAACAGACAACAAGGGTTACCCCATATATATTTTCCACATTTTTGACAGGGCATAAAACCTCCAATATTCACTTTGTTATCGTCTTTATGATACAAAATACTTGTAACTGCATTAGTTACACTTTCCATTCCTCATAGTGAAGGGATTGTACATTACACTCTTACTGCCATGTGCATCTCCCCATGTAACTACCATAACTTATCAAGCTTATGCCATATGGTTGTTCTCCGTATTGCTAGTCCTTTCCTGGAGGGCATAAGATGGCAAGAATTGAGAGCAACAATACTTCATTCACTTGCTGACAACCAATCAATCTAGTTTAATAATAAGTTGAGTTCTGCAACAGTGAACTCCTTCCAATTGTGGTCTATGGTGTGCCCCTTCCATCAGACATGTCTATAAGTCATTTTTGACAAGTCACAACTGCATAAGTACTATGTTCAACAGTTCTGTAATTGAATATCAAGGATTATGTATTTATAACATTGTACAAGGTTACACTAAACCCCAGATAGCTGCAGTCAGTTGAAAGTCTTCCCTTAACTTTGGTTTCTATTTATCAACTTACTAGCTGTTTGGGTGGTCAGTTTATTCTTTATTTTTTGTTGACCTCTACTGTGCAGTGCTAAAACAGGAGGAAACAGTAGTACTTAGTGAAAACCTGCCATTTTCAATAGTGTCACACTGAATAAAAACCTTCTCACATCTGTCCCTGTCCAAGACCAAATGTGAGAGATATGTGTATCACCAACATCCCACAACAATGAATCCAAAATATACTAAAGCAGGTCATATAGACACAGTGATGGAATAAGGCTGCTTCATAATCATAAACCGGTGTACATGAACAAACTCACCCTGACAGTGACAACAACTTGGCCCATGACTTCTCTGGCTTCTTCCTGAAGTTCCTTATTATCACTTGTCCTCTCCTTGAGCTGAGCACTAACACACCCACACTGAGGACACTCAAACTCCAGTGACCTGAAGAGTAAAACAATAAATAAAAACAATTGCTATTTTATGCAGTCATCTGAAGTCCAATTACCCTCAATCTCTAGCACAAGTGTTGAGAGAAAATCAACCAGGGTGTCACTTCAAATGAAAATCTTATACAGTACAGTAATTCACTAATGATCCAAGAATATTATAAAATTCTTGCTTGCAGTGAGGAATAACTGTATGCAGCACTGAAGTTATAAGGAGTGGATTGTGTTATTTCTAATAATGTAGGCAATCACTAATTGTTACAGTTAGTGTAAATTTAAAGAAAGTTTGCCTCAGCACTAATGAGATATTGTCCAGGGATGAAGTCTCCAGTAACAATCAACCCCTAAAACATTGACCACGCCACATCATGGCAATTTACGTACTTAACTATGCTGTAAGTTTGGAGTGAATCCCTACATCAATGTTGAGTCAATCTCTATTATCAAATGGCAGAGGAAATACAGCACAGTACAAGATAAAGATATTTAAAAACACATAAATAAATGACGACAACACCCCGTCAAGCACACGATATTAGATGCCATTACAGTACATCACTCCATTACAAATCTACTTACTTTTTGGCAAGCTTGGCCCGTTCATTAGCTGTGTAGTCTAAGGAGCCGATGGTACCATTAGCAGGGGTAGGCATGAAGCCTATTATAGCCAAGAGTGCAGTGCGTATGCTCCAAGATGGCTGCCAAGTCTCGGGGTGATGACCAGAGATGCTGAGGCAGATCTTTTTATTGGTCTCAAACCTTCCATTAGGCTGAAGTGATATGAGAAGTTTATACTTTTGACATCAGCTGTTCTGCATCACATTGGGAAAAGATTTATATGAGTGGAAAGAATAATATGAGATGGTAAGGAACACTGAAGATCTAATTTAATAAGAGTCCACATAAGAAAGCCACCACACACACCACTTTAAGATATGTAGCTGCAGTAGTGAATATTCAGAGGAAAGGTTAACACAGGCTCCTCATTTATTTTGTCCTTTAGCAACATCAAATTCTCCACTCCACTGTCAGGTTAGGTTATGTTAGGTTAGATTATGATAGACTTATGTTATATTAGGTTAGGCTTGGTAAGATGAGAGTGTTAGGTTATATTTGAATACATTAGGTTAGGTTTGGTTATGTTACATGATATAATGTCATATTAGATTATATTAGGTTCTGTTCTGTTAAGCAGTTAAGTTATATTTTGTTGTTATGTTAGGTTAGGCTATGCCAGGTTAGGTTGGGTTATGCAATGTTAGGTTATTCAATGTTATGTTATGTTAAGCGACAGTGTCCACAACAAATATTGATCCTGTAACCTTTTCATGTGACTATACTGTAAACAATGACATAAGTTAAGATGGTATTATCACGAGTAGGAAAAATGTTATAACACAATAACAGGTATTCAAAACTCTTTGAAGTAAATATGATAAAGTGTACACCTAGAAAATACTGTATTATCTTACCGTCAAAAATATAATATTTGGTGGCTTCATAGGATAGTCTGCAGGCATTATTATCCGGCCATGGTAGACGCCCCCGTCAAACTCAGAGTCGGCTGGGCCCCTGACAGTGAAGTGCCATTCGAAGAGATTGTCATCAAGAGGCTGAGCAAAGTATTCCTCAGTAGCTTCATGAAGCTCCTTTGCTTCACGGAACAACCGTTTCACAGCTGTTTAAAAAATGCAATTATTGTAAAATAAAATTTAATCATAGTTATAGGGTATGCTACAAGGAGTCTCAAACAATGTATACAGTACACTGCCTTATAGTTCTGAGTTGATCACGTAAATGTCCGCACTACAACAGAAACACTGTCCTCACTTGTTGATGTGTGAGGTCTCCTACACACACACACACACAAACACTGTCCTCACTTGTTGATGTGTGAGGTCTCCCACACACTGTCCTCACTTGTTGATGTGTGAGTTCTCCCACACACACACACACACACTGTCCTCACTTGTTGATGTGTGAGGTCACACACACACTGTCCTCACTTGTTGATGTGTGAGTTCTCCCACACACACACACACACACTGTCCTCACTTGTTAATGTGTGAGGTCTCCCACACACACTGTCCTCACTTGTTGATGTGTGAGGTCTCCCACACACTGTCCTCACTTGTTGATGTGTGAGGTCTCCCACACACTGTCCTCACTTGTTGTGTCTCTGTCCTCACTTGTGTTGATGTGAGGTCTCACACACACACTGTCCTCACTTGTGTGTGGTTCTCACACACCCCACACACACACACTGTCCTCACTTGACTGTCCTCACTTGTTGATGTGTGAGGTCTCCCACACACTGTCCTCACTTGTTAATGTGTGAGTTCTCCCACACACACACACACACTGTCCTCACTTGTTAATGTGTGAGGTCTCCCACACACTGTCCTCACTTGTTGATGTGTGAGGTCTCCCACACACTGTCCTCACTTGTTAATGTGTGAGTTCTCCCACACACACACACACACTGTCCTCACTTGTTAATGTGTGAGGTCTCCCACACACTGTCCTCACTTGTTAATGTGTGAGGTCTCCCACACACTGTCCTCACTTGTTGATGTGTGAGGTCTCCCACACTCTGTCCTCACTTGTTGATGTGTGTGTGTGGCCTCACACGTCAACAAGTGAGGACAGTGTTGCTCTTGTAATGGAAGCATTCACATGATTGCCACAAAATTTACAAGGCAATTTGTATGGTAATGTTTTTTTTTTAGTTTTTGAGGTGACCTATATACTACAGAAAACATATTACTCGTCCACTTTTTGCCCTTCTCATGAGATAAGAAAGTTTCATCTTCTTTGGAGAAATCCCAAATTACTGGGTTCAGGTGCACAACTAGGTTAGGTTACGTCAGTTCAGGTTAGGTTAGGTTAGGTTACGTCAGTTCAGGTTAGGTTAGGTTAGGTTAGGTTAGGTTAGGTTAGGTCAGGTCAGGTCAGTTCAGGTTAGGTACGTTTGGTTGGTACATCTTATCTTCAATATATCAACACCATCATTACTGGAGATGTCTACCGTACACTGTTTACCTATGAAACCTACCAGGACAAAATCACTGAACTATAAATAAAAAAATTGCTTTAAACCCTTGTTATTTGATTGGTAGTATTTACAATCTTGAAATAAAACGAAAATAGATCTGCGAAAACAAATAACGTCTCAATGACTTACACCGAAGCCTAAGCAACGCAACAAAATCATCAATAACAATAAACCTTCACCATAATGTTATTTACTGGATCAAATACACTTACCTGGACACCGTGAATTGTAAGAAGACTCCATTGTTCGGTAGTGAGGTGCAGCTGAGACTTATGATAAAGAGATAAGTTGGGAAATGAGGAGTTTTAAGCGGCCAGTGTCCACGTCTTGAGTCCTCCCACGTCACCTGTGTTTACTGGCGGCGTCATCCTTCCCCGCGAGATGTCTTCTTATCACTTCTAGAAAATCTCTTCTTAGCCTAAATAATCCATCATAAATAACTCTGAATTTTATATCTGATAATATTAATACCAATAAATATTAATTTTGTGGTTTGGCATCTAAGTATTGAGTTATTTACCTCTCGTAGTGTCAATCTCCTAACATATCTAAAACTTCTTTATTTATCCCAAAATAGCCATTGTAAATATCTCTTAATTTTATACATATTACTTTATGATATTCAAAGCTATCTAAAATTGGTTTGAGATAAATATTGTGATAATTTAAATTAAATGCTGTGAATACATGAAGACATCTACGTAGTCACCTCGATAATTTGTGTGCTGGCTTATGGTATTTACTTCTACATCGGAATTCAAATTGAGGTTTGCACGCCATAATTATATAAGTCTAAAATAAAATATAAATCTTAAGGGTAAACTACATTAAAGGTGTCATATGGCTGTTGTGTGAGTTGTATGATGACAAGATATGAGGTAATAGGAACCATTCCAAGGTCATGTGAACACCCAAGTCCCAAACTTGATAGATCTTCAATAATTGTCTAAATGTCAACATATTCTTAGGTTTTTAGATTCTGTTATAAAATAGTTTTGGTTTACATAGTATTTTTATCAGACAGCCTTATACCATAATAGGCTTCATAGTGACTCCATATTGCTAATGTAGTGTAATTAACAGCTGCACTGTTTTATCATTAAAATTCTGAATTAATCTGAGAAGACAAAACCATCACACTTATTTTGCTTAATCAGGAGACTGTATGTCAAAGCACATATTATATGCTCTTGAGTATTTTATATTTCACTTACAATGCAATCTTAGCATTATATTGTCGGAGAAAATCCTCACAAATTTTGTTGTTTTCATAATATATATTGTGTATTTCGTAAAGTATTTTTAGTACATTTCATTATATACAATATATTTGATTCTATATTTATGAAAAAATCCAATTTATTACATTTCTTCCCGGAAATTGCCTAGCTTATACTACAGACGGGCAAGGGGAGATCTAATTAAGGTGTACAAGCATCTCAAAGGGCCGCCATTACTCAGTCGAGTGCCCTTAGATTATATTTTTTTAGAATGCCCACGAGGGGGCTAGTTTAATGGGCACCCCCTTACATCCTGTGCAAGGTGAAGCGCAGAAGCGTTTACAGTGCCCATCTGGGAACATGAAGAGTTCATGCTTGCCTTTATGACTCATGCATTAAGGGCGTAAACACCTGAAGGGTCACGGGTTTTGTCAGCAAGTTACATAATGACAGAATGATGTGTGTGGGGGGGAAATTCCGGTGCAATTTATCTGTTTATGGCAAAGTGTGGCAGGTCCTAATAATAGTGCCAGGCCTGTCACTAGGAGGAGGGATATCTGGTCAGGGGGAGGTGTTGGTAACGGCTGGGGACCTGTAGGAGGAGGTCATAGGGCAAGTGAGGATGTAGTGACGGAGGGTGTGAGAGTCGGTTGACCACAAAGTTTACAAACAGTGCGGCCAGGGTCAGGGTTGCCAATGTACTAGGCGTGGAGAAGTACAGTGGGGGGTGGAGGTGATATGGTGTGGTGGGACAGGTACAGTAGGGGTGGAGAGAGGCACATAGGCATTGACAATATTTAGAGACACCTTTAAGTGTGATTGTGATGGCGTGTGCGTCGACATGCCGGTGGGGTACGGGTAGCCGGGGATGGTGTCCTCAGGTCCAATAGGTAGCCCTGGTGGAGACAGCACAGACACAGTAGCGGTCGCGGCTTGCGGTGGGTGGAGGACAGGTTGAGGCACCACGTGTCGTGAAGATGAGGCAGGACTTCGCTCGGGGGCAGCAGGACACACCAGGGCACGCCCGGTAGGCGTTACACCAGTAGTGAAGACCGCCGGCGGTGGAGTAGGCCGTGAGCAGGAGGGACTCACAGGGGGACTACCAGCTTGTGTCAAACCAGAAGAGAGGAGTGACTGGGTGGCAACAGAGGGCAAGAGTAGGTCGGAGATGGTGGTACAGAGTGTAGAGAAGAGTCTTTCAATACGGTTGGTAAATTCTTGGAAGAGGGATATGATCTGTGTCATGTCACTGGAGAGGGGTTGTGGGAGGGCACCGGTGGGAGCACAAGGCCTGACAGCGTCAGAGTACATACCTGGAGCTGGTGGACGCTCGCCCCACAAGGGGTCACAGCTCAAGGTTGAAGAAGCCGCAAGCCCAGAGACTGAGGGGTAACTTTTTCGGAGTGAGAGTTGTGAACTCATAGAACAATTTGCCAGTGTTATGACGGCACCGAGTGTGAGCTCTTTCAAGACCAGAATGAATAAGCATTGGAGCAGAGCAGGTTCAGATACATTCAGGACCCAGTGCATGCCCAGTACTTGCCAACATTGCGTAACAGAGAAGTAACCGATCGCCCAAGCGGCTAACGAGCCGATCAGTGGTGAAGGAGATAAAAGTAAAAAGTAAAAGTATTCTCGAAGCCTGACGACCAAGCGGGCGGGGCCAAGTAAAAACAAATGCCAACTAAGATCTTCACAGAGCCGATACAGTGCTGCCTCTCCTATCTCCTAGGCACTATAGTACACATTATGTACATATACAGTGTAGGTATACTATGTACTAGACATAATGCATATAATTGTAAAAATAAGACTTCTTCCAAGTTTGAAAAATCAGGTTTAAAAATAAACTAAAAGTAAAAAACAATTTAATTGAATAATAAATTATACAGTACAGTGGGAAAACTTAGTACCCATTCATATATAGTGTATCCACGTGGCCGCTGCACCAGATGGGAAACTGTAGAATAATGTTAAGTCACTCTATGTATCATGTCTTTGTTGATGTCAATCAATATTAGCTGTATCAGCACTGTCTCGAGGCAACACAGGAATGATCACACCTCTTTAAAATTAACATTATCATATGAATGAAACTCATAAAAAACTTTTGTACAGCACAGCCAAAACTCACTGATTATAACAACAGACCTCCACAGACACACAAGGAAAAAAACTCATTTGAGAATATGAATAACAGAACCTGCTTTACAAAGACAAACAAACCGCAAATACTGCTAAGAAAATGCAGTATACATTTTCTTGCAAAAGGAAAATCTTCTTCTAATACAGTTTAATGTTAATTATTTAGCCTTCCGTGAACAATACTGACATCGTAAAACCGATGCAACATTTGGGTAAAGAATTTCTAAGTCAACCATAAACCATAAGATACCAGTCATAGCATCATCATTAAAGTTAAACATGTTGCCAGTTTCCACACTTGCGTGTGTTAGCAGTGATTATCTTACAGCATTGGGTTCTAAGATTACTAACTGCGACACATTAATAGGTCTAACATAAACTTTTAATCTTTAAAGTATAGCCATCATCCGTAGAAGTTAGCAGTGGGGTATGGAAGTTAACTATTGGGTGTGGAAATTAATTGTACATATGGTGGCCATCATTTAAGAAGTCAGCTGTAAGGACGGTGGTGGTCATTGGTAGAAGTTGTTGTGGGGATGGTAACTATTGTGTGTGGAAGATTCCTGTTACCTGTGTTTAGTTTTGCGCACATGGGGGGATGGGGAATTCTCAGCTGATGATGATGGGTTAAAGGCCGTCATCTAATCCTGCGTATTTTTCAGCAGGTCAGTAACTTGGTGGTAGTCAAAGAGCTTGAAGTCTAGGCGGTAAAGATCGCGCAGTTGTTTTATCTGGCTAACAGTGAGCTGCTTGAAGTATTTGGTAACGAGAGTATCTGAAGGTGTACCATCTTGAAGGTGACGCCACTCTCGGGTCTTCAGCTGTTGGTAGAAGTTAAATTGTTAGCGTGTCACTGAAATGTGTAGAGATGCACATTTATTGACGTGCTTGAGGAAGGTTTACTTATATAGTTAGCCAGGTAAATACAAGAAAAAGTAAAATTCGAGGAGATATACTGTAAGCTTTAGAAGTAGATGCAAAATGTGTATGAAAGATTAATTCAGTGTAGACTTTATATAAGGCTGTAATTATGGGAAAAAAGAGGCTGAAATTCAAACATCCTTTCTAAAGAGGACTTTGACTAAGAGCTTGCTGCCAAATGTAGATAAATATAATACTTATCCATCCCTCATAATTATGACAGCTTCTAAAATTCTAATTTTGTTACAGAACCACCGACTCTGTCCTTCCTGTACAGAACCCAGGATAACTAACTTGCTTAAGCTCAGTCATGTTGGTGAGTGTGATGAGGAACTTCTCGTCCTTCTGCATTGTCTCCAACTTGAGGATGAGGTTGTAGTCTACGGAGCAAACGTCACACTGGGCCCAGTATGGTGTCCAACATACCACCTGGATATAACCAACACTTGGTGATTAATTTTGTAGCATAAAAATATAGTGCACGAATCCTTAAAATCCCAACAAGTCTCAATTTCTTCCTACTAACCCCATTTCCCCATTCCAATCTCTTACTATTTCTCTACTTGATCTTTTCTGTTTCTATGCTTCTCAATATATCCCCAAATCTCTATATTTATCCACATTTCTCTACATCTTTCTCGGTATCTTCCAAACTCTATAATTGTACCTATCAATCACACTTTCTTCCTATTATCTCACATTTAAACTCTCTCCTTACATACACACATTATATACACAGTACATTATACAGTACAGTACATATATATACCTGTACTAACATTGTTAATCCACTCTTCTCTAGTGTGGAGGTCCTTGGTGTGATCAATGATATACTGAATGAACTCCGGGAAAGTGGGAAAGGGGGATTTCTCATTGCTGTTCTTCTTCCTGTATTTGTCAATGATCTTCAGCTGCAGCTCCCGGAACTTATGCTCGACCGGCCGTGGGTTCATCTTCAGCATCTTATCTCGATAAGCAGAAATAATCCTGAAGAGAAGGGAATGGCTACAGTGTCTCAGGAATAAGCACAATGTAATGCTTGTTATATTCATTCACCATTTTACATTTTATTCTTGCAGAATTACTATTAATGATTATTAATCAAGTGTAAGCAAAAGATCCTACTGAAAATGGGAATCTGATGGCTTTGTCAGTAATCCTTGGTCACAATGTCTTATTTAGAGTTGACCGATTTTTATATACCTGCACTATGCAGTTTAGGTAGTGCACTGGTAATTACTGTATATACCTGCACAGTCTATGTTTACTATATACAGTACCTGCGTTGTTTATATGCATTTTTTTAAGGGGATTAGCCCACCCGAGCACAGGTCACTGACCCACATCGGGGCCTGAGGGGCGCCGTACTATATACCTGAATTGTTTATATACATGATGAGAAAAATCCAAACTTGTATCAAGATTTTATTGAAGAAATACTTATCTACTTAGACTGGATGGCAAGGAGAGATACCTGGAGTAAGGATGTCTCACTATCAGTACACGGAGGCCGTTCTTGAAGACGTGGATCCTCTCCCGCGGGTCTTCAGGTGGCGGGTATAAGTCATATACCTTGTCCTGCCTGGCGCCAAACTTAACCTGGAAAAGAACAAGTGACATTTCGGAGGTACAATGGGGGGTGATAATGATACAGTAGGCGGTTTCAGTAATACAGAGGGGTGTTAGATTTATTGTGGGGGTGTTAGTGGTACAGTGGGGGTGTTAATGGTACAGTGGGGGTGTTAGTGGTACAGTGGGGGTGTTAGTGGTACAGTGGGGTGTTAGTGGTACAGTAGGGGTGTTAATGGTACAGTGGGGGTGTTAGTGGTACAGTGGGGGTGTTAGTGGTACAGTGGGGTGTTAGTCGTAAAGTTTTGTTTACTACTTTATGAAGATCAATGTTTCTTACGGAAAATTTATTCTTCTCTCTCTTCTTCGGAGGCATATTGAGAATTTCCGGATTGTCGTCATTGAAGTGAGCCAGACGCAAAAAGTTTATCATCCACGATGTCGAGGCGACCTGTCCAAGAACGAGGGAGACATCAAATACTTTTCTAAATTGTGATAAAACTTTCCAAATCTATCTAAAGCAGGAATAAGATATTAAAAGTCCCCTTAAATTATAAAAAAGTAACTTTCTAAACGTTTAAATTCAGATTTGTTTATCATTTTCCGATCGTTCGCAGCGGGACAATCCCTTATGTGTAAACCTAAATATGGATCCCTGGTATGACACCTTAATTTTGAGCCCCTAGTGTGACCCTTTAAGTGTGAACCCCTAATGTAAGTAGTCTCAATGTAATTTCACTGCCAGTATAATTATAATATTTGTGCTGAAGCGTACGTGAGGCAGCGAGGCAATGTAACATCACCTAAAGTTATAGGGAAAACTCATCGTACGGAGGTTTTAATATTCACTTGGCTTAAAACCTGTTACTCATAATACCGTTAAGTGGGGATTGGGGAGGGGCAGGTGGACAGGCAGGTATTGCCAAGTAGGTATTTTCTCGTGTTTATTTCTCCCAAGAAGGAGTATGATCCCCCTGCGCAGCTGTGCTTCTTCCTCTTACAATAAAATAAAGTTAATCGTCTCTATCTCCCTATTGCCACATCATACCACCCTACCAAAGACCCTACCGTCACACATCACCACACTTCACCTTATACAGGGGGCACCAGATGACGTTGGGTATGTGGTTGGTGTCCCAAACTAAGCGTATGCTAGATTCAGTGGGCCGCCTTCTGGACCGACACACTTCACTCATAGTTTCCCCACGGCTCATCAGCACCTTCCTACGGTCTTCCAGAAACTCGCGATCCTGTGTGGAGGAATGTGTGAGTTGACTGAAATGATGTCAAATAAATCGCAATAAACATGCAAGATATCACTTCTATACTTCATTTTTACAGTCTCATCACCTTACCCTACAAAGGCTTAGTTCCGAGATAAGAAAAAAGTATGACTAAATAGGCAATACTTAAAAAAATATCAAGTAGGCACTTGGAATTTAGCCGAACCTGAAGAAAACAAAATTACTGAATCATGTTTGATTATAACGGGAATGGATGCTCAGTGTCTCGTACCTGCTGGCTCGTAAACATTACCTCTTTGTTGAATCCAGAGAAGTTTAGTTGCCTCAGGAAAGCACCGCCAGAGGGCTCCAGTCCTGGCACTTGCCAAGGGTCCATTTTACCTGCCTTCACGGTCTTGGACAACACCTTCTTATTGTCCAACACAAAGGCAGGAAGATGTTGTGGTTGTTGGGTGGAGGACGCCTCACCACTCTTGTGTCTTGTCTCCACCTCCTTCATCTTGACATAGTGCTGTAGGTCACTAAATGAGAGATTCAAATGCACGAGGCTTCCACCATCATTAACCTGAACCTCTATTGGTAGCCCTGGGGGAGCCTTACTACCTGTTTGGTAGTACAGGAGGGCGCTGATGAAGCTCAAGAGGGCGACTACTCGAGTATTGTGACCACTGAAGACCGCCATGTTTACGACTTGGACAGATTTATGACCTGTATGTACACCTAATGGGATTGTTGACCTTTACGTTCACATGTGGCTGTTGACCTTTACGTACACACGTGTTTATTGACTTACGTAAACACATGTGGCTGTTGAGTTTAACGAACATCACACATCCACTATCACAGTCCCATCTTAAAATACTGCATTGTGCACACTGCACATAAATAACTCTAAATCACAATATGTTTTATTCCACATTTCACAAATCTATTTTATCTTCATAATAAAAGCAACATGTAATTCTTAGGTTGTCCTAGGCTGGATCAACTATCACAAAAGTATGTCATTGAAGTCCCGAGCTTCAACCAGTCCAGTATGTTACCTCTCCGAGAGCTGAGACAACACTGCCGAGTACCGGCTCCCGACTGGTCTGGCTCAGGTTACTCAGCCTCAGGGCTCAGGTATGTCAGTCAGGATCAAGGCCTTCCACTGCTAGGGTCGTCTACCGCTCTCTGTACACTATCACACCACAACCTCTTTAACTAAAATTACTCATTTAAGTATGTTACGTCAGGATTTACAATTTCTATTTTCTATTTCAAGACAAAAAATAGAGCTACGGGGTACATGTACTATACTGTAGGTGCTATTACAAAGCTGTTTCAGAATGTGTGGTAACATTAACGCAACTCTAAAAGATCCCGTTGTTTGGATGATATGAGTCATTGACCCTCATCATATGGCACACTTTATTTTCACTCTTACTTATAGATTGTTTATCAGAGTTCTCATTAATGAAGCTATAACTCATACTCTTCTCTCAACATTTAATATTCGACATAATGTTTAGTCAGAGGTGGAGGAAGGCAGTGCTGAAGCATATTATCCCAAAGTGTTGGACTGGCTTGAACACTCAAAACCCTTTGATCTTGAACCCTGATCAATGAATATTGAACCTTGAATCCAGAACCCTAATCTCAAACGAATTTTGCAGTTATATCTATTAGTACAGTAACCAAACACAATTTATGATATTACTGTATAAACCATTAGTAACGAATACAGTACTATTATCTACACACATAAAGAGAAAGAAGGAATAAATGAACAAGAACACGAAGAAAAATAAAATTGGGAAAGGAAAGAAACATATAAATACCGTGTACTGACCTTGTATAGGTCATTCTCGACCTCAAGAAATCTTTGGTCCAAAAACTCCAAGGTCTGGGCCGAAAAATGGATTTTGCTCAAAATATCAGTGTAAGTTATCCTTGACTGCTGGTCCAAAAGCTCCAAGGGGTCCTTCTTGAATTTTATTTGGGCCAAATACTGGATTTTGTTCTAAATCTTAGCACAGGTCATCCTTGGGACAAAAATGCCTTGAAGGTTTTTTGGGGCCGAAAAATATGTTTTGCTTAAAATTTCATTTTACAGTAGGTGGTTCTCGACCACCTGATCAAAGATTTTTTAGGACTAAAATTGGATGTTGCTCAAGATCTCAGTATATACTGTACTGTACTATCTTTGACCTCCTGTTTAAGGATCCTTGGTTAAAAAGACTCCTAAGGAGGGATTTTTGGCCAAAAATTTGATTTTCCTCAAAATCTCAGTATAGGAAGTCTTCAACATGCTGATTCTGGATCGGCAGTCAAAATACCTTTGGAGTTTTTTGGGGATGAATAATACATTTTGCTCAATATCTTGTTATGGGTATACACAGGTGTTATATAGGAACTTTTGCCTTCTTAGGCAACAGCAAGATTATTACTTTGTCATGCACAAACAAATTTGGATGGTTTCATATCACTGGCATATTATTTTTTTTACTGATTTTTTAAGATAATTATAAATATTTGTCACAAATTATTCTTTACTCTTTTTTGTCTCATCACATCATATATAAATGCTGCTTTTGTCATATTTAAGAATAAAATCATTTTGTTATAACATATCATAGCAATGCTCCACATTATTTCGCTAAGATATTAGCAGTGACTCTTTTTCATACTGAAGAAAAATAAAGGTACTGTACACACACTACAGTACATGAATAAGTTTTAAAAAGGTAACTTTATTAATTTTTATGTGTAACCTTTGAAGGAATCCTTTGAAAACAGTAAAGTATGTAACATACAATCTGTTGTGTACTTCTGTAATACCTAACAAAGTACTTGTACTGTGTGTAGTTTTATCAGACTCTTTAAACAAACAATACTTGCTAAGACGTCATGTTAATTACGATAATTGAACATTTTGGTAATAAAACTACTGTAAAGACAAGTATCTATTAAGGCATATAATGATAAGGCAATGATACTCAAATCCATTTATTAAGAATAATGCACAAGAATGTTTTGCTTTCAGTCTGTACTATAGACCTACACATTATATACATACATACATTATATATACAAACACTCATACAATATTTGTACTCTTCATTTAAAACAATTGAATCCATCATGTACTGTATAGTTTAGTTATAACATTTGAAAATTTTCATTGCATTTGAAAGAAAAAATATACAAATCAGAAATTAAAAGTGATATGTCATTATTTACACACACAAAAAATTATATATTCAATACATTATCTGTATATCCAAGGCTCTCACTATTCCCAGTTCTATGTTAAATATACATTACATATTTTTCGGTAATATAGTACAGTCCATGCAACTTAAGAATATTTTTATACACAAATTTAAAACTTTCTGTCAGACAAAATGGATAAAAAACTTGCCAAAAGATGAGATCAGATCAGCATCGGAGAGAAGTACATACAGTACAGTACACTGTTATAGTAAACAATATATACAAACTAAATACTATATGCATAAATTATCATTTGACTTATTTAAAAGCCAACCTCAGTTTTCCCTCCACTCAAAATTGATACAGTAATATCAGTTTATGAAAACAAACAAACTACAAATTATATGTAGCAGCATCCCAACAACAAGAAATCAGCTAAGTCTTATAAATTGTATTAAGCATCTCCTTATACCAGACTTAACATTATCAAAGCCTTATGAGCAGTATTAAACACCTCCCTGTACCACACTTAACACCATCCAAGTTTATCAAACATCTTGTTGCCGACTCTAAAACTCAGCTTTATAGTGATGAAACATGCCATGTGCAAACCATGGTGGCTTCAGTGATGAAGTATGTCATTTGTGAACCAGTGTACTTCAGTGATGAAGCATGTCATTTGTGAACCATGGTGTGCTTCAGTGATGAAGCATGTCATCTGTGAACCAGTGTACTTCAGTGATGAAGCATGTCGTCTGTGAACCATGGTGTGCTCCGATCAACTTGTTTTCACTTTTATTAACAATCATTTACCTCGTCCTTCTTCAGGACATGATACTCACATTATTAATGATATCGTTATACAGTATGTAATATATCTTAAATAGCTTCAACACTTAAAAGTCTTAAATAAAAGAAGGCAGTGTACAACAGATATATCAGAAACCCTTCAACATGCTATAATTAGTCTTGTGGTAAGCATTTTAACTGCTTGGTATTGAGCACAGGAATAACCGCATAACAACACGTCGGGTGTATGATTAAAACACCTCTTCGTCTTAACAGATAAGAAGCTTGAGCCATCTGCCATGGGATTGTTCTATATACACAGTTTAGTACAAACATTATGCATGTGATGACAATATTTCATTGACTCTGAATGTGACAAAAACTAGTTTCATTTCATCTTTCTCTGCTGTCTGGCTCTGTATATGTCACTTGTAAGGACAGGTTTGTTGCCATCCTCATCATCCGAGTCATCTCCTGGAACTACTTTCCTCTTGCGGTCTCCACTTGGATCCACCACCCAGTGGACTGACTTTGACAGCTCAAAGAGTCGAACATCATGGCTGCCACTAGTTGACCACTGACCACCTGGAAAAAAGAAACACCATAAAATATCTCCTGAGAAGTTACTGAGCTCAATTACATCCTTCTTAAAACAAATGATATACCGTAATGCACTGTATATAATAATTATTAAAGCATAAACATTTATTTTCTCCACTTATACAAACAATAAGTTTCAGTACAGAAAAATATCTGTACAGTCCTTATATTTAAGATGTACCAAAGAAAAAGGACAAAAAGTATAAAGAAAAATTTGATATAGTACCACAAACCTTTCTAGTCCTTTACAAAAACTAAATAAATACACTAGAACCTCACTATATTGGACTAATGGGAGAAAGGCTAGTCAGATAAAACTCAATACTGAGTCTTTTACTGGATATACTGGACATACTGTGGCCCAAAATATCATATAATAATTTGACGCCAACTGGAACCAGACCTACAATGGATTTAGATCCTGATGCAGGCTAACTGAAAGATTAATTACGGCTACAGAATACTGCTGTTTCTAGTGTTACAGTTTACTGCTGTTTCTAGTGTTACAGTTTACTGCTGTTTTTACTGTTACAGTGTACTACTGTTTTTACTGTTACAGTGTACTGCTGTTTCTACTGTTACAGCATACTGCTGTTTCTACTGTTACAGAATACTGCTGTTTTTAATGTTACAGTGTACTGCTGTTTCTACTGTTACAGAATACTGCTGTTTCTACTGTTACAGAATACTGCTGTTTTTAATGTTACAGTGTACTGCTGTTTCTAGCATACTGCTGTTTCTACTGTTACAGAATACTGCTGTTACAGTGTACTAACTGTTACAGTATACTGCTGTTTCTACTGTTACAGAATACTGCTGTTTTTACTGTTACAGTGTACTACTACTGTTACAGAGTATACTGCTGTTTCTACTGTTACAGAATACTGCTGTTTTTAATGTTACAGTGTACTGCTGTTTCTACTGTTACAGTGTACTGCTGTTTCTACTGTTACAGAATACTGCTGTTTCTACTGTTACAGTGTACTACTGTTTTTACTGTTACAGTATACTGCTGTTTCTACTGTTACAGAATACTGCTGTTTTTACTGTTACAGTGTACTACTGTTTTTACTCTTACAGTATACTGCTGTTTCTACTGTTACAGTATACTGCTGTTTCTACTGTTACAGAATACTGCTGTTTTTAATGTTACAGTGTACTGCTGTTTCTACTGTTACAGTGTACTGCTGTTTCTACTGTTACAGAATACTGCTGTTTTTAATGTTACAGTGTACTGCTGTTTCTCCTGTTACAGTGTACTGCTGTTTCTACTGTTACAGAATACTGCTGTTTTTAATGTTACAGTATACTGCTGTTTCTACTGTTACAGTATACTGCTGTTTCTACTGTTACAGAATACTGCTGTTTTTAATGTTACAGTGTACTGCTGTTTCTACTGTTACAGTGTACTGCTGTTTCTACTGTTACAGTGTACTGCTGTTTCTACTGTTACAGTGTACTGCTGTTTCTACTGTTACAGTATACTGCTGTTTTTACTATATGACTCCATGGGGCTATACCATGTAAATTTATTGTGAAACTTCTTACTGTATATAGTATGTATAAACATCTTTGATGGACTATAAGTTAGTCTACTGTATACAGTATGCTACATGTGCTCTTTCAGTTGTCTTATTATTTCTATATGTATTATGTTCATAAACTATAATAGGTAACTTGTGGTTAATTAACTTATCTATGTCTCCATCTTTGTATAGTTTAAATAAACATCCCCTAGTATGATTTATTAAGCCCATACATTCCATGTATGAACACTTTAACTATTTTCAACTAGAGTGTATGAGTACAGTATTTGTAAATGGGAACTAACAGTACCCAACGTCAGCAAAGGGTACCAAGTAAGGTTTTGTGGGTCTTTAAAACTAAACTGTGTACACTTATTACATTCTTTATGTACTTTGTTTAAAACAGTGGTTCATTCAGCCTGCGTCACCATCATTGAAAAGCACACACGTACGCCTGCACATACACACACACACACACACACACACACTTTGATGGTAATCTACACATGTGAAAACAATCTTACTGCTAACACCTGACACCCCAGTGGATAGAAAGACACAGACAGGCAGCTACAAGATTGTTTAGTAATCTTACCTTGCTCGGGAAGATTGAGTCTCATGAAAAGATCCACTAAAGCCTCCAGTTTGACAAAGGGGCCACGGAAGCAATTGGGTGGCGGCAGCAGGGACAACAAGTTAGCGACTGCAGGAGGAGGAGGGAATGCTCCACCTGAAGAAAATTGGTTATAAAAAAGTGTTATCAGGTGTTAGGTTTTTTCTCTCACAAGATAAAGGATAAAAATTTGTCTGAAAAATAAAAATAAATCGCAAAAAAGTTTATCAGTATCCCTGTATTTTTTTTTTTTTTACAGGATTAGCCCACCCGAGCACAGGTCACTGACCCACATTTGGGCCTGGGGGCGAAAATGCAATAATAATAATAATAATAATAATAATAATAATAATAATAATAATAATAATAATAATAATAATAATAATAATAATAATAATTCATAGTAAAAAAAAATAATACAAAATTGAAAATAAAATAACAGTAGTAGTAATAATAATAATAATAATAATAATAATAATAATAATAATACTAATAATAATAATAATACTAATAATAAAGAACCCCCCAAAAAAGATCTACTGTATAGTGATAAATAAAATATGTATGTTGTGTTGTCAAAGTAAGAGAAACAATTGAGACCCTGCAATTGTGAGTAAATGAGGCAGAAAGTCAGATCAGCAACCTGGGACCTGGTCACAATTTTCGTGATGCCATATGGCAGCAGGGTCTACCATTAAGCAACACATTATGCTTCCAATATCTTCCCAGGTGGTAGTACCTCCCCGTATGATAGCTGCCTACTACCTACTCAGGGACCACAGAAAATTCTCCAGTAAGCCAACCTCTCACTACTGAACTACGCATCATAACTTGTTTCAGAAATGGTCATAAAAAAACAGGTTTTGACTCCAGAAAGGAAGTATAATCCTGTAATATTTATAGAAACTTTTGCCACTAAGAAACTCTTTCATACTTCACACCTGTTTTTCTTAATCATATTTATTGTTGGTAAAAGTAGGTGGCCAACCTTTGATTACTTCAGGGAGTTGCAACCCTGTCTTGCTAGCTGTTCCCAGCCTGTGAGCTGGCACTTAGAGGGTCATTAATACATAAAACTTTACTTCAACATGGCTAATGGTAACTGGGTCACCAGAGCTGTGCTCATCCTCTATCTCTATCTCTGCTGAATTTTCAGAGCTAGTGCCATGGGTTTACAGTGTTCTTAAGTCATTTTTGAAAACACATTTTACAACAAAAAAAAAAAAAAAAGACAAAATGTGGAAGAAAGATAATAAATACTGTATAAGGAAAGTACAGTTGCATCATTAGGAAGCAGACATCAGAGTCCAGATATTACACTCAGAATAAGAATAATTTCAGTTATGTTACCTTTGACAGGGTGTTCACCCGGAATGTATTTGGCTTTAGGTTTGAATGGGATCATCTGTGAGAAGTCCGGTCTGGAATAAGTTGGCTCCTGTGCATCATGGATGGACAAACCTCGGGGAATGTTGGGGTTGGTGATCATTGTGTGGGTGGAGATGTCGCGATAACCAATGGCTCTGAAATATTATTTGGATATATAAAATCTTAACTAAAATTGCCAACAGTTCTGTATTGTAGAGTCACAGTCACAGTGTATAACAAGATGCAATATACCGTGAGACAATAACTGCACGAGTGAGGGAAGCATCGAGTTTAGAGCGGTTAAACTCTCAATCTTAAGGTCAGATTTTGGCATGCACTTTAAATCTGATACCTTGTGTATTCTTAAAAATACAAAACTTTAACTTTAGGATTGTTTAGCTTTAACTGTACTGTATCATTAATTTTAAATATGATGGGTACAGTATTTCCATTACGGACTTGGGGATTTAGCAGTAACATTCAGACTCAACCTATTCTGACCCTAAAAACTGTCTAGCCTAAATTGCAAGAACTGAATACAAAAGGTTTCCCTCAGCAAAACTAACAGATTGTACATAACACTTGTTTACAGTACAGTACTGTACTCACTTTAGCTCAGCCGGAGTACAAGGGTAAAGGTCCATAAACTTGTAACGGTCAACAAGCTGAGCTGTGTCCTTCCCTTCAAACTCTTGCAGCTAAAGTGACAGGGAACAAATTAAATCCATACATATAATTGATAAAAAACAGAAATATATTTGCATTAGAATACAATACAGATTTGGGGTGGTCATAAGGGAGGGAAGTAATAAAACAGAACACATATATTACAGTTGTAAAAATTAAAGCATGACATTGTATTTGGTCTCGTTTCCTGCTGCATGGTATAATGGGGGAAAATTCCTGCCACAATGTAATAAAGAAGAAAGTTTCCTGCCATACTGTATAAATGGAAGTTTCATGGAACACTATTATGGGGAAATTTCCTGCCAGACTGTGTTAACCTCTTCACTACTAGATGTCACTTTTCATATTTTATTTGGCTAAACATCAGAAGATTTTATCCAGGAAAGAGAAACCCCTTGTACACAGGGGGTCTTAATTAATGCAGTTGTCTGGTAACTTTCCCCCTCATTACACTTTCCAGACATACTGCATTAATGGGGACCCTAATCCTAATGAGTCCCATTCCCTAATAGGCATGCATCCTAATGATCTGGTTCGGTTGGGAACCAAAAGGACTTGGGGCCATTTGACATTAAATCCTGGCCAAACACTTAATGAAAAAGTAGTGCTCAATTATTGTGACTCACTTAAAACTGTCTCACCTTTTGTAATACATGAGCGCGTCTCTTCTCCACCTTAACAATGGATGCTAAGTCTCCTACATTACACTCAAATTCCAAGAAACGATTCCAAAGTCCAACAGTGTCTTCATTTTTCAGCTGTCCGGAGGTCAACACACGTTCAAACAAAACTCTTGTGTTGTTGTCCTCTGTTATAAAAATAAGAAAATTATGAGTTAATTATTCCTGTAACAGTTAACACTTTCTTAATTTTGCACATAGTGGAGTCTGTAATACTTAATTTAAAATAACATAAGAAGTGAATGGTAAAAGGGAAGAACAAAAAGGTACTTCTTAACTCCTGGCTTCCTTATTACCCACTTTATTATTTCATGTGGAACCATGTCAAATGCCTTCTCAAGTCTACAAATATGAGGTAAAAATTTTCTCTCCTTCACTAGATGTTTCTTTTGTAGCTGCCTGGTCATAAGTATTGCCTCTGTAGTCCCCGTACCAGACATAAATCCAAAATATATTTCATTTATATCTACTCGTTCCCCCATTCAATTTCACAATCACTCTTTCTACAATTTTCATAACCTGGTGCTATCAGTTTCAGGCCCCTGTAGTTCCCACATTCAAGTGCATCACCTTTGCCCCTGTAAGTATTGAAAATGACACTCTTCTTCCAGTCCTCTGCATTAATCATGATGCATTCAGCATTTCTGCAGTTGTGTGAACTAGCAAAGATAACCAAGAAAGATAGATGTATCAGGCAAAAAGTCTCCTTATAAAAAAATAAAGGAAAAAGTGTGATTTGCTTACCATTTAGATGTGACAGGTAATCTACGTATGCCATTATATAATCAGCATTATCTGGAAATTTCTTGAGACCGAGTTCAAATATTCTGAAAGCGATGTCCTTATTTTTTGTGCAATAATATTCCATTAGCGCAGCACCAACATAAACGTGAAACTGAGTGCGCATATCTTCTCGAGCCTTCTTGAACACCTCTCGTGTAGACTTAATGCCTTCAGCACGTCGAGCAAACTTCATGTACTGAAGGTAAGCCTGCAAAACATATGAAGATGAAAATGGCAAAAACTAAAATAAAGGAGTGTACAGTACAGTACACTAAATGTTGAAATACAATTAATCTATCAATATGTAATCAGAATTTTCCTACTTTACTAATTAGTTCCACAAATATTACAAAATATCAAGAGAAAGAACAAATAATAGAAGATAAAGTATATGAGTAAAGTTACCAGAGTTGGATCAACATCTTCCATTTCAATATATCTTTGATAGATCTTGTGAACTTCTTGATAGCGTAAGCGTGACTCTTCAAAGTCAGCATAGGCAAAAAATAGGAGCTGATTCTTTCTCAATGGTCCTGAGATGGCTCGCTCATATATCTGTGCTGCTTCTTCACTGAAGATCTTACTGGCATTTACATCCTGGTAAAGTCAATGATGACCATTAAGTTTCTTTCCTACTACTGTACTGTATTTATAACAACACTTATACTGAACTGTAATCACTTCTTTCTTGTAAAATAGGGTTACACTTTTAAAGTGACATTTTTAGAGTGTCACAGTGACAATTGCACAAGAGTGATATTTATACACAAGTGATACTGATCATGAGCAATATTTATACACAAGTGTGACACATATACAAAAGATTGCTACTTATGCACAAGAGTAATATAGGTTGACTCTCACGAAAAATTTGTAAAATTCAGCATCCTATGCTACACTGTCAGAGTTAAGCATTTTGTCAAAATAGCACTCATGGCCAATCATCAAGTGATGATCCTTAACTGTTAATGTTGTTTAATAATGTTTAATTTCATCTTTAAAATGACACTCTTTGAAAAAATTTGTGCTTGGTGAAGCACTGGGGGTCGTTTTTTTAACTTATTATGCACAATTTGGGGTGACTTTTAAAGAAATACTTGCATACATATAGAAATAACTCTCACAAAAAAACTTCTCTATGTAAATAGAAGGCATTAATTAAGCGCACATAATCTAAAGTTTTATTTAACGTATGTCAAAATGTGAAAAACATCTATACTTCTTAGAGAACCTTCAAAATTTCACGAAACAACCATATTATATGAAGGCAATTTTATGCAAAAAAAATAAGAAGATTCCCCTTCTGCTTTTTCAAGTGGTACACTGTAAATGTAACATCATACATTCCACATACAGTTATCATACTACTGTATAGTCACTTCCTCTTAGAAGAACTAGACCTAGGAGTATTTACAGGTCACTTATGAGACAATATACAGTATACTGTAATTTGGGGGTAAAGTAATAATTAAATTCATATAAACACACAATGCCAACAGCAGGACCATACTTCCACCACTGCATTGTGAGTTCAATCCCTGAGCACGATGTGAGAAGGGTGTTATCTACTGTAACCCTACTAAACACCACAGATTTTCTCTGGATACAGTACTGTACTACAGTTTCCTAACACTGTACAGTACTTATACACAAGAGTTATATGTACTTATATACAATTGACACTTACACACTGCATACAAGTGATACTGTACTTATACATTAGTGATACAAACACAAGACTGATACTTATAAACAAGACTGACACATAAAAAAGGACAAGCAAAATAGGGTGACATTTGTGAAGCTTGTAAAGCAGAGGGTGACACTGGTATAGTAGGGGTGACACTGGTATAGTAGAGGGTGACACTTGTAAAGCAGAGGGTGACACTTGTATAATAGGTGATAATTATAAAGTATGGGGTGACACTTTTAAAGTTAGTATGGTACTAAATACAGTACTGTAGCTGTAAATTGGATGCCTACAATCATTAGTTGAACATATACAATATAAGTTGGACAGAACAGGTACTAATGATAAATTTAAATAAATGAAAGAACCAGGTAAAATACTTGAAAATTTTAGGACCTGTGTCATATGAAATAGACAGCATTTAACTATTTTGTGGATATACCTCATAGAACTGTAATTTACATTTTTCTATTTAATAAATGATTATCAATAGTAATAATCATATGGAGAAGAAACTCACCCCTTTCTCTGACAAAAGCTTTGATGATTCTTGAAGGAACAGTGCTCCCTCATACCAAATATCAGGGTGGTGGGAGAGACACAAGAGGCACTGTTCATAAGCAAATCTCACACGCTTGGTCACTAGCGTCTGATCATCAGTACGAAGAGGATTATCCTTCTCCCATCTGATGTATCTCTTCCAGATTTCAACCTAAGATATTAAATTTCAAACTTCAGTGACATTTCCTATTTTGTAAGTAAGCACTAAAATGTATTTTAAGTAAAATGATTAAACAAAATTTCATTAAAAGAAATAAAAGAAAACTAAACTCAAAACAGTATTGCTCAATTCCATTTGGTTAATTAAACATATCACTGTACACATAACTGTAAGGAACACAACAATTATTCTATTTAAAACAATTAACTATGATTTCACTGTACTGCTCACCTGTTTTGTTTCTTCTGGAAGAGCTGATGGAGGCACGCTGGGCAAATGACGATTTAAGCCGCGCGTTTCAGCTTCAAGTTCCTTCCCAACTCTCCGGGCATTCATATAATCCCGTCCTCTCTCTATGTTCATCTTCTCGGCAATAATTGGGTTGATATTTTTCTCAAATTCCAGATAGTCCCTCCACAATTGTTCAATATTGGCCATTGGGGTGATAATACCACGCTGGTACACCTGTTGTGTGACAAAATCGCGATGATTGATATCAAAATATGATTATGATTTTTCCAATTAAAGAAAATATTTGAGTTAGGCTACCAATTACAATATCCCAGTCTCTTTGACAATATTCATATATACAGTACAGGGGAAAGATTAAAGTCTCATTAGTCCTTTTATTTATCCTTCATTTACATTTAGGAAAAATCTAAGACCCTTGAAATATATTTCATATATACTGTATTCACTTCCTACACTACGTTGTATCATCAATAAAAACACAATCCACACACTCACCTTTCTGACTGCCATGATTTTTTGGTTTTCAGCATAAGAGCCAACAACCTCAACATTCTTCAATAGGTTGGCATAATCATTCCAAAGTGTATAGGAATTGTAGTCCATACCTATCTTGTCAATGGCAAACTCATATGCTTGTGACAACTTCTCTCTGTAATATAACAATTGTTCTTACCAAACTCATACACATTAAACTTATAAAGTCACAAAAAATGAACTGAGGTTCATAAAAAAAAAAAAATATCAACATGACAAGGTAACCATTATGAACATCAGGAATGAAAATCTTGGTGTACAATTAGATGCACAGTTTATGGTGGAAGTAAGCTTTATACAGTGGCCATCATACATTAAGTGCAAGTTTGCTGTAGGCACAGCAGTCATTATATGTTTCAATTTCCTTGCATTCGATTTTTACATATACAGTATGAGGGTGGAGTAGGGAAACCTTGGACATCAGCTATGACTTAACAAAAAGATTATACAGTATATGGAGCTTGTATATAGTTGTGAGCTTGGGATTTTGAAAGTGGAGACGGAATAACAAACTTTTAATTCTATGTGACGTACCATAAAGGTTTCTACTGTTCATCTTACCGGATTTGATTCAATGTTGCATTCAACCTTCAATGAGGCAACTGATTAATTTTTCAACAACTACTGTCAGCCAGTTACATGGTTGATACAAGTGCGACCAAAGCAAGACTAATTTGGCAGATTTTATGAGACACTCAAAATCTCACACCATAAAACACTTGCTGGTTGAGTGCCCCAGTCTGAGGGTTCTTAGGTGGCATCGTTCCACAACTCGGGGATGGGATGGTAACTACCGTCTATTCTTGGTTCTCAGAACAGAAGTTTCGTATTTAGAGAATGGAGCTGTACAATATGTAAATGATTTTTTTAATCTTTCCATCACCAACAACATTTTATGGCTATTTTCCCTGGTTGTGTAGGTTAGCCATGATTCCCAGATGACAGCTCTCAATGCTGTACAGTCTCTTGCAGCTTCTTTTCTCAGGTTCTTAATTCTGTGTCATTTCTTACAAACTCTTCTCATATCATTCTTGGCTTGTCCCTGGCTTTCCTCCCCTCTTGTGTCTCTTCATCTAACTGGTCCAAATGCCAAAAACCATCTCGGCTTATCTCTATACAAAATATCACCAATGCAGTATTGTAATCTCAATACCCAGCTGCTCTCTTAGCTCTGAACAGTTTCCAGGGGTTGATTTAATAGCACAGTATTGTACACATCCCACAGGTCACTTGAATCTTCCCTTTTTTCTCATACAAGTACCGTACAGTAATGGGATTTCTTATTTAAATCCTCTGCTTAAAAGCTGTAAATCTTGTTTTCATCTTGCCTCTATGACACAATTTTATTGGAGTACTGTACAGTATACAGTATACATACAGTCTATGATACAATGGTACTGTGGTAGCAATACAGTTGTATATGAAAGTGAAAGTGGGCCCAATAGGCATGACTGTCTATTAGGGACAATGTGGATACAACACACTGTGTACAGTACCAAGATTTTGGTAAACAAGGAGGCAGCATGGCTGGTACTGCACTCAACTGCATTTGCTCCCCCAAGTTGTAAACTTTGGTACCCATTTACAGCTGGATAACTGGGAGTGCCAGGGGATCAAACCACCAACCTATGGAACAGGAGGTGAGTGTTGTATCCACTCAACCGCCATATTATGGTAGCTATATAAGTGATGTTAAATCATAATTTGCCTGTCTTCCTGTTTCACTTGTAAGAATGAATGATCACACTGACGTACCTGTACGTTGGCAGGCTGGACTTGGTTTCCTTGACATATGTGACATAGAGGCGCCACAGATCAATGTTGAGCACTTTGGTCAGACATCGTTGAAACAACTGAAATTTTTTACTAAGAATTAAAAATGAAGACTATAAAAAATGTAAAAAAATAAAATTGCACTCTGAGTGTTGCCGACCATACAATACATCAAGTACTGTATACACAAACACACAATACATGTCTATACAAACACACAATACATCAAATATACACAAACATACAACACTGTACATCAAGTATACACAAACACAATACATCAAGTACTGTATACACAAACACAATACTGGTACATACATTAAGTCTATACAAACTACACAATACCCCTCTGTACATTTGTCTACATAAACACACAATACATCAAGTATACACAATGAGGTAAGACATAACATAAAAACTGTTTTTACAAAGACATGGACTACATAAGGTTCACACATCACCAAATACCTAGTTTGTCATACCTGTATTCATAATACAGTACTGTACCTGTAATACTTAAGTTTAGAAAATTTTTAATATGATGAGACAGCACAAGAAAATCACTTCCATTTTTTTTTCAGGTCTGTACAAATAACAGTTTTCTGTACAATAATACATTTATATATTTCTTATAAAACATTTTTAAGTGCACACTAAGAGTACTATCAGGACCAAAGGCCAAGACATGAATTGCTCCTTTCTTCTACTGTCAGTTGGGTTTACAGTAACTATTTTAGCCCATTCTCCGCTTTTTGCTTTCCTATCACGGATAACCCACACAAGCATGGAAAATGGCCATAAAACGTATATGATGATGAAGATGATCTTCATCATCGTCCTAACTCTTCCTCATCAATTCCCTCTCACATCCCCTCCATCCTTCCTAATTCTCTTCTTTTATCCATTCCATCCATCCTTTCCTCTTCTACGATGTCTGACAATTAAGTTCGCGAACTTAATTGTCAGGCCTCATACTGTATCTATCATGTGGTAACTCTTATACATGCATGACTAGTGCCCCAGTCTGTATTTTTATTCATATGGCAGTAAAAACCCTTTACAAAAGTATGTCTATTATGTGGCCATCACCTGATCAATAATACTGTACAGGACCTCGATTTTTCATGTCCAATGCCCAGCGGACAAGTTAACACAGTACAGTACAGTACTGTATTTTGAAAGCAAAATACCCAAATGGTAACTAGTCAGGTGCTGTGAGTGTGAGATCTAACCTCCCCGTAGTACAGTACTTATTTAACTACCCGGTAGTTGTCCATCAACCAGCAAGGTGATGGGATTGAGAGGGTGGGAGGGGGGTGGCTTGTGTGTGCTTTTTTTTTAAGGGATTAGCCCACCAGGGCACAAGTCAATGACCTATATCAGGGCCGGGGAGTGAAAATATTATAATAATAATAATAATAATAATAATAATAATAATAATAATAATAATAATAATAATAATAATAATAATAATAATTAATAAATATTAATACAAATATTAATACAAATATTAAATAGAAAATATAATAATAATAATAATTAATAATTATACAAATACTAAATAAAAAAAATTAATAATAATAATATTATTATTAATAAAGGACCATAAATAAAAAAAGAAAAGAAAAATATCAATAGTGAGAAACAATATATGTATGTTGTGTTGTCAGAGTAAGAGGAACAACTGAATCCCTGCAATTGTGTGTATGTAAATGTGGCAAAAAGTCAGATTGCAACTTGGGACTTGGTCACAATTTTGGTGATGCCATATGGCAGCAGGGTCTACCATTCAACAACACATTATGCTTCCAATATCTTCCCAGACGGTAGTACCTCCCTGTTTGATAACTGCCTATGACCTACTGAAACCATATTATGATGTTACAGCTGAGCTGATTCCTGACTTTTCAGTTTCCAAAATGACCTGCTAAAGAAGCCCAGGGATGTGCAACAACTTCCCAATATTTCTATTGGTCATTCTCACAATGACGTGACCTGAAAATCTGTATAAAAGCTTCAGTGATTTCTGTGTAAGCAGAGTTGTGCTACAAACTGAAGTGGGAATATCAATATGAATAAGAAGCAAAGAATATTGACCGGGTGAGAGTAAAAAGCATTTAGATGAACACGAGTGATATATGAGTTGATACACACAATAAATTTTAATGTTTTAAATTGTTTATTTAATTTTCCCATTAAAAAAAAAAAAAAAACAATCTGGGTGAGCAAATTCTCTCCAAAATTTGTCAGGGCAAGTAATGTTCCACATTATCTGCTCTGCCTGCTGAAAACCCTTGTGGTGTGCAAAATACTATATGAAACTAATTTTCCTACAAGAAACATTGTAGGAAGGAGGGATGAGTTATTGTCTATGAATTTTTTGGGGGTACGTATGTATATTTTATATACAGAAAAACTTAAAAATTAAATTCATACCTGCACGTGATTAAAAAAAGTCCCTTAATTCTGAGGGTGTATTCATGAAAATAATAAGGGTATATCAACATAGGGTGAATGGTCCATAGTTTAGTTATAACACATAAAAGGTAAGATGGGAATGTAATAAAATCAACAGAGGGAAAATTTATTTACAGTTCACTGATATTTAAATATGATAAGTATTATTTAGAGTAAATACTGTATTTAAAGTCCTCCCCTTCTTCCTGCAGGGCACATGTTGAGATTTCTATAGCATATACTGTACTGTACTTTACTTTTTAGTTAACCCCACAATCAACTAAAAAAAAATTAAGACAGGTGATTACTTCAGGACAAAATCAAACAGGTTTGAAACCGCCAATCAGCTGTAATTCTTGAGAAGGGGGCGGGGCATCTTTTCTCAGCTGAGAAAAAACACCCTATAGTCAAGGGGACTGTGCCTTACTAGTTGATGGGTACTGAAGGGCACATCCTCGAGCAGCAATGGCAAAGTGGCAAAGTGTGCTAAAGAAAATATCAGTACAGGGTATGTCTTTCCTGTCAGTCACTGGGGTAGCAGATATGGGCCAATACAGTGGTCACCAATAATGCCGGCCCACACATTCATTGAAATTGTTCCCGTGTTCTACAACTGCTTGAGGATTTTCATCTGACCGGGTGAATAGTGTAATGCAAAAATTAACATTACCGTGGAGGTAATCTGTTGGCTTAAACCCCACATTGCCTCAGTAAGTATCTCCATACTGTACTATCCACTAGTTGTCTCCGCTCATTTCCCTTCTTTAATATCCACTTATTCATGCCTATTCACACCTGTTTCCGAGCAAGAACACAACAATTACACATTCCCATGTGGTACTCAAATATCATAATTACCATTATGTATTTAAAACAACATTTTTGTGACTTGTTAAAGTAAACTTAATGATGTAATACATTAATGGCATAGTCAAGCAATACAGCACAGTACATCAATTCCTACATGTCTCTATGGTAGTATATATAATTAGTCCCTTGTTTCTGTCCGTAGCTTTTTTCGCAGGTCCCCCCATATATATTGTGTTGTAACTAATACTATGTTCATGGAGTCATATACCCTGAATTATGTCTCAAGGCATCTGCAGATTAATGAGACCTTTTTTAATCAGTTCTTACACCATGATCATATCATTTAATAAGATCTAATTCCACCTCTAAAATGACATTTATCTGCTGTTTAATGATAGCAGGTGTTCTTGATAAAGTGCTAGCAGGTGTTTTTGCACTCATTATGCTGATGTGAGAAGTGTACTAGTGTATAGCAGAGAAACATGGGTACTTTAAAGAGAATGGCATAAGCAGGCTAGAACAAGCTGAAATGAGAACATGGAGGTGGGTGTATAATGAGACACTAAAAGATAGGAGGCCTTGAGAGTAGTGATGAAGTTTTTTGTACAGGCAGGCTGAGATGGTTTGGGCATGTGAAGAATGGATGAGATCAATTGGGTTAAGAGGCACATGAGACTAAATGGAGGGGAGAAGAACCAGGGGCAAGCTAAGAATGAAATGAGGAAAGGTTGTAAAAAATTATATTTGAATTAAGAACCTGACATGAAAAGCTGCAGGCTGCCGTGAGGTAATCATGGATAACTCACACAAGTGTGGAAAATGGCTGTAGAACATTGTTGATGATGATGATTATGCATGGTTTGGGGTAATCTTTGAACTAATTACTAACATACTTAAAGGACTTCACGACGCACACACAAGACTCAACACAATGGCTGCTTCACTAGCGGGCAGCCATCATCTTCCACACCTCATACAGTACAAAGTTCTCATTGAATGTTACAACAGCATTAAGACACTGTACAGTGTCACTGAGTGTAAATCCTAGGATCTTTTCATTTTAGTGAACCAATTGTAGGTCACTTATGTGTAGAACGTACTATAAATTCATACACTAAATGTCTAGAAAACTTTTGAAGCATGCTTCAATAGTTAGGCATGATGTACAGTTGCCAACAAAAGTTTGCCACCTCCCTGGGCCTCCCAGACTGAAGCAATATTGACCCCAAATGAGATAAAACAGCACACCCTCACCAGATGACTGTCAGGGTAAGTCAGTTAGGTGACTCATTCCAGTGACTCAGTCTCACCACAGGAGGTGAACTCTTGTTCGCGACAGTATTACTTGAGCAGGAATGCAACGCAGCTGCGTGAAAATTAAATGTAGCTGTACAAAGTTATTACGGTACTGTAATGGGTAACATAAATCAACAACTTGGTGTATTCAAAACTGCAGATGGTAAACCCATAGGTGGTGAAGGATTACTGTAAACACATTCTTGTATCCTTAAGAACAAACCTCTGCACTGTACTTGGTGTTGTAGTGATCTTACTATACACTTTACTTTGTGGTTCATTACATTCTTCAAGAAAAACCTTTCCATTAACACCAAACTTTTTAATCTAAAAATAAGAACAAATAACGTCCAATATCTAACTATATAGGTACCGTATCCTAATTTTCCTTTGTTATCTTTTGTAGCAATTCAGGAAGCATGGTGGGACCTGGGGATTGGGAGGAGGGTGTTGCTATGTCAAAATATGTGCATCTTTCATAGCAATGAAGTCAATACTGAGACTGAGGTAGCAGCCA